CGGTTCCCCATTCAAGACTAAAGATCGAAGATTGAGATTGTGGATTGCAGATCGCTCTGAGCAGCAACAGGGCCAAAATGTGGAGATAGGAGATGGAGAATGCAGATTGTAGATCCTAGCGCCCAGCCATCCGCCCCAGATGTGAGATCGAAGATTGAAAATGGAGGTCGTAGATTGCTGCCGGCGGCGACAGTGGCCAAGTAGAAGATTGGAGATTGGAGATGAGAGATGGTCAGTGTGAATGAATCCAAATTGCATCTCCTTGAAGGTTTGAGCCCCCTCCTCCCCCGGGCCCCCGAATCGAGATTGGAGATTGGAGATTGGAGATTGAGATCGGAGATCTGATCCGGCCTAAGATGACGACGTTGGAGATTGGAGATTGAAGATGGAGATCGGAGATCTGACTGGATCCCCGGCCTAAGATGACGACGCTGTGGATTAGAGAATATTGGAGATGGGGAGATCGGAGCCCACCCACCCCCTAGAGCCTAGTGGTGTTGATAGATGTTTTATAGATTTTTGTTTTTCCCTGTGGTCTGTGCGCGGACGGCCCGGGGAGCCTGCGGCGCCATTTTAATCTGCGCTCCTCTTTATGGCCTGCGGCGCCTGGCTTGAGCTTGGAAGTGTAAACGAGTCCGCCAGGGCGGTCTGCAAACGGAGCGCGCTGCGCGCGCGGTCTATGTACGCGGTCTATGTCGGCGAGCCTATTTGCCGAGTTGGCAGCGTGAACCATGATACCGCCCCCAGTTCGGCGTAGACCGCGCGCGCCGCGCAGCGCGCTTCGTGTTTGCAGACCGCCCTGGCGGACTCGTTTACACTTCCAAGCTCAAGCCAGGCGCCGCAGGCCATAAAGAGGAGCGCAGATTAAAATGGCGCCGCAGGCTCCCCAGGCCGTCCGCGCACAGACCTTTATCTAAAAACAAAACAAAAAAATCGATGAGACACCACTAGGGGCTGGGGGGCTCCGATCTCCATCTCTCCAGTACTCTCCAATCTCCAGCGTCGCTATATCTTAGGCCGGATCCAGTCAGATCTCCGATCTCCATCTTCAATCTCCAATCTCCAACGTCGTCATCTTAGGCCGGATTCAGTCAGATCTCCGATCTCCATCTCCAATCTCCAATCTCCACTGTCGATTCGGGGGCCCGGGGGAGGAGGGGGGCTCAAACCTTCAAGGAGATGCGCTATGGACTCATTCACAATGCAAAAGGATCTCCACCCTCTTTTCGCGCCATTTTGCAATCTCCAGTCGGCCCACACGATCTCTAGGCGCCTTTGGCGCGAAGTCAGAATCTCCACCTCTGTCGCAAGATCTCAAGCGACTGCACGCACCAAACGCGAGATCTCAGACTCCTCTCGAGCATCTACACCGGAGAAGATTTGCCTCCACCAGTTCTTCAATCTACTGCAGCTCTTGGCAGGAGATTTGCCACTTAAGAGATCTCTAAAAGGCATCTACGATCTACAGTCCAAGGATCTTCCGATGTTGCGCAGAGATTTCCATGTATGCCAGGGGGGGTTGGTGTAGCGCTCTTGGCGGTCGTCCTGTGTCGCCAGCAGTGCCGGTGCTATGGTCTTGCGGCCGAGTCGGAGGGTGAGTCGGGCAGGGGCGCGGCCGAGCGGCGGAAGGGACGCGCATGACGCAGCTCGCAGCGCCCGAGAGGGGGGCAGCGCTCAGGCACAAGAGAGACCGTCGCCGGGTATGCGCTCCGCGCCCATTTTGTACGCCCCCGAGGCACGCCTGGCCCGGGAGGGGGAGGGCGGAGGGGTGGTCAGAGGGACGCGGCAGGCCGGGGAGGGAGGGGACGCGCGCGCCTTCGAGTACGCACTCGCGGTGACGGCCGGCTCGCAGGGGCCGCCAGCGCCGCTACGGAGCGCTGCCCGCCGGGAAGGTGCTTGGGAAGGGCGCTGGCGGTGATGTCGGTGCGGCGGGGTCTAACTCGGCGGCGAGAGGAGATGCCAAAAGGCGACTGTAGAGAGGCCGGAACATGTAGTGCGCCACGACGGCGGGAGAGCTCCCTCCCGTTGCCCCGCGGGCCGCCCCGAAGGGCCGTGCAGCCCACGCCCTCAGGCGCCGCTGTCGTCGGCGAGTGTCCTCGTCATGCGAGTGTCCTCGTCGGCGGCGTTTCGGTCCGCGGAAAACAAGCAGAGGCGGCGGCGCCGACTCCAGTGACTGCGGTCCGAGCAATGCGCCACGTGGGCCGGGCTCAATCGTTGGCAGCGGCAGAGAGCGAGTGCGCACCAGTGTGGTGGCAACCCCTATGTGGTGCAAAAAGTGCGCCGGCCGGCGCAAAGTGCGCCGGCGGCGCAAAGTGCGCCGGCGGCGCAAGGTGCGCCGGCACCGGCGCAGCCGGCGCAGAAGTGCGCCGATTTCTGCGCCGAATCGGCGCACTCTGCGCCGCCGCACCAAATAGGGGTTTTCACACCACATACTGGTTGCCCCTTCCTACCGTTGTTGTTGACTCTCTCTTGTTGTTTCGTCGGAGAGAGAAGGTATAGTTCATGAAGTTGCGAACAAAACCGAGTGCGCGTCGTGATTTCTTGTTGGTCTTTAAAACTGCACGGTACGCGGGTCCGGCACTGATGCCGTGAACAGCTGAGGCACGAGCGTTTCCTCGCTCGCGCCCTTGGGGGGGGACAACTCCCCGCGCGCGGCCTTGTGCCACTGGCCGCCGACGGGTTTGGGGTCCGATGACATGGCGTCTCTTCACACTCGATCCGCCTGTCTGTTCACACCTTCTTTCTGCCCACTTCACAATGTGGCAGGGGTTCGTTAGCCCAGAAAAGAAGTTTAATAAAATACGCACACAAAAATGTTTTTACACCTCCACGACGCCAGTCCGCTTGTGGCATCACTCCGACACACGATTTTTCACTCCCCACAGCCGCCAACCCAGGATTGGCCGCTCGAACCGAAGACCGCCGCTCGACATATGATCGGCGGCTCACTTCGATGTCAGCCGCTCGACCTATGGTCGGCGGACCTGGGTTCGAATCTGAGGACCTGGGTTCGAATCGCCGTTGGCGGTTCATAGGGTAGATAAAAATCTTCTGGAGCGTTCCCAGACGTTATTCACAGGCGCGTGGGATGCGTCGGGTGTGCATGGACATTCTTGTCCTGAGAACGAGCAGATCACCCCCTCAGTGACTAGCCGATGCGCATCGCATCCTAGTCGCTGGACCTACACAGCTCGTCCCTAACCTGCATGGGGTCGTCACGCTCTTACGGCACGGTGACGCAACCTCCGTCTGCTCACCACCTCTGTAGTGGGTGGGCGTCGTAGCCTTCTGTGGTGTCACGCCACAACAAAGGCGCGGAGAGGGTGAAAGACAGCCGCGGCCAGCGGCTTCGTGAAGAGGTCAGCTATCTGCCCTTGCGTTCGGATGTGGATGAGCTTGACACGCTTCGTGTCTTTCACCTGCTCGCGTAGGAAGGCGATCTGCGTTGCAACGTGTCGCATACGCTTCGAGGAGGTGTTGCCCTCGCTAAGGAGCACGGCCGCCCTATTGTCGCAGAAGAGCGGCATTGTGCATCCGAGGTCTGACTTGTTGCCCTTGTAGTCGGGTAGGTCCTCGGCCATGAACTTGATGGTGTCCGAGACCGCGATGGCCGCTTGTGTGGCCTTGGTCGCAATGGCGTACTCGCCTTCGGACGATGAGGTGGGCGTGGACTTAAGGCGCCCAGCGTGTGCAGAGACAGGCCCATTGCACACAAAAATCACGTATCCCGCCTGAGGCTTTTCCCCGCCATGAGAGGTGTCCGAGAAGATGATCGGCACGAACCTGTCGTAGTCGAAGCTGGCTAAGTCGGCATGCTCTACGATGTGATCGGCGAGGTTGCCATCTGCCTCGCGGCGATAGGTGATCTTCTTGTCCCTTGTCTTGTCCAGGTAAGCGAGGACGCCAAGGGCAATGTTGAAATGGCGCTCCCCGCCCCCCTTTAGGAACTTTGAGAGCATCGAGTAGGCGTAGCCAATGTCTGGTCGGGAGATGTTGGCCAACCACCCTATCTTGCCAACAATTTCGGCGTATCGTGGGTGCATCATTTCTCCCTCTTCGAGGTGGGTGAGATTGGTGATGTCGTCGTTGCACGGTACGGCGCGCTTACTAGGGCGCGGCGCATGCCCTCGAGAATGAGAGCCGCAATCTCATCGATTTGCGACACATAGCCGCTCGATGTCTCACCAGGGCGCGACCTTTCGCTCTCCCTGGGGCCATCGGGTAGACGCGGCCGCCCAATTTTCTCATCATCGTACTCCTCGCCCTCGGATATGTTCGTCATGTAAACGGGGACACACTTGGTCGAACGGATCTCGAGGGGGGGACCCTTTTCTCCGAGTGGCGTTTTCGATTTAGGAGCACTTCTAAGGCTTGTGGTATTGTCTCGGAGGTTCCAGGGTGAAGATCTGCGGCTTAGGCGGCCGCCATCGTGCCCCTCGCTTTCGATTGAAAGCGTCATGAGGATAGGGATTGACTCCGTGGCCTTGTGCCCGAGTGACGGTCCCTCCTCTGCCGGGTCAGGGCATGACTTTTTCACGCCTTGGGGGAACATTCGGATATGAAATCCATTTCCGCCCCTATTGGGGCCCTCGGCGCTATCCTCCTCCCTGGCAAACCGCCCTGTGGCGGTATTGCACACTGGGATCGACAGGGCGTCTCCAACCTCTTCCACATGTAACCCCCGACTAAGCGGGGCCATGACACTCATGCGGGCGGGGCCGGCGGGGCCAAGACATTCATGCATGCGGGGTCTCCGCCCCTCCTCTCCGCCCCGCCCGCCGCCAACCTCCATGGGGGAGGGTCCGCCACCCCCGCCCGCGGTCTCCATCTCACGCGATGGGCCTGTGGGAGGTGGCAGGGAGTTTGAAGGTGCGGCAGGGCAGATCCGTGTGTGCTGTGGGTGCGGGGCGGGTGCGTACATGATGGGGCGCGTGAGGATGAGCCCCTCGCCGTCCTCGTACGCCACAATGCGCTCGACGAGGTCTTCCACGGCGAAGCCGAAGAGGCGGTGGAAGTAGAGGATGCCAATGGCCCCGCGCGCCGACCGGTGCGTGAGGGCCGGCATTGCCGGGGTCGGCCGGGTCTCGTTGGCGGGCTTGGAGAGCGAGGTCACGTAGGTGTACCCCAGCTGGGTGATGACGCCCATCAACGTCAGCGCAACCTGCCAAAGCACAGCGCACACGGGGTTGTCGCCCCGGCCGCCCGAGGCCATGAAGGCCTTGGTTCCCTCGGTGGTGATGAGCATCTCGAGTGCCTCGAGTGCGTCCTGCACCCCGATCTTGATCTCCTTGTTCTTGGGCGCAATCGCCGCGTACGTCTTGAGGCACGCGCGGACCGAGCGCCCAACGAGCGCGCGCGCATCGCCCTCGGAGAGCGCGCGCTCGAGGTCAATGGCGAACTTGGCGGGCGGCTCGTTCGCGGCGAAGATCACTCCGTCCCGCAGGTGGGGAGGCGGGGTGCCAGGCTCAACCTCCACCTTGGCAAAGGCCTGCCGGATCGGCGGGTGCTTGGCCACGAGGCCAGACGCGACCATCACGAAGTCGTGGTCGCCCTGGTCGTGGTACATCCCGAGGGCCTCGTTGGTGAGGACGCGATACGCCTGCTTGACCTGGATGTGTGCCGCGACGGGCTGCGGCTCGCCCCCGCTTGGGATGCCCTCGTCCTCGGGCATCTCCTCGGCCGAAGCCTCCCCCTCGTCGGTGGGGGGCTCGCCGAAGGCGTTGGTGGGCGACGGGCTCGGCGGCAGCGACCCCGACATGGGCGTGGTGCCGTAGTCATCATAGGTGTTGTGCGAGCTTTGCGAGCCGTTGTGCAGCCCGGAGGTGGCCTGGGAGGCGAAGGACGCAATCGACGGCGGGCGCGGCGTGTTGAGGCGGTTGCCGCCGGCGAAATGCGAGGCGTCGTTCACGTTGGCGGTGACGGGCGAGAAGGGCGGCGAGAGCATCATCGAGGGCTTGAGTGTAAGCGAATGCTTCGGCGATGATAGTCCCCCATGGAAAAGAAATCCATCGGGCGGTTCGTCAAAGGTGATCTCGCCAAGGCGCGTCGGGTGAGGCGAGTCCGTGCGGCCACCCATGAATGCGCTGCCGTACCGGGCGGCCTTGGCCGGCGGCGGCGAGATGGCGCATGCGCTGAGCGTCTGCTCGTCAAAGAACTCTTGGACCCCCTCGATGGAGGCAAACCACTCATCGAGCAGGTCCTTCGCCACCGCGAATTGAAACTGGGGCACGTTCGGGACCAATGGCTGCATCGCCTTGGTAAGGAAGAGGTTCGCACCCGCCTTCGTCCTCACTTCCGACCAGAGCATCGTCTTCGAGAGGTCTTCCGGGTCGATGGTTTTCGCGTTGAAGACGTCGACGATTGCCTCGGCGTTGATCACGAGGTCGCCGAAAAGGTAGTGGGGTCGGACACCGAGCGGGCCAGACATGAGGGTGAGCACGATGTTATCCATCGCGCAGTGGGTCAGCTCGAGCGTCGCATCGTCGAGCATGATCCCGGACTCCACCCACATGTTGGGCGCGTAGTAGGCGTACTCTTCGATGGCGCGGCCCACCAGGTCGAGGGCCTCCCGCACAGTGAAGACGTCGCAGGAGCGCTTCTCTGCCCTGATGATCCTAGTCATCGCCAGCAGGTAGTGCGAGAGGTAGTCAAACAGCGCCGACTTGCATGTTTCGAACCCTCGGCAGGACCCGGACTCGGGTGCGCACTCGCATGGGCAGTAAAATCGGAAGGCCGTCCACGTCGACTCAATCGCGGCGACCGCCGCCATCGCATCCTCCTTGACGATCGGGCAGAAGTGGTCCAGGCGTTCGCGAATGGTGCTCGAGCCGAGCGGGATGGTGAGAGTATTGCGCCTCTCCGGCCCGTCCCCGAGAATGGTCCAGTCCCGGGGTGCAAGTTGCTCCTCTTGGAAGAAGCAGTGCGGCGCGCCGGGCTGTGCGCGCTTGTTGCTGTCAGGCCCGCCGCTACCAATCTGCACGGTACGCGGGTCCGGCACTGATGCCGTGAACAGCTGAGGCACGAGCGTTTCCTCGCTCGCGCCCTTGGGGGGGGACAACTCCCCGCGCGCGGCCTTGTGCCACTGGCCGCCGACGGGTTTGGGGTCCGATGACATGGCGTCTCTTCACACTCGATCCGCCTGTCTGTTCACACCTTCTTTCTGCCCACTTCACAATGTGGCAGGGGTTCGTTAGCCCAGAAAAGAAGTTTAATAAAATACGCACACAAAAATGTTTTTACACCTCCACGACGCCAGTCCGCTTGTGGCATCACTCCGACACACGATTTTTCACTCCCCACAGCCGCCAACCCAGGATTGGCCGCTCGAACCGAAGACCGCCGCTCGACATATGATCGGCGGCTCACTTCGATGTCAGCCGCTCGACCTATGGTCGGCGGACCTGGGTTCGAATCTGAGGACCTGGGTTCGAATCGCCGTTGGCGGTTCATAGGGTAGATAAAAATCTTCTGGAGCGTTCCCAGACGTTATTCACAGGCGCGTGGGATGCGTCGGGTGTGCATGGACATTCTTGTCCTGAGAACGAGCAGTAAAAATCTCTCTCAAAACCGATAATGTCAAGCTCAAGGTCAAGAATTAAGCCCGATCGCAGTGCCGAGGAGAGCGCAGGCGAAGAGCCCAGCCAATCAATACAGTGGCGCCCGTGCGAGACCGCAACAGGCCCGGACCGGCGTCCTCTGGTCAGCATCTCGTCTCGACTTGGCCGGACTTTGGGTGCCTCGTCGGCTTTGCGAGCGCTCTCGGCTTCCGTCCCATTCCCGTCATTTCTGTCTTTTTTTGGATTTAAAAAAGAAAAATCGCGACTTCCTTGAGAGCGGCGGCGACCCACCTCGGCTGCCTTGAGCCGCGAACAACTTGAGCCGCGAACAATGGCCTCGAAGTTCCTCGACGGGCTGCTGCACGGGCCGTCCGCGCGGACGGCAGAATACGTCGACACCGCTTCCACCCTACAGACTCCTCTGGACGAGGAGCGGGCAATAAGCACGGTGCAGACGGCGGCGCTGGGAGATCAGCAGCTCGGCGGCGATAAATTGCCTTGGAGCACAGAAACCCTCGCGCAGTACGAGTTCGAGCACTTTTTCGACTTTGAGGTCAGCAAGGCTGTCTTTTTCCTCAGTGTGGTTGCCGTGGCCATCGTGCGGGCCACCTTCACTCCCTTCGGGCGTGTCACGAGCGCTGGCCGGGAGTGGCTCGACCGCGCGACGTTTGCGCTGCGGTGGGTGGCGAGCGCGGATTCGCTGCAGCAGCTTGGTGGGCCGCCTGCCGTCGCGCCAGCCGAGGACTCATGCCAACGGCGAAAAGTCGTCTCAGGCCGCTTCACGCGGTCCTCTTACGAGAGATACTGCCACGCGAATGCATTGAGTCCTGATGCACTCTGCTGGTCGGCGCTGCCCATCTAGCGGGCCATGTTTGTATTTATTTAGCGAGGGCTCAAAGTACACGGCGACTCGCAAAACAGGAGTGCCCAGCAACGCGAACAGGAACGTGGTCGTGGAGAGGGCGAGAGAGACGTCAGACGACACCGCCACTAAAGACTAGTTGCAAATACGCGGGATATACGGGTGCTGTGTCACAATGACCACTTTTGATGTTCTTTTGTCCGTGTTGCTCCCAGCGCTCTCGCCCGCGCTCCCTGAGGCCATGGCTGGTGCTACTCTAGTATGGGGGGCTTCCCATGGCTACCGCGAGAGCGACCCAACTCGTCGACATCGTCCGATGATGGTGCCGCAAAGTCAGCCTTCGGAGGCTATCGTGGGGTCGAGCCGGCAGTAGCCGTGACATGTGGTTCCACCACCCCTCGTAGGCTTTGCCTCTGACCGCCACCGTTCCCAGGCTGCCTAATGGGATGGAAAGGACTTCACGACTAGGGATAAGGGAAAGGAAGGCTCGGCGAGCGTATATAGAAGCGTTCTCGACCTCGTCGTGGCAGCCTGCACGGCAGCGCTGGCAGGCGCGATGAGCGTCGTGCCACCTGACCCGAGACGGGTCGCAGGCGTCGTACCGAGCGCGTCGAGACCGTGTCCTGATGCGCTCTGCACGGGTGAGTCACGTCGGCGTCAAAGAGGACGCGACGTGTGACCTGTCAGAGCTTGATCTCCGACCTCAGCGACGTCGAGTCGCCTTCGGTGGCGACAGCTAGGATGCATCTCCTCCTTCGTTTTTCGCGCTATGGCCCTGGGAAGCTGGCGGCGCACGCAGGCGGACCTTGTGTGTGCCCGGAACGCTTAAAAAGTGGGTGCTCTATGTCACTTTTTTTGAGTAGATAGGTGCCGAGCTGACCGTGACAGCGTTTTTGGTAGTTTTTGGCGGGTTTTCCCGGTCAGACTTTTTGCAACTAGTCTTAAGCGCCGTAAAAAAACGGCCGGAGCACCACCCCACCGCACACTGAGAGTAGTCAGCAGAGAGAGGTACACAGCAAGGTGCATGTACATGTACATGTCACATTCACAGCACACACGCACAAAAGCAGTACGCACAAGCCGCCTCACCCTCTCCTCCGGCCGAGGCCATGCCGACACATTGGATTGGCATTCCCCGCCCCCAACGCCCTGGGCCGATGGCCGAATGCGCGAGCTGTGCTAAGAAAACAAGAGAGATCGCCCCCGGGTGTGCCTCGCGTCTGGGCCCGGCTCGTCGAGCAGAGTGCCCGAGCCCGGCTCGTCCGCCAATACGTCCGACTCGCCAAAGTCGCCCGCGCCTGGCCACATGGCGGCCGCGAGGGAGGCGCTGCGCGTGCGGATCGCCAGAGGCCAATCAGTCTCGTCGAGCAGCTGGGAGCCGTCTGATCGGCCAGGGTCTGCGGCGGTGCCGGGAATAAGGCTGCGCTGGACGTAACACGCTCGGCAGCTCGGCGGCGGGCGCATTTTCCAAGGCGGCGGCGGGCACTCGGAGCAGGCAGGCCCGCTAGGCCGGTCGCGTAAATGATTTGGTGGCGAGGCCTGAGCTCTGCGCGGGCAGTTATCGGTGCCGTCGCCACAGCGCCAGTCGATGGTGGGATCGCCGACTTGCGCCGCGGCGCCGACAACGAGCGCTGCGAGGCACGCCATGTGTCAATGCCCGGATAGATCGTCCTTCCCCCCACGATTGTTTCGGTGAATGAAATGGCGCACCTCCTTGAAATAGGGCGTGCTTTGATGGCGCTTAGGTCGAGATCGGCCGAGACGCGCGGAAACAGCACTGGGCGCTCCGAGGCCCGCCAGCAGTCTGCGGAGTCGTCAGACTACTAACTACTAACTAGGGAAGGAGGAGAAACAAACGGTTTGAACTCCCCCCCCCCCTCTCTCTCAGAGAGAGGGAGACACACACACACACACACACAACAACAACAACAACAAACACACACACACACACACACACACACACACACCAGAGAGGAGAGAGAGAGAGAGAGAGAGAGAGAGAGAGAGAGAGAGAGAGAGAGAGAGAGAGAGAGAGAGAGAGAGAGGCCAGAGAGCAAACCCCGGCACTCTCTCATTCTCTCTTCACGCAAAACACATTCTCTCCGTTCACCCAATCAAACTCTGGGCCGGCGCGGGGGGCCCAGAGGGTGTCCATGCGGGGGGGAGATGGGGTCCCATGGCCCGCCGCAGGCGCCGATTTTTGGGCGATTTTTTCTTTTTCTAGATTTTTTACTTGTTTTCATGGGAATTCGGCGAACTTGCGGCCATGCTATCACGCCTTGCGACATCCTTTCGGCGCTGCTGACCGTGCCATGCTGCACAATTGATCACCTGCATAGCTCGCGGCCTTAGTATCAAGCATTCCGTTACGACCTGATCGTACGGCCAGTAGGAAGGTGTCCTTCCATCGTGTGCACGCTTCTGGCGCAATGCGCGTCGCCTTGGACGTGGCTGCTGGCACTCTCGAGGCTATGCCTACACAGCCTCGCGCGCGCATGGGCAGTCAAGAGGGACCATGCACCTTCTCACGACAGCGCCGGTGCCTCTCTCTTGGACCGGCCAACTTGGTGGTCTAGTGTCACCAATGTGGGACCAGTGCGGCATCGCGCCATCGACAGCTCTGAACTGCGCCTCACCACTGACCGGGAGAAGGCCGCCAAGTGGGCCAGCACAGGTCGCACATTGTGGCAGCAGTCAGCAGTGCATGTCTGATAGCTAGAGCAGCGGCGTCAGGGTCGCAGGGTCGAATCGTGTCAAGCCTCTTGCCCGGCCGGCCGCGTGCAGACGTCGGCCTGTCTGCTGTCTGGAGTGATCTGTCGGCGGTCAGTACGACCGATCAGGTCGGAGTTTTCTGATGATTGGAGGGTCTATCTGTATGTACTCCTCGAGATCTCTCCAAATCTGCCCTCTACTTAACCGTACTTAATCGGGAAGTCGGTGCTAATAGAGACTAATAGAGCCGGAGCCCCGTTTCCGCACTGCGGCGCGGCGCACGGTGCCTCCGGGGGCCCCCGCGCCCCCCCAGAGCAATCATACAAAACAAATCTGCCAATCAATAGCAAACAAACAAATAACGGCTTGGTGGGCAAAGAAAGAATTTTACAAGAAAGCTCCGTCGCACGACACTGGGCACGGGACTGGCAGGCGCGCACTGGCACTAACACAGGTACAGGTACCGACTACGCTCTACGGGAGCCGAGAAAGAAAGAACGAGAAACAGACAACCCAAGGGAGGGCTGGGAGGACGGAAAAACAGGGATTTTAAGGAGAAGAGTGTGGTGCTAGCCGTCGCCCACTCTTGGGCGTCTGCCTCTTCCTATCTCTCTCTCTCCGTGCAGTCTCAAGGCAGTCTCTCTCGCTCGGCTTCTTTGATTCTCTCGGCGCGGCGAGGGTCCTGATGCCTATGGGCTTCAGATCTCTCAGTTAGGCGAGTGGGTCTGCGACGCTTGCCTGGAGGGCTTCTTGGGGGGTGGCTTCGGCGACTACTCGGAGCTGCGCAGCGGCAACGTTGCGCCGTATTCGAGTAACCCCTGGATAGGTCGCTCGCGCGACCTCTCCTGGATGCGCAAGGGGCCCATAGGGGTCACGCGAAGGGAGGCGCTGTTAGCGGCGGGGGAGGCGGAGGCGGCCGCGCGGGCGGCGGAGAAGGCGGCGCGGGCGGCGGGGGGGGGGGGGGAGGGCGGCGGCCGCGGGCGGCAGTCCCGCGAGGCACGCCGGCGGAAGGGTTCGTCTTCCCGGGGCGGGGTGCGCACTGCGCGCCGCGAGGATGTAGGATGAGGAGCCTGAGCCAGGGGAGGGTTGGGAAGGGGGGGCGAGGCCGGAGGTGTGAAGGCCTCTTCGACGGCCCATAAGGGGCCGTTGTCTGCTGTGCCTTTTGTGGTGCTAGTTCGTGCCAGTCTGCTGTGAGAGGGGCTTGTATTCGTAGAATTCTCACCAGCACTCCCCATTTGACCGGACGCGTCGGATCGGACACACAAGCAAGCCCAAGCCCACAGCCCACAGCCCCGCGACAGCGCGCCGCTTTGTGCTTGTGCCAACGCCCTCCGTCCCAGAGATGGGCCGAGGTAGCAACCCGCAGATGGGCGAGACCTCCATCAGCGTCGTCGCTCGCTTCCGCCCCGCGCGGCCTGGCGCCTCGGTTGACGGCGACGTTCGCTTTGGGGACGATGGGCTGTCCGTGGAGACGGCGGCGAGCAGCCACACCTTTGACGGCGTGCTACCGCCGCACGCGTCGCAAGAGGAGACGTACGCGCAGGTCTCTCCCATCGTGGAGGCGGTGCTGCAGGGGTACAACGGCACGGTGCTCGCGTATGGGCAGACCGGCTCTGGCAAGACGCACAGCGTGACTGGCACTGCGCGAGACCCCGGCATCCTGCAACGCGCGGTGCGGCACATATTTGAGTGGATCCGGTCCGACGCGGGCGCCGCGACGCACCGGCTCACCTGCTCCTACCTCGAGATCTACAAGGAGAATGTGCGCGACCTGCTCGAGCCGTCGGACGCTTCCCTCTCTGTGAGGGAATCGGGCAAGCGCGGCGTCTTCGTGGACGGGCTGAGCCAGGCGCAGGTGACGAAGGAGGAGGAGGCGCCGCGCTTGGCCGGCGGCAGGCCGCGCCGCCGCCTCTCCGCCCCCGAGCCCCTCCCGCCCCTTTTCCGCAGGTGCTTCGCTGCCTCGAGACCGGCGGATCGAGCCGGAGGGTTGGCGCCACGCAGATGAACGCGCAGTCCTCGCGCTCGCACGCGCTGCTCACGCTCACGCTTGAGCGGAAGGGCGCGGACGGCTCGGTGCGGGTGTCGCGGCTCAACGTGGCCGATCTCGCCGGCTCCGAGAAGGTTAGCCGGACGGGCGCGGCGGGCGAGCCTTCTCGAGGAGAGGGCAGAGGTGCGGCTGGGCGGGAGCTGGCGTGAGCCTTCTCGGAAGTGTCCTCCAGGCGAGACGCTGGAGGAGGCCAAGGGCATCAACGCGTCGCTCTCGGCTCCGCCGCCTCCCTCCGCCCTCCCCGCCGCAGCCGCGCCTGCCTGAGGTCTGGCTTGCAACTCCCAGGCGCTCTCGATGGTCATCTCCGCCCTCGCCGACGGGAAGGCGCACTCGCCGAGCCTGTGATTGAGACCGTTGGTGAGGAATCACTCTGAACTTGCTGGCGAAAAGGCGCACGTCCCGTACCGCAACTCGAAGCTGACGCGCATCCTGCAAGAGTCGCTCGGAGGCAACTCCAAGACGCTGCTGCTCGTCGCCTGCTCGCCAGAGGAGAGCGACGCCTCCGAGACGCACTCGACGCTGCTCTTCGCCTCGCGCGCAAAGACGATTCAGACCGTCGCCGTGGTCAACACCATCCTCCCGCCCGAGCAGCCGCCCGACCCGCGCCAGACGGAGCTGAGCGAGACCAACGAGCAGCTGCGAGCAGAGCTGGCCGAAGCGCACGCCAAGCTCGCTCAGCTTCGCAGCGACTGCGGCGGTGGCGACTGCGGCGGCGGCGGCGGGGGCTATTCTGGCGGCCGCGGCGGCAGTGGGTCTAGCGACGATTGGGGCGTCGGCGGTGCAGCCGCGCCAGAGTCGCGATATGGGTGGAGTGAAGCGGCGGAGGCGGCGGCGGCGGCGGCGGCAGCCGCAGCGGAGGCGGCGGCGGCAGAAGCTGCGGAGGGCGCGGCGCAACTCGGGCAGCAGCTCGCTGCAGCCGACGCGCGCGCTGATGACTTGCAGCAGCGGCTCGAGGAGAGCGAGCACGACCTTGTGGCGCTGCAGGCTGTCGGGCGGTCGCACGAGGCCGAGGCGGAGGGGCTGCGGGCCGAGGCGGAGGAGCTGCGCGCGCGGCTCGAGGAGGCGATGCGGGCGCGGGCGGGGGAGGAGGGAGAGATGCGGGCGCGGCTGGAGGAGGCGGAGGGGCGGCGCGAGGCCGAGGCGGCGGAGCTGCAGCGCATCCGCGGCGAGCTTCAGCGGCTCCGCCGGCCGAGGAGGGTGGCGCCCGGCCGCGGGTCTTTGCACGGCGACGTGGCCGCCGCGCTGAGAGAGCTCGAGGAGGAGGCGGACACGGCGCGGCGCAGGGGCGGGAGGGACGACGCCTTGCAGAGCACCGTCGCGGAGCTCCGGCTGCAGCTGAGCGAGCAGCGGAGGCGGGCCTTGCCGCCGCCGGGGGGGGAGGGGAGGGACGGGACGGGATCACGCGCGTGCCCGCAAGTGGCCGTGCCCGCCCGCAGCGGTTCGTCAGGGCCCAAAAACAAGGGCGATGCGGACGCTGACACCCCCTCCCCTTCACCCTTTGCAGGTGGGCGGCGGCCGAGGTGGCGGAGCTGCGCAGGCAGCTCAAGCAGCCCGTTCCGGCGGCCCCGCACCCCACGCCGAGGCACGTGCGGACAGCGCCCGTCGAAGCGCAGCCAGAGGCGCCGCTCACGACGCCCCCTCGCCGCCGCCACTCATGGTGGTGGAGGCTATTCATTCGAGCTCGCCGGTGCCCCGAGCCCGACAGCAGCGCCACCGGCGCAGTCGCCTCGCCCCCGAGCGATATGCGGACGAGCTCGAGGGCGCTGTCGGGGTTCGTGTGAAAGCTGCACGACCTGAAGCGGGAAGCGCGCGTTCAGGAGCGCTGTGTGGGTTTTGTTACATCCCAAGGCTTATGATCCGATCTGTGACGCGTGGATATCGAGCGCGCAAAAAAACGCTCCGGCCGGCCTCTCTCAGCTCTCTGTCTCTCGTGACTCGTCTAGAGCTGTCAAACGTTAAGAGCTGAACAGTGTTGCTAGTGTTAACAGTAACAACAGAACAACAGTGGGGCTCCCCAACAACAGTAGCTAACGTTAGGCCAGCTGAACAACAATAAGGAAGGCCTGGCAGTGACCCACGACGATCTCCAGCGTCCAGTGCGGGTAATACCCGAAAATACCTGGAAACCCCCAGGTATTTTCGGGTTTTACCCGGGTTTTTGGCATTTTCTGCTTGCTGACCACTGAACAACAGTAACAACAGTAACAAACAGTAACAGCTTGGGCTGGGGAGAACACTTGAACAACGTTGAGGATTTTCAGCCAACAATAGTGCAACTGTTAGGCCCAAAGTTAACGTTTGACAGCTCTAGACTCGTCAGCACTCCGCGCGCGTGCGTCGACCGTCGTGCGTCGAGGTACTGAGGAGCCGTCGTACGTACGAGGAGCCGTCGAGCGCACGCCCGTGCCCCGCCCCCGTGAGCCGTGAGCCGTGTACGGGGGGAAGGACCGTGAGTTGACGGAAATCGGAGGACGCGACCCACTTCGTCGCCACAGACGGTCCCGCGCCTCGCCGCTATGACGGGGACACACCCCGCACCGTCCGCTGTGTCCCCGTCTTTGTCCGGAGTGAAAAGTCCAACGCGCTCGTCGGTGACGGCTTCCTCCAACCTGCGCCGCGCTCGGCGAACCTCGACAGCGCCCTTGGTGGCATGCAGCTCTTTGCGCCTGGAAGCCTGGAGTGAAGCTCCTCTGCTGCTCACACACTCTGCACAGTTGACACAGCCTACTGTGCGGCTGCCACAGCTGTGACAGCGATGGGCTCGCCCTCACTGGCCCTCAGTCACTTGTGCTGCGGCTTGTGTGAGCAACACTGCTCGGCGACTGCCGGCACGCTGTGTGTGAGACCATGGGTGGGTGTGAGGTAAAACCACGCTACCAGCCTACCAGCGCTTGGTCACATCAGCCCTGAGGTCAGATTCTTCTCCTCTGTTGATGGTAACACTTGTCTACTCGCTGGAGCCGAGCAGGAGGGCCTGTGAGCAAAGTCGGCGGGGGGGGCGGCGGGGGGGGGGGAGGGGGGGGCGTCGCGGGGGAGCGGGGGAGGAAGAGGGGGAGGGACCCGATTGAGGAGGAGGCGGTGGGTGTGGAAGGTGGGGAGGAGGGGGGCGTGTTTGGGGAGATGGGGGATCGGGGGGGGCGGGCGGAGGAGGTGGGCGCCTCGAGTGAGGCGGGGGATGGGGGCGGGCGGCGACACCCGAGGAACAAGCGCAGGCGCGCGAAACCGCGTCGGGCGAGGGAGTATGACCGGGCCCGAGGATAGCATGGTACCGAGTAGCGTGGGGAGCGTGCTTTGCGTGTGTAGTACGTCTGCGAGTTGCTACTTTACCTTCTCCAACCGGCTAAAAGCCTGCCCGTCGCCCCCCCCCCCCCCGCCCCAGGGAGAGAACGACGAGGGTGGGACGACCGCGAGGTGGCATGAAGGTTGCAGCGAGAATCGGCGAGAGACTGCGAAGAGAGATAGGAAGAGGCAGACTCCCTAGGGTGGGCGACGGATAGCGCACCACACACCTCTCCTTAAAATCCCTGTGTGGTGGCGGCGTGCCGTCCTCCCATCCCTCCCTTGGTTGTCTGTTTTCTTTCTTTTTTCGCTGCCTAGAAAGCAACCCAATGCGCGAGGACCGGTTGCGGAATTCTTTATTCCGTGCCTAGTGTCGTGCGAGGGAGTTCTTGTAACATTCTTTATTCCAACGTAAAATTCTTTTTTTCAACCTGGTTCGCTTCGGCTCCTCTCCTGGACCAAGTCTCGCCACTGCTCTCGCACCTCACTCCCACCCATGCTCGACGCATCCAACCTCGGAGACCTCGCGGCGGAGGACTGGCAGTGGCCCGAGGAGGGCGCGCAGCGCTCGGCCTACTATGCTCCCAACCGCGTCGAGACGCAGGAGCCGCCGGCGCCCAAGCCAGAGCCCAAGCTGCTGAAGCGGGGGAGCGCCGCGCCGGCGGCGTCGAGCGAGGCCGCAGCGGTCGGCGCCGCGGGCGGAGCCGCGCCGGCGCAGCGCACGGTCCACATCTCGGACTATGCGTGGGCTGACGACGGTCTGCACGTCAAGGTGTACCTGAGCGTGCCTGGCGTGCGGCGTGAGGCAGTCCAGTGTGAATTTCGCGACGACGCGGTCGACTTTGCAGCCGAGGGCCTGCCCGACGGCACGAGGCGGGTGCTCGCGCTCCGCCGACTCTACGACCACATCCACCCTCCCGGCTGCTCGTGCAAGGTGCTCGAGTCCAAGGGCAAGGTTGTGCTCGCCCTCGCCAAGCCGCCGCGCAGCACCACCTTTGACGCGGTCAAGGATTGGCGGACGCTCACGCTGGCCTGCGGCGCCGAGCGCATAGACGTCGCCGACCCGTTCGCCTCCCACCAGCAGAAGAGCTTTGACGGGATGATGGCGGGTCTGCCGCCACTGCCAGCCAAGTCTGCGGCGAGGCCGCACTGACGGCTCGGCGAGGACTATACAGCACAAGAGATATCAACTGATTTTGGTGACTGGTCGTTTAAAATGACGTTTCTCACACAAATCTGCAGCTCACTCTAGGCCCCGGGGGACTGGGCGCGAGAGATCGATGTACATACACAGCTACGCGGGCCCCGCGCTTTACGTTGCGCGCGCCCCGCGCGCGCACGAACAGTGCGACAACGTCAAAGAGGAGAGCTAGCCCAACCCGCAAAAGACACAGCGCAAATGAGATACATAGTACATCCAAAGCCAATCATTCGGCTTTGGGCTTGCCGTCCGCGTCGACAGGCGCGGTGCTCCCCGGCGCCTGGGGTGGCGCAGGCAGCGCCTCGCTGCCCTCCTCCTCGCCCACCTGCCCAAACTCGTTCGCGCGGCGCGAGTCGACCCCGTACGCCCAACGCTGGTAGAGGTAGACGACGAAGATGAGGTCGTCGCGCAGGCAGGAGAGGCGGTGCATGGTTGGCATGGTGATGACGAAGGCGAAGAGGTCGTCGACGAAGGTGTTGAGCGCCTTGTACATGAAGGTCTTCCACGGCATGTGCGCGGTCGACTTGAGCCGGTAGTTGATGAAGAGCTGCGGCGTCATCTTGATGAAGCCAAACGAGTACACGCTGTGCGACAAGCGGAGGGATCGCCAAGCGGCGGCGGGGCGGGGGGCGGGGCGGGCGGCGGGCCCTCCCTCACCAGCCGACCACGGCGCGCAGCAGCCACGAGTACCAAGACTTGTGCTCGTCGTAAAGCAGCGAGTAGGACGCGTAGCCGACCGCCAGCGGCGCGATCACGCGGCCGAGGTACGCCATCGCCTCCTCGTCGTGCGCCTTTGTGTCGGAGAGCACGTACGAGTCGGCCGCCGTGAGCTGCAGCCGCGGCCGCCACGACCCGGCTGGCCAGCGCAGTGCGACCGACTTGACGATCTTGCGCAGCTTCCAGGCCTCGATGAGCAGGCCGACGCCGTTGGAGAGGAGGATGACCTAGGCGAGCCTCGCCGAGGTGAGCCGAGGCCGAGGCTGCACCGCCGTGGGGTGGCGAGGAGGAGGCTGGCCCAGGAGGTGTCCGAGTCGAGGAGGTAGAGGAAGATGACGGCCTGGATGAAGAGGTTGAGGAGCAGCGAGTTGAGGGAGATGCCCTTCATCGACTTGTTGTCGCGCCAGAACTGGACGTCGTTCTTGAAGGCGAGGAAGTCGAAGAGGCTGTGCAGCAGCGAGACAGCCATCGTCAGGCCGAGCAGCCACGGGTTGGTCTCGAGCAGCATCCTGCGCATCTCCTCCACCATCTCGTCGCCGTGCACCGCCGCCTGCGCCGCGAGGGGCCGCGTCATCCACCTCCGCTGCGTCTCGGCTCAGCCTAGGGCGACGTCTCCGCTGTGCATCTGGGCCCGCATCTGGGTCCGCATCTCGGCTGCGTCTCGGCTGCGTCTCGGCCTGCATCTCGAGGGATTGTGTCATCTGCATGCCGAGCTGCCACTTGACCAGACTCGTCGGCGCGAGACTCACGGTGAGGTTGAGGTACCCGGTGGAGGCGTTGAGGCGAGGCATGCCGCTGCGCAGGCTCCACAGCTCGTTGACGTACAGCGGCGGCGTGTAGGCGCCCGTCGCAGGCTCGACGCGCAGGGCGTGCCGCATCTGTGGCGGGATGCCGTTCGGCGGGAAGGAGGTGAAGTCCGAGAGGAGGTCGAGCCTACGGCGCGTGTCGCGGGCGTGTGTCGTCGACGTGTCGTGGACAGATCCCTCGAGCGGGAGAGGTGGAGGGCGAGCCGGACGGCGCCACCCGCCCAGTGAGGAAAGACGTCGAACTCGCCCGTGCCGGTGCTGTGCAGCGTCCGCATCACGTCGAGCAGCGACGAATCCGCGCCGCCACCGCCCCCTCCGCCGCCGCCAGACGCTGCCTCGCCGCCGCCGCTCCCTCCCAGCGCGACCTCGCGGCCCGCCGAGCCGCCGCCGCCGCCCTCCGCAGGCGCAGCCTCGTGGTCCGGCGCAGCCTCGTGGTCCGGCGCAGCCCGGTGGTCCGGCGCAGCCTCGTGGTCCGGCGCAGCCCGGTGGTCCGGCGCAGCCTCGTGGTCTGGCGCAGCCTCGTGGTCTGGCGCGGGGTCCGCAGACGTGCTGGGAAGGGCGTGTCCGCCTGGTGGGTTGCCCTCACCACCGCCGGCCCCGTCACCGCCCTCGACCTCCCCGCCGCCCGCCTCCTCGCCCGACAGCAGCCTCTTGGTGCTCGACTTCCTGCGCACCTTTTGCTGCCGCACCAGAGGGACGTGCGCCTGCGGGAGAGGCAGGCGCGCGGGGGCGTGGGCGAGGGCCAGGGGGAGAGGCAGCGAGGGCCAGGCGGGAGCGAGGGCGGGAGCGAGCGAGCCAGGCGGCGAGGGCGGCGGCGAGGGCGGCGGAGGTGGGGGCAGAGGGCGAGGGCGGGATGCGCCTCCGTCACAGCGGCAGCAGCCGGGACGGTTGCGATCCCCGGCGGCGGGACGACCGACACGTAGGCGTGGAGCCAGAGCTGCGAGCGGTTGGCTCTCAGCTCGTCTGTTGGCTCGAGCGTCAAGCTCACCGTGTGGCTGCAGTCCGCCTCGTCTGCGGCGCCGTAGACGAGGCCCTCGGCGGTGGCGACTAGCCCGCGGGACGCAGCGGCCGCGTCTGTGGCGGGGACGACCGCCGCGCCTCCGGCGGACGGATCCAGGTGCGGCCGCTCAAAGTGTGCGCCGTCCGAGAGGTAGAGCTGCAGGGCGAGCTTCGATCCGCGAGGCCACGCGTTGACGTGCGGCGGCCTGGTCACGCGCTGCACCTCTCCGGCTTCGGCCGGTGCCGCCTGCGCCTGTGCCTGCTTCGCCTTTAGTCTCGCCGGCTTGAGGATGAAGTTGTTGACGCAGTAAAAGACGCAGGCGTAACAAAAGACGAAGCGAAAGATCTGATGCAAGGCGCCCGACACAGCCATCGGGCTGCCTGGTACGTGCTACGACTGTCTGGTCCCGCGCTACGACGGTCTGCCGAGCCGCCACGCGGCTGCCCGACTCGCACCGCTGCGGTCTTCGGCGTCCCTCGGCTCGAGCCCCACACAGCGACACCGTGCTGGCCGCGAACAGGCCAATCGATTTTTTTTCAGTATTTTCGGCGGACATTCCCGTAGGAGGACTCTGCTGACAGGGTTTGCGATGAGGAGCGACCCGAAGGGTTTCTCGGAGGTTAGTTTTCAACGCCGAGAAGAAGTCTCATGGATCTTGTTTTGTGTGCGCTTTCTCTTGTCTCGAGCTCTCGACGAGAAGGCAAAAAGAAAGAAAGAAAACAGACAACCCAAGGGAGGGATGGGAGGACGGCAGAAAGAAAGACAGAAAACGGACAACCCAAGGGAGGGATGGGAGGACGGCACGCCGCCACTTCCCGTTTTTTAGGAAGTCACGCTTTCTTTGTACTCTCGTGAGGCTGTGAAAGCACGCCCAAATTAGCGGATTTGGGTACTTGCCCCCGAAGGCAAGTGCGTCTGCACCGCTCAATAAGAGGGCTCCCGCGGCGATCAACACCACAACTCCTTTTCTAAAAAAATCGAGCACAATTGCGTTACATGGGCATGGCCGGGGTTTCTGCACCGAACGATCTTACTTTCGGTCTATCGAAAGTGTTGCGCCATAAAGTACTTTCTTTGCCGCCGCCGAGTTCTTTTGTTTATATTCTTTGCCGCCGCAAGGCCGCTTTCGTGCGCTGGTTAGGGCATCACGATGAAGCGCCCGCGCCCGGTTGCCGTATCAGACGAGTCGTTCTCCGCGTACCTCGCGCACCTTTCGGCCCTCGTCAGCATACGGACGGTCACCAGCGACGCCCACGCCACCGCGGCAGGCATCGAGCACTGTCGAAAGGCCCTTGTTGCTCTGCTCGAGCCGTTCGGCTGGCGCGTGAGCACCGATGTGGAGGGCAACCTTCGGTGCGAGCCGCGGTCGGACGCCATCGACCCTTCGCGGCCGCTGCTCTGGCTGTGCGCTCACATCGACACTGTGGACGCAGATCCGGTCGACTTTGGCGGCCACGACCCATTTTCCTGCCGGGAGACGCAGTCGCACCTGGTGGGACGTGGCACAAACGACTGCAAGGCGGGCGTCGCGTTCATGCTCTGGTACGCCGAGCAGCTGGCGGCCGGGGCCCTTCCGGCATTCAACGGCGGCTTCTTGGTGACGCGCTACGAGGAGGCCGGCTCACACCAGCCGCGCTCGGCGACCGCGTTTGCTCGGTCCCTCGCGTCTGGCGAGCTTCAGCTGGCCGAGGCTCCCCACAAGACGTTCTTCATGATCCTGGAGAACACGGTCAGGCTACGCCCGGCTGGCGCGGCTGAGATAGGCGTCTACGATCGCGAGAGGCATTCCGTGTCGCTCCGGTGCAAGGGCGGGCTCGCGGCGCTGGGGTCTGCGCTGCTCGCGCTGGAGGACCATGTGGAGTGGAAGACGGTGAGCATCTGGCCGACGAACGTCTCGGAGGACGCCGCGCTCGGGGCGTTCGGGCTGGCCGGCTCGGCGCTCAGGGTGCTAGCGCAGGAGGGCGGACACTCGTGCACAGTGCGGAACGCAGACAACCACGTCTGGAGGCAGCTCGTGCGCGCCGCCGTCGGAGGAGGGAGTGCAGGCGACGGCGACAACGGGGCCGGCGCGGCGCTGCCCGTGTCGACGGTGCTCGCTTGGTCTTCGTCGCTCACGGACGGCGGGGCCGGCGGGAGCGATGCGGCGCCGGGACTGCTGTGGAGCGGCAGCGAGGCCCAGCCGACGCGCGTGAGCTCCAGGGTCGCCGTCCTTCCTCGGGAGGCCGTGGCGGAGGCCGTGGTGCGCAGCGTGGCTGATCGCGCGGGAGGCGGTAGAGGGCGCGAGGATCGAGCGGCGACGGAGGGCTGCAAGCCACCGAGCCTCGCTGCGCAGCTGAGTGCGGCGGCGTTGGGCGGAGACGTCGAGCACACACTGCTCCTCAATTACCGCGGCCTCCGCCCACTGCGCGAGGTGCGCGCCCAGATCGCGCAGCTGGAGGCCGCGCTCCCGTCGGCCGTGCACCTGGTCGGCGACGACCTCGAGGGCGGTGCGGGCGCCCAGCAGGCGTGTTTCGTCGCGAGCTCCTCTCTGCCACGTGTCCTCGAGGCTGCCATCGACGGCATCAACGACGGTGCCGCCAACGAGGGCACCCTCACGCTCAAGTACGAGCCCAACCCCGGCCGCTCAGACGCGTCGCACTTGTGGCGCGGTCTGCCGGAGGAGCTGCGGGGCGAGCGCGTCGTCCCCTTCACGTGTGGGCCGGGCCACCGCTCGCACCGCGACGCGGAGGGCACCATGCGCAAGACGCACGGGCCCAACGAGGGGTTCCACAAGGCGGCGGGTCGGCAGGTGTTGCCCTTCTTTGTCGCGGCCGTCGCCGCGTTTGCCTTACCCGATCACAAGTATGATATGTGATATCCAACCTGATTTGCTAGGACCGTGGTCCGTGGACTGGAATATATGAGTCGAGCTCGTCGCTTTTCCCCGATTCCCCCTCACAGCCTTGAGGGGCTGAGCCTCGCTGTCCGCAGGATGAGCTTCAGCCTGTCTCAGGACACACGTCGCGGGGGTCTCACGGGAGGAAAGGAACAAGTGTCTCACCGACTCGTGTTGTGCACAGGGCGTGAGCTTCGTATATGGTTGCTTCCCCCAGGATTAGTCTTCTCTGCTTGCGGGAAGAGGGAACACCCTCGGGCGGCCGGGTGGGGCTGCGGCTGCGGGCTGGAGCTAGCATGGCTCGATAGAGCCGAGACCCCGTGTTGGAGGCGGCGCGCTCCTTTGGGCGGCTGTGTTGAATCAGCAGATCATTCTAATATCGATCAACCCTCCCTCTCTCTCTCTTGAGACTCGGCTCTAGTGTCGGAGAGTGGATGTGAGTCAAAGATGGCCGGATCGAAATCAGCGCCGTGGCGACAACGACAAGGGGGGCTCTCCAAGGCGAGCCGTTCGTTGTTCGAGGTGCTTGGTCGTGTACAGTGTTGGTTTCGGCGTAACGTAGGCTTGGTCAGGGCAGCATCTAGCTGCTCTTGGATTTCCCGGAAGACGGCGTCAAGAAGAAGCTCACCCCAGAAGCACACGGAAAGAATGCTCCAGTCCTGAGCTTGAGCACCTAGACTACCTAGGGCAAGCGCGTAGATGCCGAAGCCCACGTTCTTGGACAAGATCGCGGCGACTTGCATTCGAGGGGATCCGACGAAGGGACCAGACCGTTTTGAGTAACCGGACAAGCCGCCGGTGGCATCTCTTTCCACCCAAGAAGCCCGTTTGGAGGGATGGGCGGCAGTGTGCGGGCGGTGAAGTGCTAGTCCTCTCATCAATTTAGAACGAAACGCCCCTCCCTCCCTTCTTCCCTCTATCCCTTTTGCTCTCTAACCTAGACACAGACAGACTGTTCACCAACCAATCCTCTACCCCTCCCTCTCTCCCCATCCTAGACTCCCTCCACGCGTCCGATCTGGCCAGCCTGCGGCAAACATACTCGCGCGGGAGCATTTCACTCTAGCTGAGGGGCTCGCTAAACGCCCGCCGAGCTCCATGCTGTGCAACACCTCCTCACTAATCGTCAGGGGCGCGGAGAGCGCAGTGCACTGCGGTGAGGCTGCGCAGCGGGGGCTCGCCCCCTGCACCGCGCTCAGCGGCGCAGGCGGGAGGGCGGTCGGTGGCGGCGGCGGCGAGGCGCGAGGCGGTGGCGGCGGTGGTGCGGGCGGCGGGATGACAGGGGAGGCGGCGGGATTGACAGGGGAGGCGGCGGCCACGAGCGGAGCGGCGCGAGAAGGGGGGGGGGCGGCGGCGAGGCGCCGGTGAGCGAGGCGCCCGCGCCATATCAGAGAGGGACGCGCCGCTGCGAGATGGAGGGCGGCGGTGACGGAGGCGAGGCGCGAGGCGGCGGCGGCGGCGGCGGCGGCGGCGGCGGCGGCGGCGGCGGCGGCGGCGAGAACGGCGGCACCGAGTCTCGGTGAGCGGCGGCGGGAGGAGGAGCAGCGGCGGCGCTCGCTCGCTGTTGGCGGGAGCGCTTTTGAGCCTGGGAGCCCATGCCACTGCGACCGGCGTGCCCGGGAACGGAGATCGCGCGCGCGCCGCCACTCACGACGCGCGCGCGATCTTCGCGGAGTCGGGTCCCCAGAGGGAAGCGGTCTTCTCGGCCGACGTCCAGCGGCGCGCAAGGAAGCAGGCGCAGCGGAGGCGGCCTAGCACCGGCTCGGCGCCGGGCGGTTGCGCTGCCCGCGAGCCGCGTCCTGAGCCTCGGCAGCGCGCTGCGCGGCGCGGCGCTCGCGCTGCTTCTGTGCCGAGAGCGGCATGATTCGCCAGCTGAAGCTCGAGACTCCTCGGGTATCACGAGTTCTGGGGGTCACGATTTGCGCAGGTTGAGCGGAAATTGGCGTAAGCGTCTGAAAGCAGTCTTGGGTGGTTCGATGAAGGTGCCCAAAGGGGTCGATGCGTCCTCTTGGTCCTCTTGTGCCGCCTTGATTTACTTTTAGGCCGATTTTTTTTCGAGGGGTGCCCGGCGCCGAGCTTTTAGGGTCGGACCTCACGACAGCCTTGTAGATCCCTGGGCGAGGGTGATGGCGTCCCCGTCGGGAGCGCTGTGTGTTGGTGGAGGAAGGACAGCAACCACAGGCAGGTGCCCGGCAGCGTCCCGCCACACGCACGATCCGGATGACCTCTCTCCTCCGGATCCCAGTCAGCCCCGTGGGGCTAGTCCTCTCGTCTAGCCTTTCAGTGTACGACTGTACGTATCTTTTTAGGGGAGAAGCGCGTGTGTGTGTTCTCTATAGATAGAGGCCCCAAAGGTAAAGCTCGAGCCCAAGGCTGCGTGAGAGCTCGGAAGCGAGCTTTGCACGGCGATCGAAGATCTCTCTCAGTGACAGTGTGTAGGTAGCTACGTTTTAGCTTCTCAGTCGTCAGTGTACTCTCTCTCTCGCTCTCTCAGTGTACGAGAGTGTGTGTGGCTATTCGCTCTTACGAATCTGCCTCTCGGAAGACGCGCGCCGGCCCGGGGGACTCGCTTGCGATCCCGTTCCAGCCACAGAGGCCGCGTGAGGCGTGTGGGACGGTGCACCCACGCGGGGCCCGAGTGCACTGGCCACGCGTCTCGAAGGGAGGGCGGCTCGTAACTGAGGTTCGCCGTCAGAGACAGTCGCCCTCCCCTCAACCGTGGGGGGCGTACTGGCTTGATCCCACCGGATAAGGGCGGGCAGTCTTCCGTGACTGCTGTCACGCTAAGGCCGACGCCCCCTTGTCCACCCGATGAGTCAGAGGGGATCACGGGGTATAGACTCCGTGCGCCCGGCCGGCTTACTAGGTCCCGCCCTTCTCTCGGAAGACGCGCGCCGGCCCAGGTGACTCGCTTGCGAGGTAGATCCCGTTCCAGCCAGAGGCCGCGTGACCACCATGGAGACGTCCGGCGGCGCCGAGGAGCGAGATCGTGCCGATCTCCTGGCAGATGATGTTGAGCACCTCGGCGATGCGACTTGCGAGCGCGGCGGGAGGCGCCGCCGCCGAAGACGGAGTCGGCGACGCTCGAGACGACACTGAAGGAGGGCGCGTTGGACGCCGGAGCGGGGTGCTGCGACGCGCCGAGCCGGCCGATGCTTGCTGTCGGCAACAGGTTGGAGAGCGCGCGAATCGAGATGCCCCCGAGCCTTGCACTGACGACGGCACGCCACGGGCTAGTACGGTGGGGAACCCTTGCGTGTGATGTCGGTATTCATCCATTTTGCGCGTACTCGTGGTGTTGTAAGGACGTGCTGCTCTGAGAACCAGACGTCTCGAACACAGAGAGCCCGGCCCTTACGGAGTCGCGCACGCACAAGACACCACCAGAAACCATAGACCACCATGGCAGTCCCCGTCGACGCGCGGGCGGCGAGTGGGATGGGGCTCGGCCTGCTTGATCGGCGCACGTTAGCACGCCGTGGGCTCAGGCCCCCCCGTTCTCACACCGACGCCGCTCGTTCAGGCCTCGCCGAACTCGAACTTGAACTCGTGGCCCTCCTCCTGCGAGGCCCACTTTGCGCCCGCGATCGTGAAATCGAAAGCCTTGCCATTCGCCTTGAGCTCCTTGGAGAGGTACTTCACGAACTTCTTGTAGCTGCGTGGGAGCAGCGCGACGGGAGGTGAGGGTTCAGCGGCAGTAAGGCGCGTGCGGGAGGGGGAGCGTGTGCGGGCGTGTGCCGTGTGCGGGGCGGGTGTGGAGGGTGTCACTTCTTCCCGTTCTTCGTGATGGTCATGGAGGTGGGCGAGCCCGGCTTCGGGGAGGTGGAAGACTTCGCCATGTTGTTGATTATGACGTCTGCGCCGCGCCGGGGGGGGGAGCACCCGTGAACAGGCCGTGGCGGTAACGATTTGCCGAAATAAGGGAGAGTGGGATGGGGCTGAGGGGCGTGTACGGCGGCGGGCTGGGCGGCGGCGAGGGTGGCAGCGGCGAAGGGTGGGTCCGCACGCAGCGGGGCGCGCGGCTGTGGTTCGCGGGGGCGGCGTGCGGATATTTCTTCTCTGCCGCAGCGTCTGCGACGTCTGCGCGCGACGAACGCTGTGTACACCCCGAGTGGCGGCGGGGTGTCGGAAACGAGCCGTGGCGGGGTGGGCGATGCGCCGCGCCGCGCCGACGGCAGGCGGGGGTGGGACGCGGGCGCCTCAGAGTATGAGTTCGCTACACATTACTATCAGCCACCTGCGAGTCGGCTTTTTTTTTGAGGCGCTGTTGAGGCAGTTCATACTTGTTCAGGAGGTTCTCGAGGTGGATATCCTTTGGCCGCGTTGGGTAGCGAGGATTGGTGTGACGCGATCCACGCAGGCGTGTTTTCTGGCAGCCGACCGTCAGTGCACTGGGAGTTGCCCCTTCTCCGACTGCCCCGGCTAGTTCACGCGAGTTTCGCGGGAGTGACCCCCTGCGTCAAACCCGAGACCTAGCGCGGGCCGGGGGTGGGTTGGAGGGGGCTCGCTGCAGGGAGGGGCGGTGTAAGAAGCCGATCCCCGTAGTCCGCCCCGCTCCTCCCCATCGGGCCGCAGAAGCGGCCGCGCCTCGCAGATTCGTTTCTCGCGCCTGGGTCAGGCGCGCAGGGCATCCCCCGGGTCGCTCGACCAGCGATCCGAAGAGTGGCCGCTATGCGAGGGAAAGAGCGGGGCCCTCGACGCCTCTGTCCATACAGGAGTTATCCATCAGCCCCGACCGGCAGAGCACGCTGTTGGTCGGTTCGAGAGGTGGCCTCCGCCAGGTCTGCGTGGGCGCCTCTCAAACCGCCTCCCTCCTCCTTTGCCCCGAGCGTCGTTCCGCCCTCCATCCACACCATCCTCGAGCCCCACCATCTATGTCTCGCCTGACCACGACCTCACAAAGGCGCGTGGCGACGCCCCCTCGTAGGGGCCAGGGCCAGATCACTTTCGTCTTTCCTGGTCGTAAAAGCTGCAACATCTCTCTCTCTCTCTAAAAGCTTGCCTTGGCGCTACGAGAGGACCAAAGTGGTAAAAAGGTGGCACATTCCCCTGACCCGATCAAAAGCGTAAAAGCACCCGAGGCTCCACCTCCAGCAGAAAATAAGCAGAGAAACTGCACTGTAACCTTCACAGTAGCCTCGTGTCCGCCGCGTACCGCGTCTGCGGTCTGCGCCAGACGCGAGATACGGCCAGAGAGGTCTGCTCTCCGCAAGCCCACGCGCACGCTGCGCGCGTCGTGTGTCAGACCGTCGGGTCGTTTGTGGATCCCGCTTCGCTAGTATTAGACAACACACACACAAACTGATCGCTGTTAGGATCGCTGCGCGTGCGGGGATGAACGCAAAACCGTGTCCGTGACCGCCGCCGGAGACCGAGAGGGCGGTGGTGTGACGGCAAGCTCCTGCCCTGGCCGATCGCGTTCGTCACGCGGTATCTCTCGGGCTCAGCGCGGGCGAGAGCGACGGCGACGGCGACGGCGACGGCGACGGCGACGGCGGGTGGTGCGAGCCGCATGAGAAGGACCAGCCGCACGCTCCAAAGACAGCCACGCCTACTCTCGCACAGAGCTTGGCGGGTGGGAGGGCGGGCGGGTTGGGGCCGATCGTGAGGCTGTCGGACGCGCGCCGATAACGAGGAGGAGCAGGGTGCAGAGGAAGAGGTTGAGCTTCAGGCTCTTGCAGTACATGCCCCGCTTGACGCGTGTAGTGGTGCGTCGGAACTGAAAGGCCTGGTGCGTGAGGTGCTCCGTCTTGTCCACCAGCAACTCGATCTTCTCGCCGCGCGCGAGCACCTATTCGTGCAACCTCGTGCAATCTAGTGCAACCTCGTGCAATCTCGCGCAATCTCGCGCTCTTTTTGAGACCTTTTCTATGTTTTCGACCATCACCTGCCGCACCTCCTCGAGTTCGCCCTCGACGCGCGAGACATTTGCCGCGTCGGCCTGGTCCGAGGAAGAGGCGGCCGCCCCGCCGGCGCTGCTGCCGGCCGCCGACGAGAAGCTCTCCATCAGCTCCTTTAGCACGGCGGCGAACTGACTGTTCATGGCGTACGCGAGCGCCGTGAGCCCCTTCTCGGCGTACGCCGCGCTCCACCGAGACTGCACCGCGTCGAGAAAGGCGTGCGCGGCGGCCTGCTCCGTGCGCGAGTCGGCCATGCAGAGGAACGCCAGGCCCGCCCTTATCACGCAGTGAAAGGAGTGCGACGTGTCGTATGAGTAGCTGGCCCGGCCCTCCTCTTGCGGCAGCCGCTCGAGTATGCGGCGCGTAACGAGAGCAAAGTTGCCCGCGGTGGCGGTGTGCTCGGCGAGCACGCAGGTGCCGCGCGCGACAAGCGCGTAGATGATCATGGAGGCTGAGGGGCTGAGGGCGACAACTTCCTCACCTCGGGAGAAGGTGAAGAAATCTTCCCGCGTCGCTTACAGCCAAAAAATTTTTTCTGGCAGGTGAATTTCTTCTTCTTCCCGCTTGTGGCCATGGCCACCACCTCGCTCAGCGCCTCGCAAGAGTACCGCTTCGAGGTCGCCGCCGGCGCCGTGGTCACGCTCCGCCTCACCTCGGGCAGCGCCGAGATGTTTGGCGCCGAGCTCGCTCCGCAGCGCCCGTACGCCTTCACCGGGCCGACGCATGAGGCTGTCTACACGTGGCATGGCTGCACCTTTGAGCTCGACGGCGGGTGTCAGCACGCGTACGTTGCGTCCGAGACTCCGATGGACGCGTACCTCCGGCTGCACACCGATCTCGACGCTCGGCGCGCGGCGGCGCGCCAGGCGGACACGCACGGGCCGCGGGTGATCGTGGCGGGCGGCGCAGGCAGCGGCAAGGCGGCGCTGTGCCGCATGCTCGCCAACTGGGCTGCGCGGCGCGGCGACGGCCCTCTCCTCGTCGAGCTCGACCCGTCGCACGGCCACATCGGGCCTCCAGGACTGCGCACCACACGCCGCGGCGAACCTCTGGCACTCGCTGCGGCTCACTCGTGCTCCGCCGGCCCTCGCCTCTCGTCGCCGCAGGCTCCATCAGCGCCACGGCGATCGGGTGGCCGCTGGACGTGGAGCACGCGACGGACGACCTCGCCCCGCTCGCCTTTTGGCTCGGCGCGCCCCTCCCGCGGCCCTCCGCCCCCCCCCCCCCCCCCTCAGACACGGCCCTCCGCCTATCGCCCTCCGCCTCCTGCGAGGCAGTCGCGTGAGGACGGGTGTGGGGACTGGTGTGAGGACTGGTGTGAGAGCTGGCCCCGCGGCCCTCGCAGGGAGCGCGTCTCCGGCAGAGGCGGCGCTGCACTACCGCCACGTGACTGAGAGGCGAGCTCCACGCGCCACGGCGCCCTCCCTGCTGCTGCTTCCGCCCCCGACCCAGCCCTCCGCCCCTCCTGCCCTCCCGCCCCTCCTGGCAGGCTCGGCGAGGCGGTGCGGAGGAGGGGTGAGGAGCACGCGGGGACGCGGCACTCCGGCTTCGTCGCCTCGGGCTGCAGCTGGGTCGACGGGGGCGGGTGAGAAGTCCGCCCGAGATTGACCTAGAGCAGCCGGGAGCAGCCGGGAGCAGCCGAGAGCAGCCGGGTGCCTCCAGCCCTTCCCCCGACATGTGTGTGTGCGCGCGGTCCAAGAGTGCTGTGTGCGGGCGGATTCGGGCGAGATCGGTCGAGATCGGTCGAGATCGGTCCAGATCGGAGGGGGCGAGCGCCACTGCGGGGCTGGCCACGGCGCCGCGCCGGCGGGGGAGCCACTTCACTTCTTTGGTCTTCGCGGTCAGGTACGACGCGCTCGCGGGGCAGATCTCGGAGCTCGCCGTCGACGTGTGCGTCGTCATCGGGGACGACCGGCTCCACTCGCAGGTCCCTGCCCGTGGAGTGTGCGCGTGGAAGGGAGAGACGGCACTCCGCGAGGTCGAGAGAGGCTGACCGCCGACCGGCCGCCACCGCAGCTCCTCTCGCTCGCTCCCTCCCTCGCGTCCAAGCTCGAGGTCCTCAAGCTCCCCCGCTCGGGCGGCGCGAGATAAGCCGAGATGCGCCGAGATGGCGCCGAGATGGCGCCGAGATGGCGCCGAGATGGCGCCGAGACGCGCACTAGTCCGGCACCAGGGCCCGGGCGGCCGGGCGGCTCGCCGAGCTGCTGCTCGCCCAGCCACTGACGGGCTGCTGCTCGCCCAGCCACTGACGGGCTGCTGCTCGCCCAGCCACTGACGGGCTGCTGCTCGCCCAGCCACTGACGGGCCCCCGGCGGCAACCCCGCTGTCCACACATGTCCACAGGCGCGGTGGCGCGCACCGACGCGGACCGCGCCGCCGCCCACGCGGTGCGGCTGCGAAACTACTTCTACGGCCAGCCGTCGGCCGGGGGCGCCGCGCAGCTCTCGCCTCACTCGGTCGAGGTTGGCTTTGACGCCGTCGAGGCGCCGCGCCTGCCGCTGCCGTGATCACAGCCTCCCCTCTCCCTGACGGACTGCTCACTTTGCGCAGGCGCGCCACGGGGTCGTGCCACGGCCGAGCGGCAGCGGGGAAGGCCGACCTCTGTCTCTCCCCCGACCTCTGTCTCTCCCCCCGGTCAGGTGTACCGCCTCTCGGAGGCGCCGCCTGCGCCTGCGACGGCGCGCCTGCACCGGCCTCGCCCTCTCCCCCCCGCCCGCCCGCCTGACCCGCCCGACCCACCCCCCCCCCGCCCGCCCCAGGCGCTGCCCCTCGGGACGGAGTTTGCCGGAGAGCAGCTCCTCGCGACCCGGCTGGTCGGCGGCCAGCTGGCGCCGCTCGTCCACTCGCTGCTCGCCGTCGTCCGCTCGCCCTCGGGCAGCTGCGACGACCTGCTCGCCGCGCCGCTCGCCGGCGTCGTCCTCGTCTCCGCCGTCGACCTCGAGCGGCAGCGCATCACGCTGCTGTCGCCCTCGCCGCTGCCGCTGCCGTCGATGACGCTGCTCGCGGGGTCGCTGCGGTGGTCCGGCGCCTGAGGCGGGGTGGGGGGTGGGGCTTTCACTGCCCACGGCCAGGCTCGCACGAATTTGCTTCACGTATGTGCATATACAGCTTGCGCATCGCGAGCCAGCGTCACTTGTTATTCTCATCTGTCGGTGAGCGCGCGGCGCGCTGCGGAAGTTTATTTCGTGTTGGAGCCGGAAGCGCGCAGCCGGCGCGCCGGGCGCCAAAGGGCGCGTCGCCCGGCCGGGCGCGGGGCAACCAAGGGCAGCGATGCGTCCTAGAAGGGTGGGGACGACCGGGCCCATAGGAGTTAGGACGACAGGTCACCCCCCGGATTAGCGGGGATGCGGGGTGGGGGTGGGGGAGGGAGGGGGGGCGGGGGGGGCGGGGTGGGGGGGCACATGTAAAAATAAAATATTCTTACCTTCAAGCCCCCCTCCGAGACTAGAGACAGTCACCACAGATACATACGTCGGTGGGAGTGCCCCCCGCCCCCACTTGCCCTGACTGCACGATACAGTGGATTGCGTGCCCCGAAAACGGCGACACATAGCCCGGGGACACATCACTGCGCAAGGAGAGGGTGCGAAGCCAAGATTGGGGTTCTAGGTGGTGGGACCAATGAGGGGGGGAGGGCGGGGTCCTGTGGGGGTGAAATGTTGCGCGGCGAATTCGAACCTACCCCCTCGCGGGGGGGGGCACATGTAGTACTCGTTGTTCTTGGACCGCGCCTTGGCGGACAAGGTGTCCAGCTTCTCGAGCATGTGGATGACGTGCTGCATGTCCTCGCCCTGCGTGGAAAGCGCGACCGTCGCGATCTCCAGCCCGGTCAAGCGCGGTGCGGGTTCACTCGTAACTCGTATACTCTATACACTATACAAGGCACTAGGCACAGCACAAAAATGCGTGGTAAGTGGTGTGGCGTCACGCTCCAAGATCGGCGCCGTCTCTTTCGGTCACACATCTGCAAATCGAATGGCACTCATGGCGTGGCCTCAGGCCTGATACTCATCAAGGAGTGTCAGGAGCATGCTGCCGAGACCTCGTTTGGCCTCGCGGTCGTCGATCCCGTCATGCGACTGGGGCTGCTGATCGGGCTCCGGGTCAGCGCGATCTTGCCCTTGGACCTCCGCCTCCGCCTGCAAAACTGCCGCTGCCGCGGAGTCAGCGGCGGGCATTCCTGGAGGCCGTACAGCCTCGAGTCCTCTTGTCAGCGCCCAGTCCGCAAACTCGGCAAAGAGGATCAAGCCGGCTCCGTCTGCGTCGGCTCGAGCAAACTCCGCCTCCGGATCGGTCACTTCGACGCCCCATGCCTTGAGCTTGGGCAGCGCCGCACGAAACTCGTCGATGGACACGCGCCGATCCTCCCCCGTGTCGACCTCGTCAAACATGGTGAGCAGCTGCGACGCGCGGCCGCGGTGGTTGGGAGTGCGGGCGGTGGTGAAGCGATCGGCGGGGTTGGGCGGCGGGCTCGCTACCTCAAAGTAGCGGTGCAGGTAGAGAAGCAGCAGCCGGAACTCCTTGCGCTCCACGTAGTCACCGTTCACGCCATCGGTACGGCCCGACGACCCCTTCGCAGCCTGAAAGGCTCGCATGATTGCGGGCTTGCAGAACCGGAGCGCGTCAACGTCCTTTCCCGCCTTGTCACTCAGGAGCATGATGAGCCCACGATCCACCTGCTGACCGAAGCCTACCTTAGGGCGTGCAAGGGTCGACCACGGCGCAGCACTACTCGCGCCTCGGCGAGCGAGAGATGCCCGTTGCCGTTGGGGTCAAAGGAGCGAAACAGGGCCATCCGCTCCTTGCGCTGCTCGAGGGCGACAGGCAGCCGCTTTGCCAAGGCGGTCCATGCACCGAGCGAGGCGGCGTCGTAGGCTGACGACTCACAGCCGCCCGTCACGTTCTTGGATGTACGTTTGTGTAGGCCCTTGGGCGCACTCTTGGGCGGCTGCGGCGCCGGCACGGTTGGCCTTGCTGGCAAGAGCCGCGGCTTGCTCGGCTTGGGAGCAGCCGGGATGTGCTCGGACGAAGGGCGAGATCTGGTCGCAACAACCGGGTCCACCGATGGCCTCGGAGTGACGCGTGGGCTGAGCCGTCGAGCGCCACTTACCTGTCGTGGAGGCTGCTCTGGAGACCGTGGAGGCGTGCTGCCGATGACGGAGAGGGCGTGCCCGATCGCAGCGAGCGCCCCCTTGAGAGCGGCCACTTCCCGCGCAGAAGCTTCCACCTTGGCCTCGAGCTCAGAGATCCTCGCCTCGTAGGCGCTTGGGCCAGCAGCGGCGTGTTCCGGCGCGCCATTCTCCTGTCGCATTCAGATTCGCGCCCGGGACGCACGCTGGTCAAGTTTACCACAGGTCCGTTGTGAAGTGTTGGGCCGCGCCACCAAGAACCTAGGTGTGGGATCGGCAAGGGCGCGACGCGTCGATCTATGCTTACCTTTTATGCTTTTTCGACCCATCAGTTGTGTGTGTGTGTGTGTGTGTGTGTGTGTGTGTGTGTGTGTGTGTGTGTGTGTGTGTGTGTCGCGCGCCTTGCGGGGAGGGCGCGGAAAAGAGGAACCTCTTATTTCCATCGCCGCGGAGCTGCAAGCAGCGCCGGGTCTTATGAATTGCGTGGGGGGGGGGGGGCACGTGGGACGCGTCCATCACGGAGGTTTGCAAGAGAGTTCTCTGTGGAGGAGTTATGGTCGTCGAAGAGAGACTAACAATCGATTGACGTTGCGATTGCCCAGTGGACACGTAAATGAGACACGCTGTGGGAGGAAGGGCGCACCACCAGAGGATTGTGAGCGCTGTGGAGCGATAGAAGCACGTGCGCGGCATCAGCCCATCGCCTGACGAAAGCTTTGCGTGAAGCCGTGGACGCAACAGCGGAACCGACGCCTCGTCAGCCTGGAGCTCTCGGGCGGCGGCGTCTCAAGATAGGCTGCGACGGCTGGTTCCAACCTCCCCGAACGCGAGCCACACGTTTGCACTCTCGAGAAACTCCTGAACCGCAAATAAGAAGCCAGAGAAGGCTCCGCAAACCCGCGTCTTTGCCCTGGAGACCTGCGTCTTTAGTGACTGCTTGAGTTGCTGAAGCTGACCCTCCGAGAGCTGCGAGGCGGAGACGCCGAGCAGCAGCAGCAGCAGCAGGAGAAGGGAGGCGCCGGGACGACGACTCGGTCCAGCGACCACCGCCGTCCCCGCGCCCTTGGCGCCTGCACTGGCGGGCTGTGCTGCCTTTCCTTCCGCCATTGTCGCACCCACAACCGAGATCTTCTCCCCTAGTGACTCCGGAATGAGGCTGCGCGCCCAGGCGACCGCAGGATGGTCTGCAAACTGCGCAGCGAGGCCCGCGCCCACCCCCGCTCCGACGGAAAAGATGCCCACTTGGCGCGACATGCTGAATGCCGCACGAGTACCTCGCGACCGTGGAAGGGGGGCGGCGGGCACGCACGGGGCTCGCGGATCGAGGCGGGGGGAAGTAGACGACGCGCGAAACGCGAAACAGCGACGCCGGTCGTCCGTCCGATTCTCGAGTCACGTTCAAGTAGGCGTACTTTTGGCTCTCTCTCCTCAAGTGTGTGTGAAGTCATTTCCCGCACCCCCCTGGGCGCGGGCCTTCTAGGCCTGCGGGTAGTCTCCCCCCATCCCCAGGGCCTCCAGGGCTCGCACCTCAACCTCTCACTCATAGATAGACCAGCGCGCAGCGCCATACCCACGTACACAGCGCATGCACAGGAGGCATTTTCTTCCTCAATAAAAGGTCTGTGAAACGGAGGCGGGGCCTTTGCTCAACGACCTTACGACCTGTTCGAGTTGGCCTCCGGGAACTAGGGTGCTGGCCGGCTGGCCGGCCGGCGCGCGGTGTCTGTTTCACTAAGGACCTAATTACGTGCAATAAGGTCCAACGCCATCAAAATCGCGAATATGGGCCGACTTGGCTCCGACATTTCTTGTTGGGGCTAGGAAGTGGCCAGTAGAAAGTTCCAAGAAGTAAGCGCCCCTCTGCGGCTTGATAGATCCCTTTTGCCCTCTTGGCGCAGGAGAGCCGATGGCGGCAACGGAGAACGCCGTGGCCCCCGAAACGCACGAGCCAGCCGGCGTGCCGCCCCAGCTGCCAGCTGCCGGTGCCCGCCCGCGTCAAGAGTCCGACGAATCGCTGTCGCTTGGGGATGACAAGCCTCTCATGCTGTCCAAATCTTTCGAGGGCATGCTCGAGGGAGTGGTCACGGACTCAGGCCTGACGCTCAGCGACGCGGTTCGCAGGCTGGGCGCCGAGCTCAACGGCGAGGACCCTCTCCTCGGACCGCCGCCGCTCGCCGAGCGTGAGCACATCTCCTCATCCGCGAGTGTGGATGGCGTCACCTCGTCCCCGCTGCTGACACCTCCCTCCGGCCCCTCCTCCTCAAGCGAAGCGGGCCCGTCATCGCCACTCGCGGAGCGACGATCCATCCCCGCGGGCACGCTCACCAGCAGTCCCGCTTCGAGCTCCGAGAACACCGGCGGGGAGCCGAGGGCGCATGCCCCGGCTGCGATGATTGCCCAACAACTCCTCAACTCCATCGGAAGATCGGGGGAGGGGGAGGCGCCGCAGCCGCACCAGGGGGCGCCAGCGACGTTGGGGGCGGCCCCAAGTGCGGCACGGCAAAGCAGCGCCGCCAGCGCCACCGGCGCGCCTCTGGGCGCCGCCCCCTTCCCCGCGGCGCCAGTGCCGCCGCAGTTTCAGCAGTTCCTCTCCGCGGCGACGAGAGGGGGGCCGCCCACGTGGGAGGCGGCGGCGGCGGCGGCGGCGGCGGCGGCGGCGGCAGGGCTCGACGGCGGGCGAGTGAAGCTGGGAGACGTCCCTGCCAGCGGCAGCTTCGCAGCCGGGCTCGGCAGCCTCGGTGGCATCTTCGGCCCCGGGGGCGGGGCGGGCGGGGCCGCGGGGTTGGGCGCGTGCCCGCTGCCCTTCGCGGCGCTGCAGCAGGAGCTGTCGTGCCTCGCCTCGGCCTCGCGCAGCCTGGGCTACGGCCAGCACGCCCCGTTGCAGCAGCTCGAGGCGTCGGCTGCCGCCGGCGCCGTCCCGCGCCTCCCTTCCTCCTACGCCACGGCAAAGGTCGAGATAGGGCGCGATGGGGCCCCAGGCGCCGCCCCGTGTCCAGCTGATGCACCGCCGGCTGTGAGGGGAGCGAGGGTGGTTGCGGGCGAGTCTGCGGCCGGCGCGCTCGGGGGTGGCGCGGCGCCGCTGCCGCCCTCCGTCCTCCTCGGCCTGGGGATGGCTCCGCCGCTGCCCGCTGGCCACGACGCGGCGGAGGCAGAGCGGCTGCTCCACCCGGCCGTGCGGCTGGGCCTCCCGGCCGGCCCGTCCTCCTTCTTCCCCCACCAGCTCCCCTCGGGCGAGGCTCTGCGCGCCGCCCTCTGCGGCGGCTTGGGCGTCTCCTTCGGCGCCGCTTCGGTGGCCGCCGGCGCCGTCGGCGCCGCCCCGAGCGCGCTCCCGGAGAGGCACGCCGCCCCCTTGGTGCGCCTGTCGCAGCCGGCGCGGCTCGATGGACTCGCACGCGAGGCGGCGGCCGCGGCCGACGCGGCCGCCGCAGCGCAAGCGGCCGCCAACAGCCGCGGCGCTCGCATCACGGACAGCGCCGTGACGGTGACTGACATGAAGGACTGCGCCAACATGGCGGCGGCAGCGGCGGCGGCGGCGGCGAGCCGGCTCATGCACGCCGAGGCGCAGGCCTGCTCGCTGGCACGAGGCAACACAAAGTCGGTGACCGTGAACCGAAAGGCGTGGTCGATGGAAGAGGCGCAGTTCCCCCCCCCTCTCTCCCATGCGCCCTCCTCTGCCACGCCCTCCTCTGATGCCCGCGGGACGCCGCGACTCACTCCCCCACCCGCCGCCCTTTCAGGACGCCACCATCCGCGCTTGCGTTCAGCGGATGGGCATGCGCTGGCGCCTCATCGCGCCGCACTTGCCTGGCCGGTCCGACGACTCGGTGCGCAACCGCTGGAAGAGGCTGCGCGAGGAGGACGAGGAGGCGGAGGCGGCGGCGGCCGGGCGGCCACGGGTGGAGCGGCCGCCGCCCGCGCCGCCCACGAGCACACGGCGCACGAGTGGCGGCCAGGGTGCGGCTGGCGGCGGCGGCGGCGCCTCGAGGGGCGGGGCGGTGGCGGCGAGCACGATCCGGAGCCGCGCCGGCGACGACGGGTCCGGGGACGAGGAGGGCGGCGATGGGACGCGGCAGCGGATGAGCTGGTCGGCCGAGGAGGACGAGGTCATCGTCACCGCCGTGCGCGAGCTCGGGCAACGCCGCCGCGGCCCCCTTGCAGCTTCGGCGGGCGGTACGCTCTCACGCCCCCCTCCCCTTGCGCTCTCAGGCCTCGCTGGTGCGCGGTGGCGGCGCGGCTCCCGTCCCGCACCGACCAGGCGATCCGCAACCGGTGGAACCGGCTGCAGCAGCGCGCGCGGGTGCAAGCGCGCCAGGCCCGCAGGGCTGCGCAGGGCCGTACGGGGGCGGGAGAGGCACAATGTTGACATGCCTGACCGCTCCACCTCAGGCGCACAACATGCAGGCCATGATGCACTCGGCGGCAGGCTTGGTCGGCGGCATCGGACAACCGGGCTTGCACACTTAGCGCGTTCGAAGCGGTTTTCGGCCTCTGCATCGCGCCCGGTGGGCGAGCAAGGGAGGCGACGGGAGGAGGAGAGCAAGGTGCTCGCAAGGTACAGCGGACGCAGTGTCGCCGCGTGACAGCGCACACTCCACATGCACACTTGATTGTGGCGGCCAGTGACTGAATCAGGCTGGTGGGGTGGAGAAAAACTGCAGACAGTGGTTGCGGGAGTTTTCTGTCTTGAACTGTAGCGTACAGGGAGAGAGTGGCGTCGTGTGTCAGGGCGTCTATAGCGTACTGAGCTCTGCGCCCCAGGGTGGCCGCTGTCCGACAGTCCCTCCCGCGCTCGCGGGCGGCTGTCCCTCTAGGGCTGTCCGTGTCCGTCACTGCGTGGTCAGTCTCTCGATCTTGAACTTGCTTGCTCTTCTTTTTGAGTAAAACGTTTTGGCGCGGGAACGGCCGTGATGGCCAGGTGTGATGGCTGATGGTGCGGGCGGGGCCGCGGTGCGCGCGGAGGCCGGAGCCGGAGGTGTCTGAGAACGGAGAGACCCCGCCGCGGGTGTCTGAAAAATCAAACACCAACAGCGGCCATCTCGAAACCAAGCGCCCCTGGGTGCTGGGGCGTGAGCAGAAGGTACGAACGTACGTGGAACAGACCAGCACCATCTGTGCCTGTACGTATCTCGAGTTCGCCCTAGTCGGCAGCTGCTGCAGCCGCCGCGACCCTCTCGAGGTCGAGGAGCGCCTGGCCGAGCTTGGCCACCGAGGAGGGAGCGGGCAAGCCCTCCTCGCCGCCGTTGATGGCTCGCGCGGGGAGGTGGCCCGCCAGCTCGAGGAGGGAGAAGGAGCCGTCGTCGCAGCAGCACACGAGGAAGCGCATCCCGCGCGAGATTGCGGAGCAGCGCACCGTCGAGGGAGCCGAGGCGCGGCGGCGGCACGGCAGCCGCAGGTTGAGCAGCGGCCGCTCAGCGGGCGAGTCGAGCCTCCAGAGCCGCACCTGGCCCGCCGTGCTTCCGATCGCGACGAGGCGGCGCGTCGGGTCGAGCTGGTGGCGCAGGAACCTACGGCCGAGGCGCCGTCGAGATCCCGCCGAGCTGCAGCTGAGGGAGGGAGGGGTCGAGCTGGCGGCGCACGAACCAGACGTTGGTGTCCGGCACGTCGTGCCGCCGCACAACCTCCACCGGCACCCGCCGCCGGCAGTCGAGCCTGCACACGCGCAAGGACGGCAAGTGACCACCGCCCCGCCCCCCACGTCCTCCGGCGGCATCCCGGCGCACCCGCGCTGCTCGACGCCGTAGCTCACAGCGGGCTGGTGCGGGAGCAAGGCGGGCAGAGCCGCCGCCGCCGCCGGGGCGCTCTGCGGTGGCCGTCGCCACAGCACCGCCTTGCCCTCGTGCCCGCGCGTCAGGAGGGTGCTGTCCGGCCCGAAGCGCACGCAGTCGACATACGCGAGTTTCTGCGGGGAGAGGAGGGGCGAAGCGGGCGTGTGAGGCGGCGGCGGCCTCTCTGGCGGCGTCGCGCCTTGATTGGGCGTGTGTGTGTGTGCGTGTGTGTGTGTGTGTGTGTGTGTGTGTGTGTGTGCAGGCGGGCGCCTCCTCTCGGTTGAAGACATGCAGCCCGCTGACCGAGGCCTGCTAAGTAGTGAGTAATGATTATTCATTGATCATCGCTAACCAGACAGCCCGCCGACCGAAGCCTGCGGGAACTGCTCGATCGCGGGAGCGACGCCAACCTGCGGGAGGTGGCGGCGCGGGCTGCGGCGAACGTCGCGGCGGCGAGAGCCCGCCGGCCGAGGGGGGGGGGGGGGCGTGAGGGGTTTGGGGGAGCACCGGCAAGTTGCACTCGCTCGACTCGCGCCCCTCGCGCGGCATCGCCCCCTCGGCCGCGAGGGCCGCCCCCTCCTCCCCGTCCTCCCCGTCCTCCGCCTCCTGCGCCTCCTCCGCCGCCTGCGCCTGCGCCTCCGCCCGCCGCTCTGCCAGCGCGTCCGCCCTGCTCACGCGAGGAGAGTCGCTGCTCACAGCTGGCGGCGCTGTTGCGGTGGCGGTGGTGCGATGGAGGGAGGGAGGGTCGGAGGTCGCCATGGTGGTAGAGAGGCTCGGGAGCAGGGGGGGGGGGGGGGGGAGCCGCGCGCGGGCGTGTGGCGTGCGGAGAGGCGTGCAGAGAGGCGTGCGGAGAGGCGTGCAGCGGAGCCGGTGGGGCGCGGAGCCTGGCGACGGCTGCGCTCACAGCGGGCTGGTCGACCGACCACAGCTTGACGGTGCCGTCGACGCCGGACGAGGCGAGGGCGGTGCCTGTGCGTCGGGCGGGCGGGGAGGGGGCGGCGTGGTGAGGGTGGCGGCGGAGGCGAGGACGGGCCAGAGAGACGAGCGCCGTCGGGCGAGACGTCGACGGAGAGGACGGCATCGAGGTGGCCTGTTCACAGCTCACGCGTGTGAACGGTGCCGCTTCACTCCTGCGGCAGCGGCGGGATGGTCTGTGGGCGGCCTCGCTCGCCGGCAAAGACGGCGACGCAGAGCCGCGACGCGGTGTGCCAGAGCCGGACCGCCTTGCCAAGGGGGCGGGGGAGGGAGGGGGAGGAGGGCTAGTTTTGCGAGGTTTGCCTCGTGCGGGTGGCCGAGTCGGGTGGCCGAGTCTAGTCTATAGAGTCGGCCGGCTCGCCAGTGAGTTGGACTAGCCAGTGAGTTGGCCTAGCCAGTGAGCTGGCCCCAGGCGGGCGTCGCGCTGGCGTGTGCTGCGTGCCCTGTCCGTTACTTCCCCGCCTCGTGTCGCGAGGCAGACGCGTCCCATCTCTCGGTCAAATCTCGGCTGATCTCGGGAAACCTCGTCGCGCGACGCAGACGCGAGCAGTCCGCGCCTAGTAGGTTCCTAGAAGGTTCCTAGAAGGTTCCTAGAAAGTTCAAGAAGCAGCCGCGAGCAGCCCGCGCCGGTGAGGCAAGAAGCGGACCTCGTGGATGGCTGCGCCGTGGCCCTGCAGCGTCGCCTCGACCCGCGCGCTGTGGCAGTCGATCAGCTTGATCTGCCGCAGCTCGCCGCCCACGGCCAGCACCGAGTGCTCGCTGCAGAGGGCGAGAGGCGAGAGGCGAGAGGGCGAGGGCGAGTGCGGCTCGCGGCCGACAGCAGAGACAAGGAGGGAGAGGGCGGGCGCGGAGGTGCTCTATAACTTATATACGCGCCTGTCGCACGCCACGCCCCAGTCGCACGTGTAGAAGCGCTCGCGCGGGTCGCCGTCCACGTAGGTTTGCAGTGCCACGAGTGCGCCAACAACGCCGCCGCCGCCGCCGCCGCCGCCGCGCTTGCGCTTGGACGCCTTTCCCCGGCCGCCGCGCGGCTTTGGATGCTTGCCGTTGACTGCGTCGGGCGCCGACGAGCAGACTGTGTCAGGCGCCGACGAGCAAACGGCGGCCGCCCCGCCATCCTCCGCAGTGCCGTTGTTCGATGCCGCGCCTTCGGCCAGCGGCGGAGGATCGACCCGGTATATGTTGACCTGCCCGCCGCCGACCGTGGCGAAGACGGACGCCTGCGTCGTGTCGACGTGGTTGAAGCTGCACGCGTAGATTGGCTCGCCGTGCGGCTCCGGGATGCGGAGGACGGCGGTTTGGTGCAGCAATGCTCCCGGCGATTGTTGAGGCTCGTCATCGACGTCGCCGGTCGATGGAGCTTCCACCGCTGCAGCCGGCGACGCCGAAGACATCGCCGCGGACTGGGCTGCCGGTGGCTGTTCCAGGGCCTCAGTGCACTGTCGTGCACAGCGGCAGCACGTTTACGGCAAGGCAGCTTGGCGCCTTCTTGTGAAAAAAGAATTTAAATTCGGAAAAAAGAAATCTCGGAACCAAGAAACGCGGCAGCACGTTTACGAATGGGGGCTATCAGGACACTGGGCACGGGACGGGACTGGCGCACACTGGCACTAACAAACACAGCTATCTAGATACACCACAAAAAAGAAGAAAGCGGGTGCCCAAAACTCAAGTAGAAATCTCTCTCTCTCTCTAAACTCCCTCTCTCTGACAACACTAGGCACGGGGCTCGCACTGGCACTAACACAGGTATACAAAAATAATTTTACCAAGATGCAACAAAACTCTTCGCAGCACCGCTCTGTGTCTTGAACTTGATCTGCTGACCAACAAACCTACAACACCACTAGGTACGGGACTGGCGCGCACTGGCGCGCAGGAAAAACGTACACCAAAAAATAATGGTACACTAATAACCCCGATAAACCTGAGCGCTGAGGGAGGGTGTGTAGAGGATGTAGAGTGTAGAGCGCTGTAGAGCTGTAGAGATGTAGAGCGCTCTGGAGCGCGCTGTAGAGCGCTGTAGAGCTGTAGAGCTGTAGAGCTCTACATCCGGCGCGGGACGATCTGAGTCCGATGTAGAGCGATGTAGAGCGCGATTTTGCTGTAGAGTTTGTTGTAGACGGGCTCTACAGCCAAAAGGCCAAGAAAGGCAGTGACTCAAAGAGGTCGAGCCGCGCTAATGGGATGTCTCCGAGCTTACTGGAGCTCTGGTGGACGGCCCTGACTATCCCTGACACACAGAGAGTCACTCCGACGGTACACAACACCTACAACTGCGTCATGACCAGCCTGCCATGTGTCGCCGGTGCCGCATTCGTCGCTGTGCTGTGCTTCTTTAGCAGGCGGTGGACTGTCGGCTGCGAGGACGGTCGCATTTGCGCGAGGCGATCATTGTTGAGCGTTGCATGCGCCATGACTCGCGCCAGCGCGTGCGGGAGCTCCTGGCTGAGCGTTGAGTCCAGCCGAGTTGCGCGCTGGCCACTATCGCTACGCCGAGCCGAGCTGACGCGCCGAGGCGCCGGCCAGTCGCAGCCGTGAGGCATGTCACAGCAGCAGAGGCACCTGCCACCCATTGGGCGGGCAGACAGAAGGCTAGGGCAGCACTGGCAAGTGCAACGCGCCTCATGTCGGAGAGCGACCGTGCCTCGTTCGCAGCTTGTGTAGAGTTTGTTGTAGAGATTTCACGTTGTAGAGCGCCTCTACATCGCTCTACATCGGACTCACAAAGTCCCGCGCGCGCCGGCTGTAGAGCTCTACAGCTCTACAGCGCTCCAGAGCGCTCTACATCTCTACAGCTCTACAGCGCTCTACACTCTACATCCTCTACGCACCCTCCCTCAGCGAGAAACCCTTCGGTTTTGTTGTGTGATTTCGGGTCGCTCCTGAAGAAGAGAAAAAATCTCTGTCTCCTGATCGCAAACCCTGTCAGGAGTCCGCCCCCCCCCCCCCCCCCCTCTTGGTTTTGCAAAATCCTGGGGACGTGTAGTCGGTCCTCGACCCAGCCCTAAAAAAAGAAAACCCCCAAAACAAGGGAGGAAATGGGAGGACGGCACCCCCCCCCCCCACAGGGATTTTAACCCCCCCATAGGAAAGGAGTGTGGGGCTAGCCGTCCCTCGCCCCCCCATGGGTGTCTCACATGAGACGTCCATTATGTCTCTCTTCGCAGGTCTCTCGCCAATTCGACTTCATGCTCGCAGGACCAAAATGCTCCCCGAGGCTGCTCATCCGTGGGTCGCTGCCAAGGTCGCTGCCAGTATGAAAGCTCGTCCTCACCTTCATCACAGGGTGCTCATCCTGGTGTTCTCGTCGGCCACCAGCGTTGGCGCCGTTCGCCGCAAGGCATGGCGCATGCTGCAAGTGTCTCAGGGCTCCCCAGCTCATCGCGGTTGGGACCTGCTCTTCGTCGTCGGCTACCGTGACGTGTTCGAGCTTTTGGACTAACGCCTTGTTGCCAGCACTGACATGGGAGCGCCCCGCCCAGAAAGCGCGTCCTCACGCTGCACCTACATCGGCGAGCAGATTCACGGTAAACGGGCTTGGCTGAAACCAGGTTTGCCGTGGTACGACCCGCACTACCCTACCGTCTTCAACACTACGATCTACCCAGATTTCATGCAGGGAGGAGGGTACATCCTCTCGCACGGCGCAGCCCGCGCCGTCGTCGACATGGGGAAGGAGGTGGGACTCTACTCGTGGCGGCGTGAAGCAGAACGGATGCCGCATCAAGAGGACGTGCTCGTGGCGGAGCTGCTGCGGCGTGGTACAGCGAACGCCTCCCTGCGGCTGCCCCCCTCTACCCCACGTGGGGAGTATCAATGTGTAAGCGTGTTGCGCTGCGATTTACTTTCAGCATCCAACTGTCACGGGGGGTCAAGCACGTGCACAGTAAGCTGCCGACCCGCTGCGGGCGGGAGCAAATGTGGATGCACCCTGTCAACCTCGCCAGGATTGCTGCGGTCGAGCGGGCTGCTAGCGGCATTGCAGAAGCCGTGAAACGGTGAAAGCACTGTGTAAATGAGCGGTTTCTCTCTTGAGCTCTCTCTTTTGAGCTCGTGAAATAATAACTGTACAGAGGGGAGAGGGGGTATATACGCACCTACAGAGTGGGGGTACGGCATTACGGAGAGTACACCGTACACGGGGAGCTATTCGTACCTAGTGGCCTAGACAGACTAGAGCGAGATCGCGCGCGGGCTTGGGCTTGACCCTGGGCAAATCGACTGTGTCGATCGACTAGTAGCGCTCTCCAGCGGCCAAGCCCGAGAACTAAAGGACTGGCAACGTGGAGAAGAGCCCGCTGTTCCGCGCGGAGAGAGGAGTGGCACTCTCTCACCGGTCCATGGCGCCGCTCCAGTACAAGCCCAGCAGCAGGCTAGTGAGGAGAATGTAGAGCGGGGGCAGCATCAGCGCCATCCACGCGTCGATCTTTGCAGACTTGCGGACGAGCGCCTTGTCCTCCGCGTGGATCCAGTCCGAGCCGCCCATCGACCCCTCCCCGTTTGGATCCGTCGGCTTGGGGAGCGTAGATTGGCTGGCGTGGTGCATGAGCGCGGGCAGCGCGAGCACCGCCCGCGTGAGCAGCGAGACGGGCTCGGCCGGCGGGCTGCCGGCTGGCTCTTTGCCCGCCCCGAGCGGCTCGCCGGTCGTGAGGCTCAGCGAGACGTCTGCGGGCGCCGCCGGCTGCTGCGCGCCGCCGGGAAGCTGCTCCTCGAGCGCGCGCTTCGCCACGAAGGCCGCCTTCCACTCGCCAACGAGGGCGGCGCGGCGCTCGGAGCAGAGTTCGGCGGTGCGGCGGTCGACTCCGGCGGTGAGCACGAGCTGGTAGCCCGTGACGACGAGCATGAGGCCGACGACGGCGAGTTGGCAAATGGTGAGCGCCATCACGAACGGGACTCCCTCGGTGTCGGCGGGCAGGCCGAGGCTTCGCGGCTGCAGCAGCGCCGCGGTGGCGATAGCGCCCAGCGCGAGCACCTGCAGCCGCGTCGCGGCGGGCTGCAGCGCCGCGAGCGTGGTCAGGCCCATCTGGACAAAGGCGGGCACGAGGACCCTGAAGACGTTGCCGACGGCCACCCGCTCCAGGTGTATCTCGAAGTCTGCGCACAAGTGCGAGAGTCGCTGCTTGCGGCAATTGGCGCCCGGGCTGGACGAAGAGGACGGCCGGATCACAGCCAAGCGCGGCGTCCAATCGCGCTTGGTGTAGATTCCCTCGAGGTCGTCCCCATCGAGCCCAGCGTCAGAGTAGCCCGGCGAGTCGAAGTTGAACGAGGTGCGGCGGGCCATTCCGGGGCCAAACTTGTCCGCGAGGAAGAAGGAGCCTGTCAAGACCTGTGTGTCGAAGGGGAAGCCTACGGACGGCCAACGGGAGGCGTGTGGGTGCGGTGGGGGAAGGGGCGGCGGCGGGAGAGGAGGGGAGGGTTACGATTGAGGTTGAAGTCCGACTTGAATGTCATCTCGAGCAGTACGTGCTCCTGCAGGTAGACCTGCGCCCGCCACGGGCACGACTCCTGCGTGCACGGCTGCGTGACGGGCTCCGGCTCGTGAGTCGCGTTGCCCGCCGTCCTATGCACTTGCAGCATCGGGTTGCCGGACACAAAGCTCTCCTCGCTAGAAATGGCGCCGTCGGCCTTGAGAACTGGTCTCCACCAGTCTTTTGCCGGGACGGCGGCCTCGCCAGCGACGACGCCGCGGTAAAGATCGATGCCGCAAGGGTGGACAGCGTACCTGCTAGTCCAGGTCAAAGTGACCTCGACGACGACGGTGAATTGTGCGGAAGAGACCGCCTTGACCGCGTTGACCTTTAGCCGCGAGATGTGGATGACGAGGTCCTGCTCTGGCTCAAAAATCAAGAGGGGCTGGCCGGGATGTTGAGTCGGCGGCACGCCGCAAGGCATCTGCTGCCCAGCATCGTCAACCGGGCACGGGAGATGGGGGCCATTGGCAGCGGTTGCATAGACCGCATCGATCCGGCCCGACCCCATCTCTGGGTATTGACGTGGCGGAGCGGGTATTTTGTCCTCCCATTTTGCACCTCCCACGAGCCAACTGTTTTCACTCCCGAGAACAAGCAACGATTTCGCGTCGATATACGTGGAGTCGCTGAGGGCCACCGCCGAGTATGTGTTGATGCAGTTAGCGTCATCGGGCGTGCAGTCCCCTCGCTGTTGACACACCTCGACGCTGTAGTCGTAAGACTCGTAGAGGTCATTTTTGCGGGGCTCGACTTCGCGGATGTAGTTGGCGGCGTTGCTGCTTTCGCTCAAGATTGTCCATCGGCAGTCCTCGGGATACACCAAGTCCGCCATGTGGTACCACGCACCGTAAAGATCCCAAACACCGGAGACGCCGTTGCAGTCGGCACCTACCGGCGCCGACCCCCAGCTGTTGTTCTTCCCTCGTCCGCACATGGTCGAGGCCCAGTTATCAAAGCCCCCCCAAATGCACATAGAAGCAGATCCGTACCATGCCGACTGCTTTTCCGGTGCACGCGCCCATTCCGCCTTTCGGACGAAAGTGTATCGCGCATCATTTGAGTCCGAGTCCACTTGGTTGAAAGGATTCAGCCATGGTTGGTCGAGCGGGAGGTAACAATTTTTGGCCTCGTCCGTGTCGTCAAGCCTGCACGTGTGCTGCAGCAGCACGATCGAATTGAGTCCCGCTATGGACGCCGGCGGGTAACAGAGTGGGCCCGAACGAGACAGGTATGGTGAAAAGCAGTACTCGAGATCCGGCGCGAGTGCGGAGGCGTTTTGCGGCTCTCCGTGCCATTTGTCTGTCCACCCGAATGGGTGAGAGATCTGCATCGGCCACGCCGCGGGCGAAAAGGACACGACGTCGGTCGTCGGCGAGTAGCGCTCCGAAAAGATCTTTGACTCCGTCAGGGCTGGGTGGGAAGCGACGCCGGCGGTCGGCCAGAGCAGCCAGAGCAGCCACGAGCGCTTGCGGCCGATGCGGAGCGTGGGGCAGGAGGACCGCGCGCTCTGCCGCGGAAGTAGCCAGGTCAGGACCGCGCGCTCGGCCGCGGAGGGAGCCAGTTCAGGCATCAGCGCTGGCCAGGGGGACGAGCACAGAGCTCGGCGGGCGCCGATTTTCGTTTTCTTCTTGTTCTCTAAAAGGCCACGGCGTGACTCGATGTTATTCACATAAACGCACAACTCCGGACCCAAGACGATATCGATGTTATTCACCCTCTACACCTCATCTCCTTCGTTCGACTCCGACCAACACGGAACAGTGTGGCGCAGAGGCCCGTGCTGCGGGCCGCGGCTTGCAGAACGGTGGGCTAGGCATAGAGCCCAGCCGTTTTAATAGTTGTGGCTTACTCGTACATCCCAGGATCGAGCTGTTTGGGGGTGTTTGAGGGGGGAGGGGGGACGACACTGCTTCGGCAGCGTGCACCTCGATCCTGTACCGTGTTTGTTATGACCCCCCCCAATGAACATACCAGTGAGGGAGGGCGAGACGATCGAGGGGTCCCGTACCACGCGGAATCGACCCCATCCAGTTATCCAGTGCTCAAGTGCTCAAGGGGGGAGGGGGTTGTGTTGCGCGCTTCTCTCTTTCGTGCACATGTACATGAACATGTGGACTGCCTGCGCCGCGGTATCGTCGACCACGGTCCCCAGCCTTGCCATCGATCCGCTCATCACCAGGCTGCTCCGCGCAAACGGAGCAGCGGCATTTCCGCCGAGCCTTGACGAGATCAACGCTGCGGCTGAGGGGCTCACCGTCTGGCGCCATGCGCTCGCGGCCGGCCGCCTGCCAGATTACGGAGGCACAGACGGTGGGTTGCCGCCCTGGCCACCACAGCCACTGCTCGGCACGCTGACCGACACGCTGAGCCGCCTCAGTCTGCCGCGAGCGACGGCGCGGCACCCGTCGCTCGTCCCGGCAGCCCTCGCCGCCGTGCTCGCCGCTGCGTCTGAATTCGACGCGCGTCGGGTGGCCGCGGTGACAGGCGAGTCGGCCGACGATGACACGGAGCGAGCGGCTGCAGAGCGAGAGGGGGAGGCGGCGGAGGCGGAGGCGGCGGAGGCGGAGGAGGCAGAGGAGCAGCTGCAGCTCGAGGCGGCGAGACAGATAGCGCTATCCGTCGAGTCGGAGTGGGCTTCGCCGCTGCGCGGCGTCCGCGCCGTCGAGGGCTTGGGAGGTGGCAGCGGTGGCGACGTCGGCGCGCTGACTGCTGCGCCAGGCGACAGCTTCAGCCTGGCCGACGGGCTGTGGCGGCACTCGGGCTGGAGTGCTCTCGAGGGTGTGCAGGCGAAGCTGCGCGAGCTGGACGAGCTCAGCGAGCTGGTGGCGAGCCTCGGCCAGCGGGCCGCGCCGGAGGGCACTCCCATCCGCGGGCCTGCAGTCTCGTTCGACCCGCAGGCCGCACCCTCGGCCGCGCTGGGCTCTTTCCTGGAACCTGCCCGGACCTTTCCTGGACCTTTCTCTAGGCCGCGCCCTCTGCCGCGCTGAGCGAGCTCTCCCCGCGCGAGCTGTCCGGCCTGTCGTAGATGCGGGAGCACATCTCCAGATCACATCTCCAGATCACATCTCCAGATCACATCTCCAGACCACATCTCCAGACCACATCTCCAGATGCGGTTCACATCTCTGTCACAGCACGCAAGGCGCCTCGTCCTCGGGCGGTACTCGACACTGCTCAAGCCGCCAGTCGCCGCGCCCGTCGCTCTTCTAGTCCCGCGAGACGCGGGTGTGCGACAGTATAGATCCACGCCTCTCATCCTCCAGGCCTCGCGCGCACCGGCGACCTCGCGCGCGTCACACCGGCCGAGCTCGCGCTGCTGGCCTACGGCGGCGGCGGCGAGGGCGGCGGCGGCGAGGGCGGCGGCGGCGGCGGCGAGGGTCGGGCCGGCCTCCGGCGGCTGTTCCTCAGCCGCCTCGCGGAGCGTCGGCTGCTCGGGTATGCCCTCGAGGGGTGGGCGGAGGCGAGCGGGAGGCCTCGCCGTCGGCGGCTCGCGCGGCTGCCGCGCGAGCGAGGCGGGCCGCTCGTGGTCTGCCTCGACACGTCGCACTCGATGGCGGGCGGGCGAGAGACGATCGCGAAGAGCGTCGTCCTCGAGGCCGTCCGCGCGGCGCACGCGCAAGGGCGACCGTGCCTGCTCTTTGCATTCTCCGGCGCGTCGGACCTGGCCGAGCTGCGGCTGACTCCGGCGGCGCGGCGCGGCGCGTCCAAGAGGCGGCGCGACGCGGGCGGCGGCGGAGCGGGCGGCAGCATGGACCGGCGCAGCCTGACGCGCCTCCTCGACTTCCTCGCGTGCGGCTTTGGCGGAGGGACGGACGTCGCCTCTCCGCTCCGCCGCGCGCTCGACGTGCTCGAGCGGCCGGACGGGGCGGACGTGGTTTACTCCGGCGCAGACTTGCTCCTCGTCTCGGACGGCGAACTTCCCGACCCGCCCCTCGACCCGCCCACGGCAGAGAGACTGCGGCGCCTGCGCTCGCGCCAGGGCTTCGAGGCGCACCGGCCACGCCGGCCGAAGCGCCACACCACGTCGCCTCTCACCGTTGGTCGCCTCGGCGCAGGTGCACGGGCTGCTAGTCGGTGCGCCGCGGCCGACGCCGCTCGATCAGCTGTGCGACGAGGTGCACACCTGCCTCTCGCGTTTCGACCCGCTCGCTGTGATGCGAGAGAGGTCGGCGGCCCGGCGAGAGGAGCGGCTCGAGGCTGCGCCGGCGTGGCGGCGGGCGGCGCACCGCACCGCGCTGCCTATCTCTCGCTGAAAGGAACCTCTCATTCGCTCGTCCGCACCCGTCACCGCTCACGGAGTGCTCCGCGTGCCGCACCGGCCGCCGCCGGCCGCCGGCCGCTTACGCGGTAACGGAACAGTGTTACTACTCCGCAACGTTGAGCTGGATCAAACTGAATAGTGCTCCTGAAAGCCCTCTCTCTGGGCTCTGCCACACAGTAGCAGCTCACGACTAGCAGCTGCTGTGGCTGTATTTGTAGCCATTTCGTTAGGCTTCAACTGGTCCCAAAATAGTAGCAACACCTCATGAAAATCAGTCAAAAAAGCCCCAAAAAATCGGCGCCTGCGGCGGGCTTCCTGGGGCTGCGCCCCGGACCCCCTTGACTGGGGGGACCCCCCCCGAGAGAGCACACCCCCGTCGCGCCCCCCGGGGGCCCGTCGACACCCCAGGAGGAGGATGCTGCTGTGCAGGGCGTGGCTGGGAAGGTGGACGAGTCGCTCGAGCGTCGGGACGAGCGGGCTTGCGCCACTGGTGGAGGATTCAGTATGCCGCAGGCGGCTCCCACCTCGATGGGTTATCACTCCTGCACTGGCGCATTGAAGAGGGGATCAACTCATCAACATTCAACAAACAGGAATCGAGGGTGACCGCATGTCTGCATCAGACGTGTCATCCGTCCCGATCGTGACCAACCAAAGCCACCCCCTCTTCGTAGACCCCATTCTGAGGGGTCCTGATTCCAAAGCCGCTCCCAGCCGCACCCGCCAAGCACCTGGGTGCCGCCTCCACCTCCGCCTTCAATCTCAATGTCCCACCCCCCACCCCCCTGCGCGCGGGCCTTCTAGGCCCGCGGGTACATGTAGTCTCCCCCCATCCCCAGGGCCTCCAGGGCTCGCACCTCAACCTCTCATAGACCAGCGCAAAGCGCCATATGACGTATTTTCTTGGGGCAGTGGTTTTTCTTCTCCCTGTCGAACTCTCGCTTCGCCCCTCCGTGGGCTGCAGTTCCTGCTTGCTTGCTCCCGGCTCGCCGCCGCTTGCCGGTCCTTCGAATGAAGCTCCCACAGCTGCTTGCCGCTCTGCTGCTCGTCGTCGCCTATGGTCTCAGATTACCGCCGATTTCGCGTGGCGGGGTGATAGGCGCGGCGTTCGCAGCCAGTGCGCCGGCGCGAGGCGGGCGGCGGGCGGCTCGGTCTACCGCCGTCTGCATGGCGGCACACGCGAGGGCGACGGGGGCGGGGGCGGAGAGGAGGGCGGGCGACCCGGCAGGGCCGCCGCGCATGAGCGTGGCCGAGGCGGCCGAGGAGGCCGAGGTGGGAGCGTCGGCGGACTTGCGCGAGCGCGCGGCCGCCAGGGTGCGGCAGCAGCTTACGGCGAGCGTGAACGCTCCCCACAACCCCCGCGGCGTCAGCGTCGCTGGCAGCGTCGGCGCGACCGTGCGACGAGCGACGGCGCTGCTCGAGGTCGGGCTCATCGAGCGCGAGTGCGAGGCGAGGCTGCTGCTGCTGGCGCTGGTGGGCGGGGAGCACCTTCTCCTCCTGGGGCCGCCGGGCACGGCAAAGTCGGAGCTGTGCCGGCGTCTGTCGACGATCGCGCGCCTCGGCTACTTTGAGCGCACGCTCACACGCTTCTCGACGCCCGAGGAGCTCTTCGGGCCGCTCTCGCTCGCCGCCCTCGAGCGCGACGAGTTCAGGCGAGCCACCGCCGGCTACGCGCCCACGGCGGAGCTCCTTTTCCTCGACGAGATCTTCAAGTCGAACTCGGCCATCCTCAACACGCTGCTGACCTTACTCAACGAACGCCTCTTCGACGACGGCGCCAAGCGCGAGCGCGTGCCGCTGCTCTCCGCCGTCGCCGCCTCGAACGAGGGCCCGGAGTCGGACGACTTGTCGGCGCTGTACGACCGCTTCCTGCTGCGCCGGCTAGTGGCGCCCGTCTCCGACGACGGCGTGCTCGAGCTGCTGCTTGGCGGCGAGGCTGCCGAGGGCGGGAGCGTGGACGCGGCCCTGCCAGACCTGCGGGAGGCGCTCGAGGAGGTCCGAGCCGCCGCGCCGTCGGTGCGATTGCCGCGGCACGTGGCGCTGCTGCTGCGCGACGCGCGCGCCTTTGTGCGCGAGACGGGCGCCGACGGCTTGGGAGGCGGCTACGTCTCGGACCGGAGGCTGCGCCGCTCGGCGGAGCTGCTCAAGGCTTGCGCGGCGGCACACGGGCGCGACACGGTCCGGAGCCGCAGCGCGTCAAGAGTGCGGCTGTCCTCTCTTCACACCCTCCAGCCTAGATAGGTCTCTGTTGTCGACGTCGCGGCGGTGCTGCCCCACGTCCTGTGGGATACGGCCGAGGAGGCGGCCGCGCTGGCCGAGTGGGTCGAGGACAACGCGTTGCCCGACGGCGGCGCCGAGCAGCTTCGTTTCTTGCTCGAGTCGGTGCGCTCGAGGGCGGCGGCGGAGGCGGCGGACGAGAGCGCCGGCCCAGCAGCCGAGGCAGCGGGCGGCGGCGGCGGTTTGGCGGAGGATGCCCTCGCGCTGGCGGCGGCGACCCTGGCGGCGGCGGCCGAGATGCGGCAGCACGTGGGCGCGGTCGAGCGGTCGGCGGAGCACCTCTTCCTCCCGGCGGCGAAGGCGGCGGTCTTGCGGCAGCGGCTGCTGCCCCGCGCGCGGGAGAGTGCGGAGGAGCTCGAGCAGCTCGCGGCCGAGGCGGCCCTCTTCGAGCTGGCTTTGGCCGACGGTCTCGACGAGGAGGGGTGGGCGGCGCTGCAGGCCGAGGACGACCTCGACGGGGGCGGCGGCGGCGAGGCGGGCACAGCGGTGGAGGCGCCAAGCTTCGATTTTGACGAGGCGGAGCTCAGCTGGGGCCGCAAGGAGGCGAAGGCCAAGCTCGGGCCCGAGGAGTTCAGAGCGTGGCGGAAGGCGGCGAAGGCGGCGGCCAGGAGAGGCGACTGATAAATAAATACACGCAGCCATCTCCAGGAGAGACGACTGAGGTCGATAGAGAAAGAGGAGGAAGCGCACCACCCAGCGGGCCGGAGATGAGATGATAATTTTGACCGCGCAAAAGACATAAGGGGGTGGCTAAGGGCTATGCTCGCAAGGCGCCAATAGCAATATCCGTGTTCGTACATCGTAGCGAAAGTGCCGGCGCGAGCAGAACGTCCGCCGAATCCGTCCGTGCTTTCAGGCGCAACTTGAGGGGAAGCCGCTGATCGAGCCCAGCGTCCCGCGGCCGCCTCTCCCGCGCAGTACCGCCGCTGGGGACGACACGCTGCGGAATTGGATCGAGCCCCCATGGAGGAGGAGGGCGCAGTCGGCGAATTGGAGGAGGAGGAGGGCGTCGAACGAAGCCGCCTCGTGTGGGCCCGATGGGCGTTGTCGTGTCTGACTCAGAGGAGGCGTTGGAGGTGCTCCAGCAACCTAACCTGATTCGGAAGCTCGCCGACGTTGTCACTCAACGTGCGTCATGCGTGATCGAGCTTGAGGGAGGAGATCAGCTAACGATTCGGCCGGCCACCCAGCGCCGCCGCCCACCGCCACCCACAAAGCGCCTGCTCTACTACCCCATGCCACCCGCTCCACTTTCCACTGACCATGCCCGTGATATTGTACTCGAGTACCATCACTGCCGCCGTCCTGATACGTGGCAGCTAGACTCGGTAGTTGTAACCCCCTGAGTGAGGAGCAGGAGAGAGAGAGCTTTTGTGGTGTTGGTGTACGCAATAACGGGACAGGGTGGATCTCCCCTTCTAGCTCTTAGCATGAGCTGCGCCCTGTGTCCGACCCCGTTTCGCTTTTGCGCAGCAACACCTCAATTAAACTTTTAGGCCCTCCAAATTCGGGTCGGAGCGTAGCGCGGAGTGGGCCCCGAGTTTGAAAAGGGCGACGGACGCTTGCGTCCTAGCAACAACGCCTCCCCAGCGCAGAGGGGCCCCTCTTCCAGCTCCGCTGAGAGCATCGGCCTTATTTTCCTCAGGCCTTCTGGCATCCCCGTGCGGTGCGCATTCTCAATCTGCTGCGCAGCGCGGGTTTGCAGTCGCATAGTACTAGGCACCGTCGCGCCTGCGCGTCGCTCGCGCTCGCCATTTTGCGTAGGTATGTAGAGAGTTGTTGGTATGTATGCGAGTATCGCGTACATCTCCGCGTCTATCACCTCCACGTGCTCGGCAGCTTTCCTCCCCACATCGCACATGCCCGCCCCAGAGGCTGTCCGTATCTCCTCTTCTCCACAGGGTCCGATCCCGTTGGGTTCCTTTACCTGTGCGTCTCCCGGGACGCGCCTCCCAAATCGCGTCGGTCCTTCGAACACGCCGTACGCCACCCTAGGATTCGGCACGTACTTTCTACCCTCCGCCATTTCGTCTTCAAGGTCCTTTCCTCCGTCCGTCGCCGCCAAGTGTGTGAACTGGTGTGAGACGTGCAGCGCGAGACCATGTCTGCGCTACTTCCACGCACCACGTTCAGAGCTCGTCCCTTCCCCGACTTGAGCGGCGAGCCCTCGCTGTCTTTTCCCATCTTGATTTGCGCTCCCTTGCCGTCTCTCAGCTCTCCCCCGGTCTCGACGGCGGTCCTCTTCCCAGCTGAGAGCGCACGTTATTTTCTTCCGGGTTTCGGAGAACGTCCTGGAAACATTCGCAAGTCGCCGACTTCCATGGATTCGTTCGGCCTTGTTCTCCTCCTCACGTCGGCCAGCGGTCTCACCGTCAAGCCCGCCCTCCTCCCACCACCGCGGTCAATCGCCACGCCTTCTGTGGCCACCAAAACTGCACCATTTGAAGCGGCTTATGGACTCCATAAGCCGCGCATCAACGAACCGCGGATGGCTGGCACCGACTCTGACACCGCCTCGCGTGCTGGCGCCGCACTGCAGATGGCGATTTATGACGACGCTCGCCAGCGCTCAGCCAGAGCGCCACGCCGCTGGCCGGCCGCGAGCAAGTGGGTGCTGGCGTCGGCCGCCGCCGCCGCCCTGGTCCAATGCGATTTGGGCGGGCTGCTCGCGGCGTACAACTCGGCGCTACATGATTGGCCATTCTCCACCAAGGCTCTGAGCACTGGCATCACCTACGTCCTCAGCGACTTGACGGCGCAGGCTCTCGAGCGGCGGGCTGTCGCCAGCAGCAGCGGTGGCAGCCGGCAAGGCATCACCCTGTCGGCGGCGGGCAGCGAGAGCAAGCTCAGGGTCGGGCGTGCGCTGCGCTTTGGAGCGGTCGGCCTCCTCTGGGTGGGCCCGCTGCTCGCCGGATGGTTCCAGCTCATGGAGCACTTTGTGCCCGGCCGCTCTGCCGGCGCCGTCACCCGCAAGCTGATCCTCGACCAACTCGTGCAAGGACCCTTCATGATCGGCACCATGTACCTACTGACCGGCGTCTCGGGCGGGCTGGCGACCGGCCGGGGCTTTGGTCGATCCCTGCGGCAGGCTCGTCGCACGGCCGAGCAGCAGCTGGCGCCAACGTGGGTGCGGTCCGTCTTTGTGTGGGCGCCGGTGCAGGCGCTGCAGCAGTTGTTCGTCCCGCTGCAGCACCGCGTGCTCGTCGCGAATGGGGTGAGCTACTTCTGGGACACGTACCTCGCGAACAAAATGGGCGGTGAGGACGAGAGCTGATGCCCTGCTGAGTTCCGTGAGCCATGTTCCGTGCAAGCACGCCCACTAGCGAAACCGAGGGAGCCGTGGTACGTGTGTGCACAATCCCTGTGACAGTATGTGCATGTACGTGCATCAAAGTCACACGTGTTATCTTTTCTTCTGTTGTCTAATCTTGTGTTCACATGCAACTCTTAACCGACGCTCCCGCACCGCGCCGGGTGCACACTTGGGGACACTTACATGTGCATGCACATGTGCCAATTTGGTGCACACTTGGGGACACGCGGGAGTGGGAGTGCGAGCGTGGAGGCGGGGGGGGGCAGGCGCAGGGCGCGGCGCGGCGGCCCCGCACTGTGCGCACTGCGCACACCCGACCGCAACGCGCAACGGTAAACTCCATCGTCCATGCGCCGGTAATGGTAAACCATGCGGTAAACCTAAACGCGCGCGTACACACACAAGACACAGCACACACAACGTCTCATCAACAGGTTGGCGCAGACCTCGCTCTGAGAGCTGTGCCTGCTTTCGCCGAAACCGCTTCATTCGCTTGTGTGACTGTGTGCGGCCCCGCGCTGTGCATGGCCCACCGCGCCGGTGTGACCTACGGCAGACCGCTGTCTCCGCCATGCTCGGAGCTGCTCGCCCGCTCTAGAGCCCCCAAGCCGTCCCTGGACCGCCCAGATCGCCCCAGCCGTCGTCATCGGCCGCGGCACTCCACGAGGGGAACGACTTGTCCTCCGCCAGAAAGTGCTGGTGGTACTCCTCCGCATCGTGCCTAGGGACACGCGTCGGGACGCGTGATCGACGACTCGAGACGAGCGGTAGCTGCACGCTCCTCGCGCCACGCGCTCGGGGGCAAGACAGGAACCAGCCCTTCCTTGCCCGCCTCCGCGAGCGCCGTCCGCGCTGCCGCCGCCTGCGCGCCGGTGTGTGCCCAGACGGCGACCCGCGTCTGCCGCCGCCGGAGGAGGTGGAGCGCGGAGTCGGCGGGGAGGGCGCGCACGCGCTGCACGCGTGGGTCGGATGCGAAGCGGCGAACCAGCTCGCCGTAGGAGACGACCTGCCCACACAAGCAGGCGTGAGTTGACCTGCACCGCGGCGCGGAGGCCTGCGCCGCCGCTCGAGGCCGACGGGTCGAAGTCGAGACGGAGCGCCTAGTGCCCGTGGCAACGCCCGCGACTCAGCCGCCGGCCCAGACTCGCGCGGAGGCGGAGGGGCGAGCGGCCTCGGTGTGCGTGTTCGCGCGGGCGCAGACGCTCTCGTACGACGGTGGCGCCCCGGACGGGTCCCCGTCGCCGTCGCCGCCCGTGTAGCCGACGCGGGAGCGCAGGACGCCTGGTGGACGAGAGAAGGGGCGCGAGCGTCACGGGCTGGCGCACGGCGGGCAGGTCAGCGAGGCGCCTCACCCGGGATCGAGTCGTACTCGGACTGCGGCAGGTGGAATCAGCCGAGGCCAAAGGTGGCCGTCTCTGTGCGGGTATGCTCCTCCCCGCGTGCGCCAGGAGAGACGTGCGACACATAGTAAAGCCTCGCAGCGCGCGCCATCTCCGCCTCGCCGGCGCTCGTCGCCTGCACTGAGGGTCGCGCGGCGACCGCCTCCATCCACGAGGCCGTCCTCGCAAGCCCCTGCTGACGGCAGAGCTTGAGCAGGTCAATGTTGCGCCAGTACGGTAGCATGAGCAGCATCCGCTCGACCCACGGAGCGGCGACGCACTCGGCCAGCGAGAACGCCCCTCCGAGCAGGAAGGGCGCCGCGCCAGTGGACGCCTCGCGTCAGCCTCCTCGCGCCATCGTGCGCTCCCACAGAGATGCCTCCACCGCACGTAGCGTCTCCAGGAGGCCGGCGACGGCAGTGCGGACCTGCGCCTCGGACTCGGCCTTGAGCACCGTGTAATAAGCCGGCTCGACCTGGCTTGTCCACACACCCACGAAGGCGTCGATGGCAGCCGTCTCGGCGCTCGGAAGCAAGTTTGTGTGCCGAGTGCGGAACTCTGTCGCCACGCGCCTCGCGACGACCGCTGACTCCGTCACCACCTCCCCGTCATCCATCACGAGGAGAGGCACGAGGCCGGTTGGCGACAGCCTCAGGAACTCCGGCGGTTTCTTCTCGAGGTCGATCAGCGTGTGCTCAAAGCGTGTTTTTGTCTCGAGCAGCGCAACCCAAGGGCGCTGCGCAAAGGGTCACACACCCGAGTTGAAGAGGCGAAGCCCGAATGGTGCGAGGGCGAGCATGACTCCGCCGAGCTGAAAGCCCAACTGGGCGTCCCTCGCGGCTGCTCCAAAAAACAAAACCGGGAGGGTTGGGAGCGAGGGGGCGAAAGCCCAGCCCTCTCCGCGCGGCGATGCGCCCTCCCCCCTCGCTTTTGCAAAATCCTGCAAAGGTGGGGACGTGTCTGTCCTCGACCTAGCCCTAGCTTGGGATGTCCGTTGTATTTATTTATTTATCGAGGGGGCGAAAGTGTTCAGTGCGGTAGATGGTAAGCTCGAGGCGCGTGAGCCGGACCTGTGAGCCGGACCACCCCCTCTTGTTCCCTGCGTTGTTGAGCCAGGACTCAACATACTCGGGCTTGCTCATCCCAAACTGTCACTCCCCTTTCTCCCGGCCGGGGTGGGGCGCGCGCGGGGGCGGCGGGTGTGCGGCGGGTGTGCGGGATGTCTGTGGGCCCGAGAGCGATTGCCGTGTCCGCCTTGCGTTTGTTTCAAACATCGAAGGCTAAGCTCAAAAAGAAATAAAAAAAGGCAAATATTATATATGTCGCGCTCCGCATGCCGCCGCTTGTTGACAGCGCGCTGGGCGGCGAAGTCTCAGAGAACGTCCTCTAGGCGGCTGCGGACGGCCGCGTGGGACCGGTGCGATTGTGGCTGAATGACGGCGGGAAGGCGGACACGCTCTTCCACGCTGAGTCTCAGTGCGGCCAGACTCCATGCACCCTGCTGATGCTCTCCGCGCAGGCCGGGCACGTGCAGATGGTCGAGCTCCTCCTGAAGCGTGGCGCACACATCAACCTGCAAACCAGTTGCGGGTCCACTGCGCTCAACACTGCCGCCGCCTGCTACGGCAACGAGCGAATGGTGGAGATGCTGCTGCTGCACGGAGCGGAGATAAACCCGCAGGACTCCGCCGTTTGGTCGGCGCTGGCAGTGGCTGCCCAGGGTGGACAAGAGCGGGTTGTCGACCTGCTGCTGCGGCGTGGCGCAGAGATCGACATGCAAGACAAGAACGGTGGCACCGCGCTGATGCTCGCCGCCTTCGGCCATCCCGCCGTCGTTCTCCGCCTGCTGCGGGCGGGCGCAGACATGACGTTGCGCGATGCGGAGGGCAAGACGGCGCTGCAGTGGGCCAAGGAGGAGGGCCACGCCGAGTGCGTCGAGGCCTTCAGGACGCATCTCGGGGAGGTGGCAGCGGTCCGGAAAAAAGGCGCCGTCAGCCGAAGCAGGCGGCGCAGGTGAGGCGGTGGGTGCGAGTGCCGCGGCCTCTGCTTCGAGCGGCGAGGGAGGCGCGGAGGTCGAGCCGAGCGGCGGCGGGGCGGTGCCAGAGGAGGTTGAGCTGGCGGCTCGGCGAGGCGATGAGGAGGCGGTGCTGGCGTGGCTCGACGGCGGCGGGCGGGTCAACGCGACGTTCGAGTACGTCTTTTCGGAAGGGCCTGTGAGCGGCATGACGCTACTGATGCTCGCAATGACCTACGGCCACGCGGGGCTGGCTGAGGCGCTTCTGCGGCGCGGTGCAGATGTCTCGTTGCAGAACAGCAGAGGTGGCGCCGCGCTGGGTCTCGCCGCCGCGAACGGCCGCAAGAAGCTGGTCGAGCTGGCATTGCAGCACGGCGCGGAGGTGAATCAGCAAAACAATTCCTGCATCACTGCGTTGATGGACGCCGCCTACAAAGGCCACGAGCGGATTGTCGACTCGCTGATCCGGCACGGCGCGGCGATCGACCTGCAGGCCAACAACAGCGACACCGCACTGATTCGGGCCGCTTTCAACGGCCACCCCGCCGCCCTCCTCCGCTTGCTGCGGGCGGGTGCAGACATGACGCTGTGCACTACGGATGGCACGACCGCGCTGCAATGGGCCAAGAAGCAGGGCCACACTGAGTGCGTGCGCGCCCTCGCGGAGCATGCGGCGGCCGAGAAGGCGGCCGAGAAGGCGGCGGCGGAGGCGGCGTGGGCCGCGGGAGCGGCGGAGAGGGCGGCGCAGAGGGCAGCGGAGGAGAAGGAGGCGGCGCGGCACGCCGAGGAGCTGCTGGCGGAGGTCGAGGCGGAGAAGCGCGCCAAGGGCAAGAAAGGCAAGAAGAAGAAGAAGAAGGGCGGCAGGCCGGGCGGGGCGGGGCCGTCGCAGGAGCCCGAGGAGGGTGCCGAGGGGCCGTCGCAGGCAGACGCAGCGGAGGCGGCGAAGAAGGCCGAGGAGGCGAGGCTTCTCCTGCTTCTCGAGACGCTCACCGAGGAGAGGATGCGGCTTGGCATCACGCCGGAGAGCCAGGCGGCGGCGGCGGCCGAGGTGGCCGAGGTGGCACGCTTGGACGCGGAGGCGGACGAGGCGGAGGAGGAGGCGGAGGCGGAGCAGGAGGCCGAGGCGGCGGCCGAGGCGGCGGAGGCGGATGCCGAGGCGGCGCAGGCGGAGGCCAGGGCGGCGAGGGACGAGGTCGTGGCGGCGCTGGAGAAGGCCAGGGTAGCGCTGGAGGAGGCCAAGGCGAAGCTGAGCGGGGCCGAGTCGGCTGTTGAGGGGGGCGAGACGGCGCTCGAGGAGGCGAGGGCCGCCACAAAGATGAGGCGTGCTGCTGCAGCCGCTGCGATGGCCAGGGCAGCCGCCGCCAGGATGGCAGCGGAGGCGGCCCAGCGCTCATAGCGCGAGCTGCTCAGAAAGAATCGCGTGGCCACCATCCTGCGGACTGCTCTCCCGGATGGGTGGAGCTTGGGAGCTTCCGTCGAGGACGCGCTCGCCGGAGGGTCATCATGCACTGAGATGTGTGCTTGGGTGACTGTTGTCGTTGTTCGCTTGAGCCGGGGAGGTCTGAGCGGGGGCGGGGCGGGCGCGGGGGGGGCGGGGGGGGTGCTCGAACGGCTTGCCTCGGGGAGAGTTCGCCGCCCGCGGCACCCCCGCGGCGGGCGGGCGGGGAACGTGGGGGACACCTTTGGAGCGGGTGTGCGGGTCCGGAGACCGGCGCACAGAGGACACCGCCAAGGGGAGCTTTCGTGACGAGTTTTAGAGTTTCTCTATTAGAGATTACACACACAAAGAATAAATACAATAAGAGACCAGATCTAACACGCAGCGGTCAACGCTGGGCAACGTAAGTGACGGGACCGTTCACAAGATCATGAAAGAGATCCCCTCCTGGACCCGGCGCCGGCCGCACGAGATGGAACACGTCTCGTAAGCCGGGCCGCGTAAGCCGCGCGCTCTTGCTCGCCTGTGTTGACTGCATGCGCATCCGCAGCTGCCGTCGAAGCGTTTGGGAGTGAGCAATTTCTGCCACACGTCATCTGGCACCCGCCCTGGTACACCTTCCTCCAGCACGCTCGCCTCCGCCGCGCGAGCGTGCACCGCACGGACCCGAGGCGATCTACGAGCGGCATGCCGGGTGGGATGCAAGGCACGCGCACCGCCTTGACGCGGGATCTCAGCGGCGCCACAATTTGCGGTGAGGGGTGCAGTGCCGCGCACTGCAGCACAGCCTCGCGCTTGCTCGCCTCCATGCCCAAGCAACCCATCGCGAAGGCCTTTGCGACTCGCTCCAGCGCGTCCCGCTTCTCGAGGAAGTTTCCGGCGGCTGACACGTGCACCGCCACCTTGTCGCACACCGTGCACATCCTCAAGCCGGACCTCCTGCAGTAGTGCATGACGGAGCGACTGTCGCCTTGGATGTAGGCTGGGTTCACGAACGTCGCCCGCAACGTGCGGATTGCGTCGCTAAAGACGACTTGCTCGAACTTGCGCATCGTGTCGCGGCCGTCAGAGGACACCATGCCACGCACGAGCCGTTCAAACATTTCACGGGTTCGTTGGGTTGGGCGGGCGTGATAGATTCCACCGTTATAGGTGTTCCCCCTGCAGGTTGACTGCACACACGATCGATTGAAGCTGGTGCCCCGAAAGTCGGTCCACGCAGTAACCTGCATGTCATCCTCCCCATACCGTCGCTTGTAAACCTTGGCCGGATCCGAAAGGAACAGGACGTCGGCATCCGCCAGAGTGGTGGCAATCCCTAGACCCAGCGCATGGCTGACCAGCTCAACCCTCCGCCAGCATATCCGCAGGTAGAGCTTGTGCCTGACACCGCGATCGTGGTAGCCCGTCTCAACAGAGGTGAAGTTGCCAGCGCCCTGCGCCAAGAGCGCGCGGTCAAGGAGGTGCTCGTCCCTCACGCAGTTCTGCAGCTGCTCGTGGCGACACTTGTCGTACGATGCATCATCCCAGCAAATGACGACCAAGCGTCCCAGGAGCTGCTGCAGGCCCATGGCACGTGCGTGGCAGATCTGGCCCACCTCCCACAGCGGCAGGATCGCTGCGTTGAGGAATGTGAGGATGATGCCGTCGTCAGCCGCGATGTTCGCCTGCTTCATGGTCCGCGTGACGGCCGGCGCAATCGCCGTTCGGCTTGCCGCCATCGCCACTCCGGTCTCCGCCCGCGAAGCAAACTTTCGCCTCTCATTCGACGCTGAACTGACTATCTGACACCCCCCCTTTCCCCCGCTTACCCCGCTGGGCCGCAAGCCCGGCCTCCGCGCCCTGGAATGCTTTACGGCGACGTTATATAGACTGTACTAGTGTGGGACCTGCCGCGTTACCCGCCTCTGTTGTTCGGGCAGTGAGAGACGCAGGATCTGCACGCGAAGTGGGCTCCACTCCGCATTTGCATTTTGGTTTTGGGTGTCGGAGATCATCCATCGCAAGCATTGCTAAAAATCTCTCTCTCGCAAGCACTCATCAGTCAGCTCGGAGCCGCACGCGATGCTGCGGGCGCCGTTGGCTCCGTGCCTAAGGCAGATAGATTAGGGTGTGAGCTGCGGCAGCCAGTCGGAGGCCGCGATGGATGGCCCAGGGCCGGCGGCGGTGAAGGCGTCCGTCGATGAAGGGATGTCGTCGAGGGAGCCATCGTCCTCCGCGGCTGGTGCACCAGTCCAGTTGTCGGAGTTCGAGATCGCAGTCGCCCGTTGACGAACTCACGGAATGTGAGCGACTTGGTGCACGCTGGGTCGAGCATCATGACCCGCATCTCATCCTGGGCGAGGAAGTCGCCCAGGGACCAGCTGTTGGCGTCGCCGTTTTGATCGAGCTGCATCCAAAAGGTGCATGGTTTCGTAGTCAAGCGTAAACGCCCAGGAGTTGGTGCCTGGGTGACTTGCTGATGAGAGCGCCTTCCAGGCGGGCAGTCGTGCCCCTCACCTACGGTCATACGGCGGCGTCAGAGGGGGGGAAGGGGCGCGAAGCGTGAACATGGAGGCAAGCAGGTGGTGGGCACCTGGCCAAGGCCGGCGACCTCAAAGTTGTCGTGATATCGCTGAGCGTGAGAGGGACCGGATCGGCAGCAGCACGGGAGGAGTCAGCGGCCGGAGAGGCCGGAGAGCCATCCGACGGAGGCCGGTCGTGCATCGGCGCGTCGGCCGTAGGGGCCGTAGGGGCGGCATCCGTCGCTGCGGGTCGCTGCGGGCCGACGATTGTGGACTGATCGATCGTCGGCGGGCGGATTTCGGCTGGGACGTTCTACGGTTAAACCAAGAGCGTCGGCGCCGACACGAGAGACTTATAAGGGTAGATGTGTTCGACTATGGACACTATATCGACCGGCCGCGAGAGCTGGACGAGGGCGCGCCGCCGACGCCCAGCTCCACGCTGCGCGAGTTGGAGGTGTCTTCGAGCTCGCCGTAGTAGGCGTCCAGCCAGCGGGCCGGCTCATTCTGCTGGCCACCACGCGGCGGCTGCGCCACCCGCGCCTCAAAGTCGAGCCTGTGCGGCCGGCCCATCGCTTCGGGTTGATAGGGGCGGGGTCGGGGCGTGGGGAGGGCGCGCGAGGGCGGCCGCACATCGTCGCCATGCGGAGAAAGAGCCACTCGTTGAAGGCCTGCCGCTGGACCTTTTCGAAGGTGGAGTTGAAGACGGCGATCAGGAGGTTGAGCAGCACAAAGTAGGAGAGGACGATGTACCCCCAAAAGAGCACGTCCCCGGTGGCATGCAGCTGGCCGGTGAGGCCGTCGAGCAAGGAGCGGTCCACCGACGAGAGCAGCCACAGCAGCTGCTCCTGCAGGATGCGCGGGTAGCCGCCGTAATCGAGCGACTCGCCCGAGAGCGCGAAGAGCACGAAGAAGGCGTTCGCGAAGCCGATCAGCACAAAGGCGTACAAGCCGCCGAAACGCGTGATGTCGACGAGCATGCCTCGGACGGTGACGAGGAGCGGGCCTGGGGGCGAGCGGAGCTGCATCAGGGGCGGGGAGAGAAACGGCGGGCTCCGCTGCGGCGGCGCGAGCGTGCCGAGGGAGCGGAAGAGCGAGGCGTATTCGAGGCCGCGCACGGCAAAGGAGAGCTGAAGCAGGCCGGGCAGCGACTGGGCGACGGCGTAGGCACTCGCCTTTCGGGGAGGGGCGCGCGCGTGGCAGCTGGCGCAAGCGGGGATGGCCGGGGAGGAGGAAAGGGCGGGAGGCGTCCACAAGCGGGACGTGGACACGGCTCGCCTCGAGGGCACCGGCGTCGGCCGGCTGCTGCGGCAGGAAGTGGAGCGGAGGGAGGGCGAGGATGGCGAGCAAGTGGCCGGCGTCGAGCACGTTCCACGCCGATCCAAAGTGAGCGGCGAGCCTACGGAGGGGGTGCCAGCCGAGGGTCCCCGCGGCGAGGCAGCGAGGGTGGCCGGCGGGGGGCGAAGCTGGCCCGTTCCGTCGCACCCCCGCCGACTCCACCGAAAAGAAGAAGGGCCTACCGGAGTGGCGCCGTTGGACGCGTGGCGGACGTGCCCCGCCCCCAGCCCGCCCTCTCCCGCTACGAGGCAAGCTTGCCAGCTGCCGAGCAGCGCGAGGGTAGAGACGACGAAGACGGGAGAGCTCGCCACGACGGCCGGGTCTGCGCCGCCCGCGCGCAGGTCGAGCGAGTTTGCAAAAGCGGCTCCGACGAGGAAGAGGTACTGCGCTGTCCGCCTGTTCCATAGTGACTCGTCCGTAGGGACTCGGTGACTCAGAGGTAGAGGCGCCGCGCGATCCGCCTCCAAAAGACGCCCGCGCCGAAGTCGCGCCACTTCCGTCCGACGAGCGAGCGGAGGAGCGGCGTGGAGAGGAGCTCCTGCCCGCGCGGGAGAGGCGTGAGGGGCGAAATGGGTGGGGTTGTGTGTGTGTATGTGTGGGGGGGGGGGGGGGGCTCCTTTCGCTTGTGCTTGACGACGAGCTGGTCGACGGTGAGGGGCGGCCCGCCTGCACGCAGCCCGACCTCCGTGAGAAAGCGGGAGGGGCCGGTCTGGGCGGGGCGGCGGGCAGGTCTGCTGTGCGCCGTCGAGCGGCGCGAAAGCGAGCGGCGACGCGGGCCCGTCGAGCGGCAGGACGACGCCTATCGGACGGGTCCGGGCAGGCTCAGAGCGGGGTCCGGCTCGGGCCGCCGCGTGGCGAACACGACGCCGTCGAACGAGTACCAGAAGAGGTCGTTTCCCCACCTGCCCCGCCGGCCAAAGAGAGGACGGCTCAGATCGAGCGGTGGGTGGCTCAAGCGCGGGGCATCGCACACCAGCGGTACTCGAAGCGCGACTTTGCGTCGAGGAGCCGCGCCTTAGGGGCAAATCAAGGACAGGTCAAGGACAGGTCAAGGACAGGTCAAGGACAGGTCAAGGACAGGTCAAGGACAGGTCAAGGACAAGTCAAGGACAAGTCAAGAAACGTCCTCTGCGTCGGGCGGGCGCGCCGCCAGCGGCTAGTCTCGGCTAGTCTCGGCTGGTCTCTCGGGGAGGCGCACCGCCAGCGCGGGCAGCGTCTCGATGCCCATCGAGAGCGCCGAGCGGCCCGCGCCGTTCTTGCAGTAGCCGTCGACGCCGAGCTCGAGAAGCAGCTCCGCCTGCATCTCGGTCAATCTCGGTGCATCCCGATCGATCTCGGTGCATCTCGGCCAATCTCCCGACGCCGAGCTCAAGCAGCTCCGCCGAGAGGTTGCGCGGGCGACTCCATCTCGGCTGAGAGTCTCGGCCGAATCTCGACTACTCTCGCCGTCTGCAGGTTGCGCGACGACTCCATCAGCGTGTGCAGCGGGTTGGAGCCGTCGCCGTCCGTGGCGAGGAAGACGGAAGGGCGCACGCGCTGCCGCATGAAGGTGAGGACGTTTGCGTTGCCGTTGAAGGCGGCGGCGTGCGCGTACGTGAAGCTCGGCGACGGCTGCAGCAGCCACTCCACCTTTTGCTCGAGGTTGAGTCCGAAGCGGTGCAGCAGCGAGAGGGCCTCGACGTCGCCCTCGAAGCAGGCGTGCGCGCCGGGGCTCGACCAGTACCACCGCGGGTAGTTTGCGTCGGCGGCGCCGCTCGAGAGGGCCTCCTGCTCGAGACGAACACGGATTAGTAGAGGAAGCATGAGCCGGCGGCGCCGCTCGAGAGCGGGCGCGCCTCGATGAGGGCGAGCCGCTCCGCCTGCGACACGCCGGGCAGCAGCCGCACCAGGTTTCCCTCGTCGGGCCGCACCTAGCCGCGGCGCGAGCGGTGATTGGACGCCCGCACGGAGTCCGCCTGCCCTCTGCTGCGCCGCCGCACCAGCAGCGCGAGCGGCGAGCGGCAGCGCCCCTCGAGCTGCATCACGCGGGAGCCGTCCGCAGCGTACGGCGCGGGAGGGAAGACAAAGTCCCAAGTCTCTCCGGACGCGATGCTGCGCCGGATCGCAGTGACGTTTCCCTCGATGAAGGCGGTGAGCAGCTCCGCCTTTTGCGGTCGGTGAGGGCTAGGGTTAGGGTTAGGTTGTGAGATGAGGGCGGCGAGCAGCCGTCGCCTTTGCGTCGGTCGACTCGTCGCTCAGGTAGCCGGCAGAGAGGGCGCGGCCGACGTACTTTGCGCGGAAGCGGCGGAAGAGCAGGTCCTGCACGGCGTACACGGTCTGAGCGTCCTTGAAGCCCCCGGCGAGCGAGGCCGTCAGCTCAGAGATTTGCATCTCGAGCTGGCTCACCTCGGGTGTCGCCGCCGCCCCCACGTCGCCGACTGCTGGCGTCTCGGCGGATGCCGGCTCGGCGGCTGGCGCCTGCGGCGGCCCATGCTCGTCCTCATTGCCGCGGCTGCGTACCAAACGTCGAAGGGCCAGCCTCGCTCGAGACCGGCGATTGCTACCTCCGTCCACGTCATCGCGCATCAGTAGTGCGACTCGCGTCCTCGCTCTCTCTCCAGCCCGATGCCATGCTGTTGTCCACGGCACCAGCGCAGCGACCGGCGTCGAGAGGAGGAGAGCTACAAGAGCCGACATCACCGCTGAGTGGACAGAGGAAAAGAATTCAGACAAGAGCCACTCATTCGACACAGGTACGATGGAGCGCTCGCCGAAGAGGAGTACGACAAAATAGCGCCCGTGATTGCCTGCACGCTACCCGCACTCACGGACTCCATACCCGAAAGAAAGAGAAGGGAGCTCGCGGGAGAGGTGACGAGTGAACTACAGGTAGTGGGGAAGGCAGCCTCGATTGCCATACAGACATGGGTGCGAAACAACGACAAGACCAAGGCACGGGCAGAGGAACGAGAGAAGAATATAGGGTGGATAAAGCGCCTGTTCACGGCATGGAGGGTGAGCCACACCGAACGTACCGAGCGAAGAGCCGAACGGAAGGAGGACGGGGAAGATGACTCCGAGGAGGACGAACCAGTGGAAATTCAGTTGTCAGATGTCACGATGCATCCGAAGGGGACCCCAGCGCCGGCATCATCCGTAGAGGCACGAGTGTTCGAAGAGAGAGTGGACCTGAGCAACAACATGACCTGCAGGCAAATGATCGGAGTGGGAGTCAGAAATGTGGTCCTTGCGCGAGGGGAGCTCGATAGACTCGAGGGGCCAGGATATGCAGCAAGGAGGGCGGAGCTGCGCCGAAAGGCGAAAGAAGCCGAGAGAACAAGGGAACGGCAGGCGGCGGCGGCGCAGGACGAGGCAGAAGAGAATGACGCGACAGAGGAGGAAGTGACAAGGGAGAGAACGACGAGAGTGGGACGGCCGCGAGGTGGCATGAAGGTTGCAGCGAGAATCGGCGAGAGACTGCGAAAAGAGATAGGAAGAGGCAGACTCCCTAGGGTGGGCGACGGCTAGCGCATCACACTCCTCTCCTTAAAATCCCTGTGTGGTGGCGGCGTGCCGTCCTCCCATCCCTCCCTTGGGTTGTCTGTTTTCTTTCTTTCTTTTACAGGTACGACCCTTGTCAGGAGCAGGAGAGCCCCACCTGTCCCCCTGATCGTTCTTCCAAAATCCTGCTCGTGCAGGTGTGGACCCTGTGTCCTCGTCCCATCCCTCGTTTGGCGTGTCTGTTTTCTTTCTTTCTTTTTACAGGTACGACAGAGGAAAAGTGTTGGAGAGTGTGAACTCAAACCTACTTCCTGACCGTAGCCTGACCGTCCTTGTGTAACCGTCTCATGTTCATGTTTGGTTTGTCCTGCCGCGCACATTGTCATCGACTTGGTGGCTGTGTGTGGTGATGTAGCGATGGTGTGGGTCTCTAGTGACCTAGCTCCTCCGTGTTCCGTCTCCTGACATGGTACCGACCGGTGAGTGCACGGAGTGAGCAGTGCGGCACTGAGGCCGACATGAGAGCTGGTGCGGCACACAAGCGAGATGTGTTGCCGCACAGCATTTCCGGCTTACGCTCGATACGTTGGCTGGCACCATGGGCACCCGCGAGCCGTGGTGATTGGCTGGGCACAGAGGCTCGGCGCACGGTGGCACAGCGGCCGCCAACTGCTCGGCACGGAGGCTGAGCAGAATGAGTACAACCGCAACATCAACTTGGGTGCTTGCGGATCTTCTGCGACAGAGCGCATCTCCGCCAGCACTGCGGCTGTGTGGACACGAGTATCCCCTCTTGCTTCTCCTTACCGGTCCGTTCTCCTCGCCTACGGACCACCATCGCAGCTGCTGCCTCCGCTACCAGCTCTCGGGCTGCTGCAACGGCAGTTACCGCAAAGATCTCGCACCGAATGTGGACCCTGCCTTTCGCCGCCGCTACTTCCGACGTCGCCGCTCGACACGACCGGAGCTGTACGCGATGAACACGCGACGATCGACACGCCCTCTCTGCCTTGTGTGGCGATTACCACGTCGTGGGGGAGTGTTGGGCACCTGTTCGACGTGGCAATGCCACTCTACCTCATTGCTGTCTCTTCCTCGTCTCGCCTCCTCGCGCTAGCCCGTCCCGCTGTCCAACGCCTCTGGCAAGAAGTCCAATGCGCCTCTACGAGCGTCTCTGCCGTCTGGACGTCTGAGACTGAGCCTGCCATCTCCGACGTCGGCGGCCCGTGGCGCAACATCAACGTTCGGGGCATTGAAGATCGTCCTCACGTCCCTGATGCGCTCATCCGCGTCAACGCGGCGAGGCCTCCCAACGGCCCAATCGCCGCGCAGCAAGGGGGCGCCCCCGCTGCCGCTCCCGCGCCCGCCGCGCCTGCCGCGCCCGCTCAAGCCGCCGCCCCGCGACGCTCAGCCCGGATTGCAGCTCGCGGCGCGCCATGACCGAGCTCCACAACGAGCTCCTGTTCATTATCTCCCCTTTCTCTCTCTCCGCCCACTCGGCCGCGCTTTGACCCCTTCACTGGATCATCTTAGCGCGCAAGTCTTGCCAACAAGCAAGACCATCCTTCGCGAAGACGCAAGGTTGGACGCTTAGCCAGCCCCGCGAGACGCCGGGCGGGTAACCGGCATACCTACGCTCAGACACATTCACACTCTGTGGCTGTGGTGATGTAGCGATGGTGTGGGTCTCTAGTGACCTATACAGCTCCTCCGTGTTCCGTCTGCTGACAAAAAGAATTCACGTTACGCGGCACGCCGCATACTCGATCATTCGTCTGGGCGCTCCATGTCAGCCGCAGACCCGATGCCGACCGAGCCCTTCCAGCTCTCCGCCATCCTCACCGGCCACGAGCAGGACGTGCGATCCGTGGGACCGTTCGCCGACGGCCAGGTCATCACCGGCTCGCGCGACGCGACGGTGCGTGTGTGGAAAGTCGACAGCGAGTCGGCTGACGGAGCCTCTGCCACGTGCACGCACACGCTCAGCGGCCACACGCACTTTGTGGGCGCCGTCGGCATCACCGCCGCCGGCGAGGCCCTGTCGGGCTCCAACGACAAGCACATCATCATCTGGAACACCGAGGCGGCGGCGCCGGCGCACGTGCTGCAGGGCCACACCGAGCCGGTCACGTGCGTCCGCGTCTCGCCGAGCAGCGGGCAGCTCTTCTCCGCGTCGTGGGACAAGACCGCGCGCGTGTGGGACCTCGGCAGCGCCAGCTGCGTCGCCGTGCTGAAGGGGCACGAGGCGGCGCTCTGGGCGGTGCAGCCGCTTGGCGAGGAGGCTGCATCCGACCGGTGCCTCACGGGGGGCGGGGACCGGACGATCAAGCTCTGGGCGGGCGAGACGTGCGAGCGCACGTACGAGGGCCACAGCGACGTCGTGCGCGACCTCGCGCTGCTGCCCGGGGCGAGCCTGCCCTGCCGCTGCTCGCCGCGACACGCGACACGTCCACACGGCGCGCCCTGTGTCCCTCTCGCAGGCGGGCTTCCTGTCGTGCTCGAACGACGCGACGGTGAGGATGTGGGAGCTGGGCGGCGAGTGCCTGCGCGTGCTGCAGGCGCGAGCCCCGCGGGGAGGGGAGGAGGCTGCGGGGCGGAGGAGGGGACAGGGCGGAGGAGAGGAGGGGACGGGGCGGGAGGGAGAGAAGGAGGCGGAGAGGGAGGCGGAGGGAGGGGAGCGATGCCCCGCGTGGCCTCACCGCAGGCGTCGGAGACGTTCCTCTACTCGGTCTCCGTCCTGCCCGGCGGGGAGTGGCTCACTTGCTCCGAGGACCGCACCGTCCGCGTCTGGGCGGGCGGCAGCGACGACTGCGTCCAGTCGATCACTCACCCGGCGACAGTGTGGGACTGCGCGCCGCTTCCCAACGGCGAGCGACGCACGCGACATACACCCCGCCCGCGCGCACCGGCCCTTGCGCGCCAGCCCCGCCCGGCTCCTGCCCCTCTCCGGGACGTGGAGATGGTAGGGGATGGAGGTGGCAGGGATGGCCGGGGCCCCTCGCCTCGCTCCGGCGCGTGGAGCCGGTCTCCTTGTGCCCCTCACAGACAAGAGTCGAAACCTACACCCGCACCCTCACCCTCTCCCTCTCCCTCTCCCTCACCCTCACCCTCACCCTCACCCTCTCCCTCTCCCTCGCCCTCTCCCTCTCCCTCACCCTCTCCCTCACCCTCACCCTCACCCTCACCCTCACCCTCTCCCTCCACCCTCCACCCTCAGGCGACATCGTCGCCGGCTGCGCGGACGGCAGGGCCTACCTGTGGACGCGCGCGGCGGGGCGGGCGGCGCCGCAGGCGCTGCGGGGCGACGCCTCAACGGCGGTGTCCTGCGCCTCGGCTGCACCTCGGCTGCACCTCGGGAGTAGGCGCTGCAGGCGGGCTTCAAGGACGAGGTCGCTGCGGTGGCGATGCCGGCGCAGCAGGCGGGTGGCGGGCGGGGCCCTCGGCTGTGGTTGGCTGCTCACTCTCGGCTCTCCGCCTCGCGCAGGTGGAGGGGATGGTCGGCGATCTGGACGTGTCGCAGCTGGCGAGCGAGGAGGCGCTGGCCCAGCCGGGCGAGCGGGAGGGGCAGCACAAGATCGTCAAGGACGAGGGCGGCACGCCGATGCTCTACACGTGGTCGATGGCAAAGGGCACGTGGGAAAAGATCGGCGAGGTGACGGGCTCGTCGGGCGGCACGTCGCTCGGCAAGCGGATGCACGGCGGCAAGGAGTACGACTACCTCTTCGACATCGACATCAACGGCGTGCCACTGCCCGACCACGACACGTCCACGACACGTCCGCCGCTGCGACGACTCGCGTCCGCGACACGTCCGCGGCGCGTCCCTCTAGGCAGCATGCTCAAGTTGCCCTTCAACCGCGGCGACGACCCCTGGTGGGCGGCGCAGCAGTTCCTCTGGAACAACGACATCGACCAGGCCTTCCTCGACCAGGTCGCAAACTTCGTCATCACAAACACGCCCGGGAACCAGGCCCCGTCTCTGGCCCGCGCCCACCCCACACGCCCCTCCTCCTCCCCCAAGCTCCTCCCTCCTCTCCGCAGGTCTCGTCCGGCCCGCGCAACGCCGACCCATTCACCTCTGGCGGCTCGTACCGGCCCGCCGCCAACGGCGCGGGATCGAGCGGCGCAAACGGAGGCAACGCCGACCCCTTCACCTCTAGCGGCGCCTACCGGCCCGGCGCGGCCCCCGAGGGCACGCCGCCGTGGCGCGGGAGCTCGAGGCAATCTCCGAGAGGGCCCGAGGGGACCCGCGGCTGTGGCCGTAGGCGTGCCCAGCTGTGGCGGGTCGAGCGCGCCGCAGGACCCGTGGATGCGAGGCGCGTACACCACCGCGCAGGGCGCCGCCGCCGCCGCCGCCGCCGCCGTTACTTCCGCCGCCGCCGCCGCGCCGCCGCCTTCCTACGTCTCGTTCGAGGCTGGCAAGCACGACGCGGCCCTCGCCAAGCTGCTCGAGTTCTCCGCCAAGTTGCGCGACGGCGAGGGGCCCGACCTCGCGCTCGACGAAACCCAGGTCGCGAGAGATCGCGATCGCCCCGAGATCGCCCCGAGGTCGCCCCGAGGTCGCCCCGAGGTCGCCCCGAGGTCGCCCCGAGATCGCCTCTGCCCCCCAAGGACACTCAAAGTCCCCCGAGGTCACCCTCCCCCGCCTCCCTCCCAGGAGAGCGGCCTCGCCGCGCTCGTCGCCGAGCTGCGCAAGGGCGGCGCCTCCGCCGCCCTCGCCCTCGCGCCCGCCACCCTCGCCACCTTCACCGGCGAGGGCGGCCGGCCCGGCCTGCTCGGCTGGCCCGCGCCGTACCTCTTCCCGGCGCTCGACTTGCTGAGGCTCGCGCTGCTCCGCGCGGCCAGGAGCGGCGTCGACACCCTCGAGCCGCCGATGGCCCTGCGGCTGACCGCGCTGCTCGCGCCCGGCTCCGCCGCCGCCGCCGAGAAGGCGGCGCCGCTCATGGCGCTGCGCGGGCTCGCAAACATGGCTGCCAACCCCGCGCTGCGCCCGCTCGCCGCGCCGCACGCTGGCGCGATGCTCGAGAGCCTCTCGCCCTTCCTCGGCGGCGAGAGCCCGCCCGCCACCCGCCTCGCCGCGAGCTCGCTCCTCCTCAACGCCTCCTCGCTGCTCAAGGACAAGGCGGCGGCGGCGGCGGACGAGGAGGGCCTCCTGATGCAGGTGCGGCCTCCCCCCCCCCCCCCCCCTCCCCCACTCCCTCCCCCTCCTCCCCACACTCCCCACTCACCACCCCCCCTTCCCCCCCCTTTGCCCGCCGGTCCCGGCCCCACCGCGCACCAGCCCTCTCGCCCCGATGGCCGGCGCCTGACCCGCCACCGCCTCCGCAGGGCCTCTCGCTTGTCTCGCACGCCCTCGCCACGCCCTCCCTCGAGGAGGAAGCCCTCTTCCGCGTGCTCTGCTCGCTCGGCGCGCTGCTCGAGACGGGCGCCGCCGCCGCAGAGACCGCGAGCTCGCTCGACATCGAGTCCGCCCTCGACGGCCTCCGCTTGCCCGACGGCGGCGCGCCAAAGGTGCGCCAGAAGCTGGCGGCCGTCCGGGCGGCACTCGCCAAGCGCAGCAAGCAGTGAGCGGCCGCGGCTGCGCGCGCGTGCTAGCCGGCGGTGGGTGCAGGCGAGCACAGTCTTTCCCTGGCTCACACAGAAGCTTCGGCTTGCGCGAAAGCCCACCCGTTTGGTATCCCGGCCGAACGCGCGCGACATATCTGACATATGTGCTAATGTCGTATCGTGTGGCGCCTGAGACGAGTCAACGAGCGAACGCCCTTTTGCTGGGTGTGTGTATGTTACGACACGGAATATTCTGCGCACACCAGCGCGCAGCGCCATAGTGTATTTTCTTCTCAATTTCCCGCCACACGCACGATCCTCCGGATGACCTCTCCGCTCCTCGCTCCTCTCCGGATCCCAGTCTGCAGTCAGCCCCGTGGGCGTGGCGCTAGTCCTCTCGTCTAGCCTTTCAGTGTACGACTGTATCTAGATACGTATCTTTTTATAGAGGGGAGAGAAGCGTGTGTGTGTGTGTGTTCTCTATAGAGGTCCCAAAGGTAAAGCTCGAGCCCAAGGCTGCGTGAGAGCTCGGAAGCGAGCTTTGCACGGCGATCGAAGATCTCTCTCAGTGTGTAGGTACGACTTTGCGTTTTAGCTTCTCAGTGTGTACCCTCTCTCGCTCTCTCAATGTACGTAAGAGAGTGTGTGTGGCTATTCGCTCTTACGAATCTGCCTCTCGGAAGACGCGCGCCGGCTCGGGGGACTCGCTTGCGATCCCGTTCCAGCCACAGAGGCCGCGTGAGGCGTGTGGGACGGTGCACCCACGCTGGGGCCCGAGTGCACTGGCCACGCGTTTCGAGGGGAGGGCGGCTCGTAACTGAGGTTCGCCGTCAGAGACAGTCGTCCTCCCCTCAACCGTGGGGGGCGTTGGCTTGATCCCACCGGATAAGGGCGGGCAGTCTTCCGTGACTGCTGTCACGCTAAGGCCGACGCCCCCTTGTCCACCCGATGAGAGGGGATCACGGGGCTGCAGAACATGTGCGAGCCAGCGCCTACGCCGCTTAAGGAGTCAGGCGCGGAGCGCCGCGCGCGGAGCGCGCCCCGAAGAAAATTTTGAGGGTTGAGGAGGGCTAGGTGCGATTTCTATTAAGAGTTGACTCACACGCTAGGAACCACTCAGCCCACCCACAGGCCCAATCTCAAGTGGCGGCGCTCCGCGCCTGTGCAGCGGCGCGCTCCGCGCGTGTTCTGCAGCGGCGCGCTCCGCGCGTGTCTCTGGGCGCTACATGCGGCCGTCGCCGTGCCCTTCATCAACCTTAGGGGACCCCTAGGGTTCTGAGGGCCGGATTTTTTAAGACCTTTTAAGGAACGAGGAGGTTTGGGGGCTTAACTTGCCATCCTCTTTTAACGGAGCGGCCGCTCACTGCTCGGTACCCCCCCTGCACATCTAAAGCCATCCCTGCTGCTAGGGGGGGGGGTCTGACCCCCCCAGCAGCAGAGCGCTGCTGCCGGGGGGGGGTCCCGACCCCCCCAGCAGCAGAGCGCACGGAGACCCAGCTCTCCCGCCTCTTCGCCGCCGCCCCACCCTCTGGGTGTCTTCCGACAAATTAAGCAGCCCGACCGCCGCGAAGCGTGATGATAGCGAGAGGTGTACTCCGCGAGGTTGAGCGCTGCACGCGGTAATTTTGGCGGTGTCGCAGCGTCGAGCAACACTCGGTGTCAGAGCGTCGCGCCAAATCAGTAGTCTCATCACCGAGTGATTGCTGGCCTGTGGCGTATGACCTCGCGCGGATATCACCAACGACGAGCATGCGAAGATAGGGAACAATATCTTGTACAGCCCGCTGTGCTCCCCGCAGTGCCACGGCGTATGATGGGCTGCGAGAGCCGTATCTTCCCTCCTTGAGGCAGAGGCGCCGCGATGCACGAGAGGCGTAGAAGAGAGGCTGGCGTGCCCCGCACCTCCGTAAAGGTACGCCCCCCGGCCGGCTTACTAGGTCCCGCCCTTCTCTCGGAAGACGCGCGCCGGCCCGGGTGACTCGCTTGCGAGGTAGATCCCGTTCCAGCCAGAGGCTGCGTGACCACCATGGAGACGTCCGGCGGCGCCGAGGAGCGATATCGTGCCGATCTCCTGGCAGATGATGTTGAGCCCCTCGGCGATGCGAGCGCGGCGGGAGGCGCCGCCGAAGACGGAGTCGGCGACGCTCGAGACGACGCTGAAGGAGGGCGCGTTGGACGCCGGAGCGGGCGGGTCGTGCTGCGACGCGCCGAGCCGGCCGATGCTTGCTGTCGGCAACAGGTTGGAGAGCGCGCAAGTCGAGATGCCCCCGAGCCTTGCACTGACGACGGCACGCCACGGGCTTCGCGTGAGGCGTGCGAGGCCGCGCGCGAAGTACGGTGGGGAACCCTTGCGTGTGATCTGTCGGTATTCATCCATTTTGCGCGTACTCGTGGTGTTGTAAGGACGTGCTGCTCTGAGAACCAGACGTCTCGAACACAGAGAGCCCGGCCCTTGCGGAGTCGCGCACGCACAAGACACCACCAGAAACATAGACCACCATGGCAGTCCCCGTCGACGCGCGGGCGGCGAGTGGGATGGGGCTCGGCCGCTTGCTCGGCGCACGTTAGCTACGCCGTGGGCTCAGGCCCCCCCGTTCTCACACCGACGCCGCTCGTTCAGGCCTCGCCGAACTCGAACTTGAACTCGTGGCCCTCCTCCTGCGAGGCCCACTTTGCGCCCGCGATCGTGAAATCGAAAGCCTTGCCATTCGCCTTGAGCTCCTTAGAGAGGTACTTCACGAACTTCTTGTAGCTGCGTGGGAGCAGCGCGACGGGAGGTGAGGGTTCAGCGGCAGTAAGGCGCGTGCGGGAGGGGGAGCGTGTGCGGGCGTGTGCCGTGTGCGGGGCGGGTGTGGAGGCGTGTCACTTCTTCCCGTTCTTCGTGATGGTCATGGAGGTGGGCGAGCCCGGCTTCGGGGAGGTGGAAGACTTCGCCATGTTGTTGATTATGACGTCTGCGCGCGCCGGGGGGGGGGAGCACCCGTGAACAGGCCGTGGCGGTAACGATTGCCGGGAGAAGGGAGAGTGGGATGGGGCTGAGGGGCGTGTACGGCGGCGGGCTGGGCGGCGGCGAGGGTGGCAGCGGCGAAGGGTGGGTCCGCACGCAGCGGGGCGCGCGGCTGTGGTTCGCGGGGGCGGCGTGCGGATATTTCTTCTCTGCCGCAGCGTCTGCGACGTCTGCGCGCGACGAACGCTGTGTACACCCCGGGTGGCGGCGGGGTGTCGGAAACGAGCCGTGGCGGGGTGGGCGATGCGCCGCGCCGCGCCGTACGGCAGGCGGGGGTGGGACGCGGGCGCCTCAGAGGATCACATCGCTTGAGGAGTTCGCTACACATACTATCAGCCACCTGCAAATGGCTTTTTTTTTGAGGCGCTGTTGCGGCAGTTGATGTGAACTCGTGTCGCCACACGCCAAGGGCGTATGCTCTGTCGAGACGTGAGGCGCCTGCGCCCAGGAGGGGAGGGCGCATGCGTAACGACGCTGCTAGAGAAGCCTTTCGGGGGCCCAGAGATAAAACTTCTGATGCCATGCGTGACCTAGTAGTGTCCCCAGCTATGGGCGTGTCCACGTTGGAGCCAGGTGTGGTGTGGACGCGAGAATAGCTCCGCCATTCATGGAGGCAACCGATGCGAGTCGACTGGTGTGTGTCGTCGTGGTTTCGTATCAAGAATACTCACTCACATACTCACATTGCGCCTTTCATACAGGAGTTGTAGTCCATCAGCCCCGACCGGCAGCACGCTGTTGGTCGGTTCGAGGGGTGGCCTCCGCCAGGTCTGCGTGGGCGCCTCTCAAACCGCCTCCCTCCTTTGCCCCGAGCGTCGTTCCGCCCTCCATGCACACCATCCTCGAGCCACCATCTATGTCTCCTCTGCCTGTGCCTGACAACGACCTCACAAAGGCGCGTGGCGACGCCCCCTCGCAGGGCCAGATCACTTTACCTGGTCGTAAAAGCTTGGGGCGCTACGACGTACGAGAGGACCAAAGTGTGGTAAAGGTGGCACTCTCCCCTGACCCGATCAAAAGCGTAAAAGCACCCGACTCCCGAGGCACAGGCTCCCACCACCAGCAGAAAATAATAAGCATTATATATGCATACGATAAATAATACGAGCGAGTGAGTCATTGACTCAATATCGGAAAAGAGAAGGCGTCTGTAAACCGCAAAGAGACACGCATAGAGCGCTATCCGCCAGCATCTCAGCAGACAGCACAGACGGTGAGGTCGAAGAATATGTCAGTACTCCTGTCCCACACCCTCTCCGGTCCCCGCTACCCCGCCGCCTCAGCCGCCCGCCCTCCAGTCGTAGCTCTCCAGCGGGTCCTCCACCTCGTACGTATCCAGCGGAGGAGGTGTCGGCGGCAGCTCCCCTCCCGCGGGGTGCAACTTCTGCGCGACCACCATCGCCGTGCAAAGGACAGTGACGACGGTACCTGTGTAGGGTCCGAAAGGGTTCAGCGATCGCTGCCCAAGCACCCTGCACACCACTGCGGTGGCGAGGGCGCCCAAGGCGCAGAGGAGGCCGTGCGCCGCCACAGACGCGGGCCGCATCGCCCCCCGAGCGAGCAGGACGTACATCAGGGGCGGGAGCACGAAGGCGATGACGCCTGCGACCGAGCGGCCAGAACATGATGTGTGTGGCCAATGCGAGCGGGGGCAGGACAGCGGCGGCGGAGGCGGCAGAGGCGGAGAGGCGGCGGAGGCGGCGGAGGCGTACCGACGTTGAGCGCGCCGCTCAGTGCCACCAGGAACTTGAAATCGGGCAGCGACAGCGCCTACTCTCGGGCCACCTCGCGCCCTCTGTCGGCCGACTCGAGCAGGAGCAAGTCATGTCGGGCAGCGGCGGCGCCGTGAGAAGCGAGACGAGCGCAAGCGCCGTTCGCGCCGCCGTCCTGCCGCATGCATGGCTGTGGCCGCCTCCCGCCTGCTGCGCCCCCCTTGCCGCCTCTGCCGCGCCGCCGCCCTCCTCTTCCGCCCCCTCGCCCGCCGCTGTGTCGTGCGTGAAGAGCGCCTCCTCGACGATCTGCGACGCGGGGAACATCTTGATGGGCAGCGAGAAGAGGACGGCGACCTACGGGGAAGGCTCCGGGACGGCTCTGGGGCCCGGAGCCTCTCTTGCCAGAGGAGCGAGAGGGCGACGGAGACCGACATGCAAGCCTTGAGCCCGGCAGCAAGCCCGCCGTCGACGGAGAGGAGAATGTTGCCCTGCGTCTCGTCGCCGTAGAGCACCGCGCAAGCGAGGGCGTAGGCGAGGATGACGCCGACGCCGGCCGTGGCGAGGGCGAGCAGGATGGAGGAGTACTCTCCTGCGGGGAGCGAAGCCGAGTGGCTGCGGATTGGAGGCAGGAGGTGTGGCGGAGGCAGAAGGTGGCGGAAGCAAGAGGGGTGGCAGAGGCAAGAGGGGTGGCGGAGGCAAGAGGGGTGGCGGAGGCAAGAGGGGTGGCGGAGGCGAGGTGGGGCGCCTTTGCGCTCGCCCATCGAGAGGACAACGGCGACGGTCGAGTCGTGTCCAGTGAAGGTGAACAGTCCCACGCCTGTGCGGCAGCGCCGAGGACGCGTCGTGGACGCGTCGAGTCGCGGCCAGTCAGGTGAGCCGTCTCCGCGCCGATAAAGGGAGCGACTGCACTCGGGTCGAAGCTAGCCAGGCGCGGGGCCGCCTCGTGCGGGCTGGCGAGGCCCTCTCCTACAGGAAGGCTCCGAGAAGCGTCGGGGCGGGGTGCCGCCTCCCGCGCGTTTGCGAGGCAAGGGCCTCTCCGAGGACGGTGAGGAGCGCGAGCAGCAGGACGGCGGTGCCGATGGCGGAGGTGGGCTCGAGCATCGACAGGTCGCGCAACCAGCAGAGGAGGACAAAGAAAGGGGTGACGCAGAGCATGACCCGCTCCTGACGTATGAGGCAAGGCAAGCTTTGCACGCCAGGCAAGCCCAGCCGCCTGGGCAGAGCTGGCAACGCGCCTTTGGCACGCCGAGCAGCTGGCCGACGTTGTCGCCAATGAAAACGAGGTAGGTCGCACAGCACGCGAGCTGACTCACCAGCATGTTTCCGGCGCTCAGCAATCCACCCGTGCGGCCGAGGGAGTGGAGGCAGAGCTCCCCGTAGCTCTTCGGCGTCACACCTGCTGCCACCGCGGCATCAACACACCACGCGAGGAGCTGCATCGTGTAGATGGACCAGATCCCGCATAGCGCGGTCAGAAGGCAGCCGGCCGGAGCACCCACAGCAAGGATTGCGCTCGGCAGCGCGAGCAGGCCAGTTCCGAACACCGACTTGACGCTGTTGATGTAGGCAGCCCGCACGGCGGAGCGCGGCTCGAACCAGGTCGCTTTGCGGTCGGGCAGGAGGGCCTCGGAGAGGTTGGCCATCGGTGAGGCCGATAGCTCCGTACTACCGGGTACGTGCGTGGGGTAGAGCTCTTCCCAAGGAATGGAAAGCAGCGTGTATTCACAGCGTTCGTTAGTTAGTCTTTAAACACCTCGGAGCATGGAGGACGGGCCCACACGCACACACACGTTGCACACGATTGGCTCGGGAGCCGACACGAGGCACACTTTCACCGGCCGCAGCACCGGGTCCGGACTGCTGGATGGACACACAGCAGGAAAAATCTTTTGTTTGGAATCCTCTTACCCGAGGAGGGTTCCGAGCGAACCAGTTTAGACCAGTTTAGACCACTGCTAAACACGAACCAGATTAGTCCTGTTTACGATAAACTAGGTGCGTCTAAACCTGGTATGGCTAATGGGGTTCCTCCGAAAATCCTCCCCCCCCCCCCCCCGCGCGCGCGCAGCGCGCACCTCCCCCCAGCTCCCCTGCTCTGTGTGTCTGTGACCACGAGAGAGGCGCGGCTCTCAGCGGCACGCGCAAGCGTCAGCGGCCTTGCTTCTTCTCGCGCTGGTCGAGGTTGTGCATGGGCAATCTTGACCGTCTCGAGGGTCCACGCGCCGCCGCGTCGATCTGCTTGCAGAAGCCGCTAATCTGACACACCCTTCCGGAGCGCTTGCCCACAACACCGAGCAGAAAAGGTGGCGCCCGCCTTGATAAACTGGGTCTAAACATGATGGTCTAAAGGTCTAAACTGGTTCGCTTGGAACCCTCATTACCCGGGCTCCCAAGAAAGACCCTTGCTCCGCCAAGATGGTGACTCCGTCCCTCCCTTTTCATTGTGTTCTTTCTCGGTCTTTATCTTCAACCCGAGAGCCTCGGCGAGCCTCGGGCGCTCGGCGAGACTGCGTCAGCTGTTCCCACAGCAGGCTTGGAAGTAATAAGCTCTTAGATCCGATCGCGTCGTTTCGCCGACAGTCCGCCCTGCCGTCGAAATGAGCCGACGCGGCGCGCATCTCCGCGGGTCAGCGTGATGCTGCAACGGCCAGCATCGTGGTAAATGCCTCCCAGCAGCAGCGCCCTGCTGCGGCACCAGCCAATTGGTCCGTCCACACTCACGCGCTCGGTCGCGCTGGCTGGGACTGCCGCCCTTCCCTGCGCCGACAGCCGATGGAGCGCCCGGGCGGGCCGCCTGCCCGACTTCTCCAATGCCGTCGAGGGATTCGCGACGACGATCGGCGAGCAGATCACAGCGGGGGTGGGTGATATCGTCCAGTTCTTTGGCGTCAACGCCTCGCTCGACATCCGTGTCGAATCCACCAGGGACTCGAACCTCGACACGGCGGCGCTCGCCCGCTCTCCGCCTTGCACGCTCGCCGCGCTGCGGAGCGTGTTTGACGTATGGGGGCAGACCCTCGGCGACTTCATCGACGAAACTGTGTCGGACGTCTTCTCTCTCGTGCCCACCAACAACATCGCCGCTGCATACGCCGCCTCGTATGCCGCAAACATGCCCTCGTACCGGCGCAGGCCGCGGGCTTGGGGCGGCGCACGCGCAAAGGCGCTTCTGGCTCTGCGCGGCTCGACGGTGCAGGCGGGTGCCGGCATGGGTTTCGGGCTGCAGCTCTACTGCAATTGCCGCGTCCTTCTCTCGACCGGCCTCGGCGGCGGCGGCGGCTTCACGGTGCACATCAATGCGCGTGACCTGCGGGCGCCGCGGGGCAGGCTGCCAGGCGACTATGAGTTCAGCGGCGGGCTGGGCGGTGGCGGGGGCACGCAGCTCCTCGTGCGGGGGAGCGTGGCCGCACGCAACGGCAGCGCGGCCGCACGCAACGGCAGCGTGCCCGCCTTTGATATGTCCATTGGTGGCGGCGGGGGCGGAGACCTTGACGGGCTCGACCAGGGGGCGAGCGCGGACCCTGACGAGAGGGTGCCTCCCGGCCTGCGGACGACGGGCCAGCTGCGCGACATGGTGCGGCGCAAGCTCGCTACTTGCAGTTTTGTCACCGCCACCGGCGGCGGCGGCGGCGGCGCGGGCTTCACCGTCCAGGGGCGCATGAATGCTAGCTACGGAGGCGGCGTCGACGTCTCGATTCGGTTAGGTTCTCGCGCCGCAACGAGCCGGTTTGAGCGGGCCTGCTCGCGCAGCGAGGGTGGCGACGGTGGCGGTAGCGGCGGTGGCGGCGGTGGCCAGCCGAGCGCCGACTACTCCAAGATGTCGCCTTACCTCGAGGCGTGCCGCAACCGGTGCTTGACCCAGGCGGCCGCAGACTTTTGGACGGGCTGCAACTGCCCCTGCACCAAGGGCGTCTTCCGGAGATTCAATCTCTCTTTTGCGGACAATATTCAGTGCTGACGCGTGGGAGCTTGCGCCTCTTGGGCACTTACCTCGTCACCCCGTCAGTCGTCTCCTTTCTCTCAGATCGACCTCTTTTCCGTGGAGGAAAACAGGAGCCAATCATTTAAACGCTTGAGCGCTTGAACGGGTCGTGTCCCAGGCAGCACCCAGGGAAGTTGACCACACAAAGCCCAGTGCATGCGCCATGCGCCATGCGCCGCGTGTCCACCCTCTCCACATCATGAACCCGCACATCCACTCTCGATTCGCGCTCCCCCGCTCGAGGCATCTCGAGGCTCGCGACTCCATGCTCGTCTCTCGCGAGCCGCGGTCCCCATACACATGGGCCATCGCATGGCCCATATGGCGAGTTGGCGAGGTCCGCGCGGCCCGCCTTACACTTGGAGCACTTGGAGTGCAGTTCGCGGTTACAAGACTTTTTTTCCTCCAGCCTATGGACGGCGGGCGGCGAGAACAAACAAGGGGAACCTCCCTCTCCGCCAGGGAGGGAGGAGAGAACGGACTTGCTTGCGGAGCGCCCCCGCCGATCACGCTCTAGCCTCCCACTCGAGCATGGCCGCGTTCTACATTTACCCGGATGCAGCCATGGACCAGAGCACGACGGTGCTGGAGTGCCGCCCCTTGTGGTCCTTCGACGACCAGTCCGCTGAAGTTGCCATGTTGGCTCTCCTGCGTCAGCACCCTGCCCGCGTCACCGACCCCGAGGCTGCCACACTTTTCGTCGTGCCGCTGATGCCTTATGTAAGCAGTGGAGCGGGGGAGTGCATGGGAGAGAGCCACCAACGGCGCATGTCGCGTGCCGCCTCCGCGTTGCGAAAGAGTCCGTTCCTCTCGCGCCGCGGCGGCCACGACCACCTCCTGATCACAAACACCTTCCGCGTCAAAACGTTCGCTCCGTGGCTCAAGCCATTGCTCGGCAACGCCACTATAGCCTGGTTCGAGCAGCCGAGGCTTGCCACTGGCGAGCGGCGTCCGGGTGTGCTCTACTCCCTCGCCTTCTGGCGTTGCACGGTGGTCATCCCGTATCTGGCCAACCCGTTCTGCGCACAGCAGCGTGCAGCGGCGCCAGAAGAGGCGCATCCCTCGTCTGGCGGCGCCGTGGAGGCTGGCGCCTCATTATCCGCCCAGCGTGCGCGCCGCCACGTCCGTGCGCCTGGCTCCGTCTTCTTCCAGGGATCTTTTAGTGCGGCATCCTACCTGCGCGGACGATTCGCATCATTGCAGGACTTGCCCGGGGCGCACGTACAGGACGTGCCGCGAGGATGCAGCGAGTCGCAGAATGCATCTCTTCGCCCAGAGTGTGCCGCTTCGAGGCTACGTGGCTCACCCTTGCACACAGCGCGTGGCATGCTCAGCCACGAGTTCTGCTTGGTACCGAGGGGTGACACTCCCTCCAGTGGGAGGCTGTATGCAGCGCTGGCTTGCCGCTGCGTGCCGCTGCTGATTGCAAACAGGTTTGCGGAGCATTTCGCCTTCCCCACTCGCGGTCGATACGACGAGTGGGTTGTCAGCGTGCCGGAAGGCGAATTCATGCGATCGCCGCGTGCCAGCATCGAGGGCGCCATCCATCAAGCGCGTCCTCAGCTGACGCGCATTCGCAGCGCAATGGAGGCGGCAGGTGTGGAGCTGCTGTACGACGCAGCCGGCTCACGAGCTGCGGACAACATGCTGCGCGACTGGAGTGCAAGTTGCGCGACCGGAGGCTAGCCGCTTGCCACGAGATGGGTGCCGCCAAAATATGCGGAACATGCGCAAAAAATCCTATCCCCAGAGGCGCAAAGAGCCCGAACCCAGCCTCAGTGCGTGCCGTGGCACCGGTTGCGTCTCGCGTGCCTCCGCACCTGCGGCAGCTGCTTTGGCCTCCAGCGATACCGTTTTGTCCCGATGTGGCGCCGCTGTCGCCGCCTGCGGCCAGTGGCCAGTGCCGGGCTGCTCATGGCCAGTTACCGCACCAGTGCCGTGCAGCCAGCGCTGAGCGAGCCTCTGTCGCCCAGCAGCGCGAGCCCCGCTGCTCTTCCGGCGTCGCGGGCCGCCTCGAGCGCCGAGGCGAGCGCGGAGGAGGCGCCGAGCGGCCTGCGCATTGGAGTCACGATGCGAGAGGTGAGGGAGGGGTCGGGCGAGCAAGCCGCCTCTGGGATGCTTGCGACGGTCCACTACACTGTCCGCCTCGTCGGCGACGGCACGCTGCTCGAGGACACGCGCAACAGTGGGTATGGGGAGCGCGACTACGGCGCGCCGCTGTCGTTCCGGCTGGGCGAGCTCTCGGACCGAAGGATCCTGCGTGCCCTGCACCTGTGCGCCCTCGACATGCGCGTCGGCGGCGTGCGGAGGGTGCGCACGTGCTTGCTCGACTCTGACTTTGGGTACACGCGCACGCCGGAGATACCCACCGCGCGCTCGTACAGGGTCAAGCGAGAGCTGGGCGCAGACTGGCTCATCGACCTGGAGCTGGAGCTGGTGGCGCTGCAACCGCCGCCCGGCCCGACCCTGCTGGAGAGGCTATTTGGAAAGTGAGTCGCGACTGGAGTCACCGCGTTTTTTGTGTACCTGAACCCTCTGCGCTACTTCACACTTACACACGGCCCGACGTGTGCGTAGCGTGACTAAGAGACTAGTCCAGTAGTAGCACGTAGGGTCGTACGTGCCACAGGCGGGGCATGCCCCCGCGGCTCAGCTTCAGGTGAGTTCATCTTGCCGGCGGTACCCGACGCTGCTCGAACGGCAGTTGTCGACCGCCGGCAGTTGACCGGCAAGATGAAGTCCACTGCGCTCGAAAAACATACCACCGGAAGCGCCTCGCCGAGGCGCACAAGAGTCCCCGTCAGCGCCACGCGCGAGAGCATGTGTCCAATGTGCAACGCGGCGGCGCGATGAGTCACGGGACGACCGACGGAAGCCGGACAAGCCACAAAACTCGCTCTCGCAGAGCAGGTTTTCACCGATTTGCTGTGGGCGTTGGCTGAAATAGTGCTCAAACCGACCAACGAAAACGGCACTAGTTAAGGGCAAAACCCGATTTGCTGTGGGGGGCGTTAAGTCAGCCCTCGCGTTTGGCCCGCTTCGTTCGCCCCACCCAGCCCAACCGCTCTCCCCACGCTCTTCGCCGTGTGGCGGCCGTCCTTCCTGCAAGGGAAAGCCGCTGATCGAGCCCAGCGTGCCCGCGGCCGCCTCCCGCGCAGCACCGCCGCTGGGGACGACACGCTGCGGAATTGGATCGAGCCCATGGAGGAGGAGGGCGCAGTCGGCGAATCGGAGGAGGAGGAGGAGGGCGCAGTCGTCGACGTTGGCGTGTCTGACTCAGAGGAGGCGTTGGAGGTGCTCCAGCAACCTAACCTGATCCAGAAGCTCGCCGACGTTGTCACTCAACGTGCGTCATGCGTGATCGAGCTTGAGGGAGGAGCTCAGCTAACGATTCGGCCGGCCACCCAGCGCCGCCGCCCACCGCCACCCCTGGGGTGTCGACGGGCCCCCGGGGGCGACGGGGGTGCTCGCTCCGGCCGCGGCGGCCGAAAACGGGGACCTCTAACTAGGTCTAACTTTGAAGTGATGCACTTGATGCAAGGGTGCCATTGTGCTCTACTACAAAAGTTGTGTAAGATGCCCAAGTCTCAGACGCTGGATCCTTAGCGGAGCTGAGTTCTGACGGTGTGAACACGAGCAACCGGAGTGACGACCGGGACCGGGCCGTACGCCGGGAGTGCCCCGACTAGCAGTGACGGGCGCGGACGAGCGAATGAGAGGTCGCTATCTGTGGAAGATGTGTTGTTAGGGACTAGGACTGCCTATCTCTCACTGAAAGGGACCTCTCATTCGCTCGTCCGCACCCGTCACCGCTCACGGAGTGCTCCGCGTGCCGCACCGGCCGCCGCCGGCCGCCGGCCGCTCACGGCAACGGAACAGTCTTACTACTCCGCAACGTTGAGCTGGATCAAACTTAATAGTGCTCCTGAAAGCCCTCTCTCTGGGCTCTGCCACACAGTAGCAGCTCATGACGAGCAGCTGCTGTGACTGTATTTGTAGCCATTTTTAGGCTTCAACTGGTCCCAAAATAGTAGCAACACCTCATGAAAATCAGTCAAAAAAGCCCCAAAAAATCGGCGCCTGCGGCGGGCTACCTGGGGCTGCGCCCCAGACCCCCTTGACTGGGGGGACCCCCCGCGAGAGCACCCCCGTCGCCCCCGGGGGCCCGTCGACACCCCAGGCCGCCACCCACAAAGCGCCTGCTCTACTATCCCGTACCTGGCTGGCTGACGCTCGCCCCCCCCGCTCCACTTTCCCCTGACCATGCCCGTGATAGCACCATCACTGCCGCCGTCCTGATTTTGAACGTGGCAGCTAGACTCGGTAGTCGTGACCGCCCCCTGAGTGTGAGGAGCAGGAGAGAGAGAGCTTTGTGGTGTTGGTGTACGCAATAACAGGACAGGGTGGTTGTTCTCTCCATCTCCCCTTCTAGCTCTTAGCATGAGCTGCGCCCTGTGTCCGACCCCTTTTGCGCAGCAACACCTTAAGCTTTCAGGCCCTCCAAATTCGGGTCGGAGCGTAGCGGAGTGGGCCCCGAGTTTGAAAAGGGCGATGGACGCTTGCGTCCTAGCCTCCAACAACGCCTCCCCGGCGCAGAGGGGCCCCCGGAGGGATGCTCAACCGCTCCACGCCACGCCGCTCGCGGCGGTCCTCTTCCCAGCTCCGCTGAGGGCCCACACGTTATATTGCCAGTACTCAAGTGTCGGCTCCCGAGCCAAGAAGCGCGCGATATTTTGTACTAGCTGAGGGGCTCGCTAAACGCTCGCCGAGCTCCATGCTGTGCAACACCACCTCCTCACTAATCGTCAGGGGCGCGGAGTGCGCAGTGCACCTGCGCAGCGGGGGCTCGCCCCCTGCAAGGGGAGGGCGGTCGGTGGCGGCGGCGGCGAGGCACGTTCGCGGTGGTATTTTGTATTGCAGCCCTTCGGCACTGGTACAACCTTCGATAATGGGCCTGTCCCTCTCTTCTTCGCTGCGGATCGGCCTGCTCTCAGCCGCGGCTGGAACCGCTGCTGGCTTCTCCTTCGGCGCAGCTGCCGCCTCCGGGGTCCGCAGAACCGCAAGCACCGGCCTGCGGCCCGCGTCGCTCGCTGCGCAGAGCAGTGCTGCCGCCGTGTCGTTTAAGGACGCTGGGCTGTGCAAGAAGCTCGACGTGCCAGCCGACCTGCTCGAGAAGGCTCGCAGCCGCACGTGGCCTGTGTGACACATCGCAACGTTGACTCTCGCACTTTACCGGCAGGTCGACGTCTTCATCTTTGACTGCGACGGCGTCATCTGGAAGGGCGACTCGCTCATCGACAAGGCCCGCACTCCCGCGCATAGATAGCTTCTGGCCTCTCATACATCGGCGTTCCTCACGCTCAGGTGCCTGCCGTCCTGGCGATGCTGCGTGCGGCGGGCAAGAAGGTCTTCTTCGTCACAAACAACTCGACCAAGTCCAGGAAGGGCTACCTCGGCAAGTTCAAGTCGCTCGGACTAGAGGCGGAGAGGGAGAGGGAGGAGGGCGGCGGCATGCTAGACCTTGCTCACACCCCGCCGCCGCGACCTGCCAGGAGACGCAGCCCGAGGAGATCTTCTCCTCCTCGTTTGCCGCCGCCGCCTACTTGGAGCAGGCAGCTGCAGGGCCCTCTTCCACCTGCCTTAGCACTCACCTCCCCCTCCCCCCCCCTGGCTCCCCACCCGCACCTTCGGCACGCGGCAGACCAAGTTCAAGGAGAGCGGCAAGAAGGTGTACATCATCGGCGAGGTTGGCATCGAGGAGGAGCTCGACATGATCGGGGTGCCGTGGATCGGAGGTGTGCCTCCGCCCTCGCGCTGGCTGTACCCGCCTCTCCTGCCGTGGCGCACGCCCTTGCCCTGTCCAGCAGCCGCTGCCGCTCAAAGTGCCGCCACGGTCACACTCTCCCTCGTACTTGCCGCCCTCCCCTCGCGCCTGCGCCACCGCCCCTGCGCCATCCGAACATCTCTCCGCCCGCAGGCGGCAGCGACGCGGGCAAGAAGATCGCACTCAAGTCCGGGTGCTGCCCCCCTCCGGTGCAGACAGGCTCGTGTCGTGCGCCCTCCAGCACCGACGCAGCACGCGCCTGCAGGTACGCGCTGCCGCACGACTCCGACGTGGGCGCCGTCATCGTCGGCTTTGACCGCGAGATCAACTACCACAAGATCCAGTACGCGCAGCTCTGCATCAACGAGAACCCGGGCTGCGAGTTCATCGCCACCAACCTCGACGCAGTGACGCACCTCACCGACGCGCAGGAGCATCCCCTCCTCCACCCCCCTCCTCCACCCCCCTCCGCCACCCCCCTCCGCCACCACCAGAAGAGAGGGCTCCCCACTGGCCGGGGCCCTCCACCGGCGGCGCTCAGCCGCCCGCCCGCCCCTCCTTGCCGCGCGACGCCCCGCCCAGTCCGCGCCGCTCCCGCACCTCGAGCAGGAATGGGCGGGCAACGGCGCGATGGCCGGCGCCATCAAGGGCTGCACCGGCCGCGAGCCGACCCTCGTCGGCAAGCCCTCGCCGCTGATGATCGACTACATGGTCGAGAAGTTCGGCATCGAGCGGGGCCGCATCTGCATGGCGACCGCCGCCGCCGTGCCATGCTGTGCCGCTCCGCGCCGCCCCGCGCCCACACCCTACCCCGCCGTCTCTACGCAGGTGGGCGACCGGCTGGACACGGACATCCTGTTTGGGCAAAACAACGGCCTCCTCTCTTGCCTCACCCTCTCGGGGGTCACGACCGAGGAGAAGCTGCTCTCGCCCGAGAATGAGATCAAGCCCGACTTTTATGTGGACTCTCTCGCCGACTTTCTGTAGAGGGAAGCACACTCTACGCGCGGGGGTCTCACGGGAGGAAAAGATATAAAGTGTGTCTCACCGACTGAATAAATAAACAAATAAAACGGACAAACTCTGACACTGAGACGAGATGGGATTTAGGGACATGTGTCCCCGCCCTGCACGATCTTGGTGTGAGGATCTTGAATCCGTGTCCCCTCACCCCTCGTCACAACCCGACACGCGGAAGAGCGGTGCAAGAGAGTGGCGTGAGCCGTGAGGGCTCTTATAACCGCAAGAGAGCCAAGACTGCTTTTTGTGTGACATTCTAATATCGATCAACCCTCCCTCTCTCTCTCTTGAGACTCGGCTCTAGTGTCGGAGAGTGGATGTGAGTCAAAGATAGCCGGATCAAAATCAGCGCCGTGGCGACAACGACAAGGGGGGCTCTCCCAAGGCGGAGCCGTTCGATGTTCGAGGTGCTTGGACCTTGGTCGTGTACAGTGTTGGTTTCGGCGTAACGTAGGCTTGGTCAGGGCAGCATCTAGCTACTCTTGGATTTCCCGGAAGACAGCGTCAAGAAGAAGCTCACCCCAGAAGCACACGGAAAGAATGCTCCAGTCCTGAGCTTGAGCACCTAGACTACCTAGGGCAAGCGCGTAGATGCCGAAGCCCACGTTCTTGGACAAGATCGCGGCGACTTGCATTCGAGGGGATCCGACGAAGGGATCGATGAAGGGGCCCAAAGGGGTCGATGCGTCCTCTTGGTCCTCTTGTGCCGCCTTGGTTTATTTTGTAGGCCGATTTTATTTTTTTGAGGGGTGCCCGGCGCCGAGCTTTTAGGGTCGGACCTCAAGACAGCCTTGTAGATCCCTGGGCCAGGGTGATGGCGTCCCCGTCGGGAGCGCTGTGTGTTGGTGGAGGAAGGACAGCAACCACAGGCAGGTGCCCGGCAGCGTCCCGCCACACGCACGATCCGGATGACCTCTCTCCTCCGGATCCCAGTCAGCCCCGTGGGGCTAGTCCTCTCGTCTATAGCTAGCCTTTCAGTGTACGACTGTATGTATCTTTTTAGGGGAGAAGCGCGTGTGTGTGTTCTCTATAGATAGAGGCCCCAAAGGTAAAGCTCGAGCCCAAGGCTGCGTGAGAGCTCGGAAGCGAGCTTTGCACGGCGATCGAAGATCTCTCTCAGTGTGTAGGTACGACTTTGCGTTTTAGCTTCTCAGTGTGTACCCTCTCTCGCTCTCTCAATGTACGTAAGAGAGTGTGTGTGGCTATTCGCTCTTACGAATCTGCCTCTCGGAAGACGCGCGCCGGCCCGGGGAACTCGCTTGCGATCCCGTTCCAGCCACAGAGGCCGCGTGAGGCGTGTGGGACGGTGCACCCACGCTGGGGCCCGAGTGCACTGGCCACGCGTCTCGAGGGGAGGGCGGCTCGTAACTGAGGTTCGCCGTCAGAGACAGTCGTCCTCCCCTCAACCGTGGGGGGCGTACTGGCTTGATCCCACCGGCTAAGGGCGGGCAGTCTTCGTGACTGCTGTCACGCTAAGGCCGACGCACCCGATGAGAGGGGATCACGGGGTATAGACTCCGTACGCCCGGCCGGCTTAGCGGCTTACTAGGTCCCGCCCTTCTCTCGGAAGACGCGCGCCGGCCCGGGTGACTCGCTTGCGAGGTAGATCCCGTTCCAGCCAGAGGCCGCGTGACCACCATGTGGAGACGTCCGGCGGCGCCGAGGAGCGAGATCGTGCCGATCTCCTGGCAGATGATGTTGAGCACCTCGGCGATGCGAGCGCGGCGGGAGGCGCCGCCGCCGAAGACGGAGTCGGCGACGCTCGAGACGACGCTGAAGGAGGGCGCGTTGGACGCCGGAGCGGGCGGGTCGTGCTGCGACGCGCCGAGCCGGCCGATGCTTGCTGTCGGCAACAGGTTGGAGAGCGCGCCAGTCGAGATGCCCCCGAGCCTTGCACTGACGACGGCACGCCACGGGCTTCGCGTGAGGCGTGCGAGGCCGCGCGCGAAGTACGGTGGGGAACCCTTGCGTGTGATCTGTAGGTATTCATCCATTTTGCGCGTACTCGTGGTGTTGTAAGGACGTGCTGCTCTGAGAACCAGACGTCTCGAACACAGAGAGCCCGGCCCTTACGGAGTCGCGCACGCACAGGACACCACCAGAAACATAGACCACCCATGGCAGTCCCCGTCGACGCGCGGGCGGCGAGTGGGATGGGGCTCGGCCCGCTTGCTCTGCGCACGTTAGCTACGCCGTGGGCTCAGGCCCCCCCGTTCTCACACCGACGCCGCTCGTTCAGGCCTCGCCGAACTCGAACTTGAACTCGTGGCCCTCCTCCTGCGAGGCCCACTTTGCGCCCGCGATCGTGAAATCGAAAGCCTTGCCATTCGCCTTGAGCTCCTTGGAGAGGTACTTCACGAAACGGCAGGCGGGGGTGGGACGCGGGCGCCTCAGAGGATGAGTTCGCTACACATTACTATCAGCCACCTGCAAATGGCTTTTTTTTTGAGGCGCTGTTGCGGCAGTTGATGTGAACTCGTGTCGCCACACGCCAAGGGCGTATGCTCTGTCGAGACGTGAGGCGCCTGCGCCCAGGAGGGGAGGGCGCATGCGTAACGACGCTGCTAGAGAAGCCTTTCGGGGCCCAGAGATACAACTTCTGATGCCATGCGTGACCTAGTAGTGTCCCCAGCTATGGGCGTGTCCACGTTGGAGCCAGGTGTGGTGTGGACGCGAGAATAGCTCCGCCATTCATGGAGGCACCCGATGCGAGTCGACTGGTGTGTGTCGTCGTGGTTTCGTATCAAGAATACTCACTCACATACTCACATTGCGCCTTTCATAACAGGGGAGTTGTAGTCCATCAGCCCCGACCGGCAGCACGCTGTTGGTCGGTTCGAGCGCCCGGTCTGCGTGGGCGCCTCTTCACCGCCTCCCTCCTTTGCCCCGAGCGTCGTTCCGCCCTCCATCCACACCATCCTCGAGCCACCATCTATGTCTCGCCTGACCACGACCTCACAAAGGCGCGCCGTGGCGACGCCCCCTCGCAGGGCCAGATCACTTTCCTGGTCGTAAAAGCTTGGCGCTACGAGAGGACCAAAGTGGTAAAGGTGGTACTCTCGCTGACCCCATCAAAAGCGTAAAAGCACCCGAGGCTCCACCTCCAGCAGAAAATAAGAAGAGAAACTGCAGAAAGTAACCTTTTCCCTCAGGCTAAAAAGCCGTAATGGGCACCGCTCGCGGCTCGGCACCGGGCACACCGACTCGCGGTATCCAAAATGCGCCTGCGGGCGGACCCTCACAGCTCACAGCTCACATACCCGGAGGTGGACTGCTGACAGGTTGCGATGAGGACGCCCCGCGGTCCCCCCGTCCCCCGAGACCCGACGCGCCGCGAGGTTTCGCGGGATTCCGATTGCGTGGTTTCGATCGTTCGGGTGAGTTCGACAGAGAGAGACTAACCGCTTACGCAAGAGCACGACTGGGTGAGGCGGGAGACACAGTGGCAGTGAACACTAAACTAAAAAACTCTCAACTCAACACGCCAGCAACCGCCCTCCGCTCATCGGCGCTCGACAGTTGTGCGCAGAGCTGCTCGAACTGGCCCTGGCCAAGCTGTGCCGCAACCGACCGCACAAAAGACGCCGACTCCGCTCCAAGGTTGAGGGCCTCAGCACCGTCCGCATCGCCGCCCCCGCCGCCCATCTCGCCACCGGCGCGATCGTCGTCGTCGTCGTCGTCGTCGTGGTCGTCATCAAAGTCCTCCCCATCCGAGTCGAGCAGCGAGGAGAGGTTGACCTCGCCCGCCTCGAGGCCGTGAGAGCTCACCTCGTCCAGGGGCACAAAAGGAGACCTCCGCGCGCCCCCTCCCTCGCCCTCCTCGCCCTCCTCGCCCTCCTCGCCCTCCTCCTCCTCGTCGGACGCGGTCACGTCGCTCTCGTCGCTCTCGCCGACGCCGTAGCCGCCCAGTGCGCCCCAAGCCGACGACGCCAGCCGCGCCTTTCGCCCTTCCGCGCCGGAGGCAGGAGGACAGGCGAGCTCGCGCGCCAGCAGCTGGAACGCGCGCACCAAGAGCGGCAGCTGGGGCTGGTGGGGAAGTGGTAGCCCTAACCCAGCTTCCCGAATCCTGCGCGCCTTTGCGCGTGTCAACCTCGCCTCCCTCGCATCAACCTGCGCGCGGCGAATAAGGGGCGCTCAACCCTAAGTGCGGCGCTGCCACAGCACGACACCCGCGAGAGCAGCCTGCGCGTCTCCCGCGACCGAGAGGTGCCAGAGCTCGGCCGGCGGCGGCGCGGGCGGCGCGGGCGCAGTGAGGAGCCGCATCAGCACGACGAGCAGCTCCCGCCGCGCCGGCGGCTGTGCGGTGTCCGGGATGGCATCGACCTGTGCGGTGCGGCAGGACGGCTGAGAGCGGCGTGCAGCGCGAAGCACAGGCGAGCAGCCAGAGACGGCGACCCACGCGCGGAGCACCAGCGGCACCGCGGGCTGGGTGTCGCCTCCGTCGAGCTCGGGCCGACCTCGTCGGGGAAGCCTCGCGGCCTCGTCAGCGGCGAGCCTGTTGTCGGGGAGGGGAAGGGAGGGGGGTCGGAGGACGGCGGCGGCAGAGGCGGCGCTCCGTCGGTGTGTGGCGCGCCTGCCGAGCGTCGCTTCCGCGCCGAGCGCGAGCACGGCCTGCGCGAGGAAGGAGAGGAGGGCGAGGCGGAGCCCGAAGAGGGTCTTGCGCCGCAGCCACGCCACGGCGAGGCCGACGAGGTCGCCGAGGGCGGGCGCGATCGCGGGCGCCGCCTGGCCGCGCAGCAGGTCGCAGAACAGGCGCGCGGAGTGGTGCACGGCCTCCTCGCCTTGGTGGGGAGCGAGGGAGGGTGAGGGGGAGGGCGAGGCGCGCAGCGGAGGGACGGAGGTCCTCGCCGAGCTCCGCGCGCAGCATGCGGCCGAAGGTGGGGGGCAGCAGATTGGCGGCGGGGCCGCCGCTCCCATCGCCGAGGGCGCCTCGCTGTGCGAAGCGGCGAAGGCAAGCGCAGCCCACTCGCAAGACCTCCGGGTCGCTTGAGGCACCGAGCACCCGCAGCAGCGCTGGGAGGGCCTCGCCCGCCGCCGCCGCCGGCAGTGGCGTGCCGCAGGGCCAGCGCTTGAGGACGACGGCGCTGAGCAGCTCGAGGGCGGGCTGTGTCGGGTCGAGCGGCTCGTCCTCGTCCCACTCCTCGCCGGCTGCCGCCGCACTCGCGGCGGCGCTGGCGTCGGCCGTGCTCTGCAGGGTGAGGACGAGGCCGATGACCGGAAGGAGCTTCTCCACGAGGCCGGGCAGCGCGGAGGGGGCGAGGGCGAGGGCCTGACTCGGAACCGGGAGGCCGCCAGAGAGAGCTGCGTCGGGAGGGGGGGGGGGGGGGGGGAGAGGGGCTGGGACTGAGCACCTTGAAGGCGTCGACGATAGCCATTGCCAAGAGGGGCTCGGCGTGGCGCGACGACCAGAGCCGGAGCAGCAGCGGCGTCAGCTCGCCCTCTGAACGCGCCGCCGTGGCGGCGTCCCGCCGAAGCAGCGCCGCAATGCAGTCGAGGACTGCGATCGCCACGTCCTCGGACTGCACCTGGGCGTGGGGCGGGAGGGGCGGGCGGAGAGGGTCAGTAGCACGGGAGGGGAGGGGTTACGGCGTTGGGGGGAGGGGGGAGGGGGGGGGGGGGGCGCCTCGTCGCTCGAGAGCAGTCCAGCCACAGCAGGTAGCAGCGTCGCCACCGCCGGCGCGATGTGGGCAGCGGGCGCTCGGTTGGCAAACCCGGCGACGGCGCGGCAAGCGGCGAAGCGCAGGAGCGGCGGCTCGGTCGGCTGGAGTGCGGCGGCGGCGGCAACCAGCAGCGGGTGGGTCGCCGCCGCCGACGCGCCGGGGGAGAAGAGTGCCGCGGTGCAGAGCGCTCGGGCGCGGAGGAGCGGCGGCGCGGCGGGGGCCACGTCAGGGAGGAAGAGCTCGGAGAGCAGCCTGACGGGGAAAGGGGGCGACCCTCGGAAGTGTCTAGGAAGTGTCGGAGACGGGCACCGCTCGGTCCAACCTCTCGGCCGTCACCGGCGGGGGCGGCGCGGCATCGCCACGCTTAGCGTGAGCGCGACCCGCGCGCAGCAGCGACGGCGCAGCAAGGCCCAACGCGATGAGGGACGCCTCGCGCGTCCGCCACCAGCTTGCCGCGGCGGCGGGCGCGTCCGCGCCGCCGCCTGCTGCGAGTGCGCGCGCTGCGTCCGCCTGCGGGGAGCGGGGCGGGCGTCGGGCAAGCGCAGCAGGGGAGGGGAGCTGCCGTCCTGTGGATGCGGCGAATCGGACAGAGCAGCGTCCGGGCGGCGTGCGGGACGAGGCCGGAGGACGAGGCCGGAGCACCCCTCTGGCGCGCAGTGTGCAGCAAGGGCCGAGAGTGCACGTCTTGGATGGGTGTGACCCCGCGCCTCGGCCAGCCTCCTCTCGACGGCGGCGCAGAGCGGCGTGACGACACGCCGGCCGCAGCTGTCGACGAGCTCCTCAAGCAGCTGCTGCGCGGCGACGCGGAGTGAGCAGGCGAAGGTGTCGTCCTCCTCGTCGAGGAGGTACTGCTGCAGGTCGTCGGCCCACGCCTGCTCGCCATCGAGGCTCGCCATCGAGGAGGGAGTGAGAAGGAAGCAGGCACTGCTGCTGGCCGTCAGCCAAGGCCTGCTCGGTGGCGACGGGCAGCTGCGTGAAGGCGATCGCGCCGTGGAGCAGCTGCGGCAGCGCCGGCAGCAGCAGCTTGTGGTGGCGCGAGGAGGAGGCCATCGCGGCGAGGACGTCGAAGACGTGCGAGACGAGCGCCTCGAGCCCGAGCGAGGAGCCTGCGGCAGGGCGGGGGTGGGGGTGGGGGTGGGGCACACGGAGGGCGCTTGCCGCTTCGGGCAGGCAGGGAGGAGTCTGCGAGGTGTCTGGGAGGCGCGTGCGAGGAGCGACCGTCGGAGTCGGCCCCCTCCTCGCCCAGGCTGGCGGCGTCGCACAGCAGCCGCTGCTGGAAGGTCTGCAGCGCGCCAGACAGGAGCGCGCCGAGCGGCGGCAGGAGCGAGCACCGCGCGGGCGGCAGCGAGGCGGGCCACGAGGAGAGCAGCAGCTGCAACAGCCGCAGCAGCGCGATGGAGAGGGAGTGGTCCTCTGGCTCGCCTGCAAAAGAAGGTTCGGGGAAGCTTCGTGCGCGGTGCGGCGAGGGAGAGGGAGGGTGCCTTCTGCAGCGTACCGCCCGGTGGGGTCACGCGGTAGCGCGAGGCGAGCTGGCCCAGCTGCTCCGTCGCGAGCACCCCCCACGCAGCCACTGGCCCGGCGCGGAGCCGCTGCAGCTGGCGATGGTCGTCGCCAACCAGCAGCGAGAGCCGCTCGATCACGCGCCTTGCGACACGCACGGACCGCGCCGCCTGCTTGGCGCTCGCGGCGTCGCCGCCGGCGCCCCGCGCGAGCTGAAGAAGCAGCGGCAGCAACCGCTGCGTCGCCGCCGGCAGCTGATCTTCCGACAGCTCGGACGCGCACAGCTCGAGGCAGCGCAGTGCGCCGGCGGCCGGCGCGCCACCGCCGCCGCCAGCGCCACCACCGCCGGCCGCCGCCGCCTCGAGCGGTCGGAGGAGCTCGTCCATCAGCGAAGGCCACTCGTCGGGCCAGTCCCACTGCGCGATGGTTGCCACAGCGACGCCGACGGCGGTGCGGATACGCGGCACCCTGTCCGACAGGCCTCGCGGTAGTGCAGCGCGCACCGCCGCCTTCTCGTGGTCGGAGACGAGTGGAGGCGTGAAAGTAACGGCCGCCTCGCACCAGTGCGTGCGCAAGAAGTTCTTGAGCACAACAGCTGCCAGCTGCCGTGCCGCCGCCTCCGCCTGCGGCTCGAGCAGCACCTCGACAAGGCTGACCACAAACCCGGGCTGCGCGCTGAGTGAGGAGACGCGCTCCTCCGCCGCACGGCGCACCGCCAGGTCAGTTAACAGCGCGTCGCACAGGGCGGCGAACACTGCCTGTGTGAGGGACATGCAGGTCTTGGCGACGGGAGAGAGAGGAGCCAAGCGGGGTTTTTTTTGTTGCCACGAGAGGGCAACACTGGTCATCGCCCGCCTGCGCCGTAAAAGCCCACACAGCTCGTAGACGTACTGTGTACTGTGTCTTCATGTGGCCTACGCGACTGCACATACATAATTTCCGAGATTCAAGAATTTTAGAAAACCAACAAGAAATCACGACTCTCACACCTTCTTGAGATTCTAGGTTGTGAAACGGGTCCACCTCCGCCTTGCCTGCGGTCTTGGCCGCAGCTTCACCGACCGCCCGGATGTGCGCGTCGTAGAGGGCGCCGTCGGACTCGGAGCACTGGCTGCGCGCGGTGACCCATGTGCTCCCGTCCCTCTCAGGGTACCACGCTGCGCTCTGAGTAGTCGCTAAAATCCGACGACATTGGCGCACGACGCGCCGCGCGATTAGCGAGCGCGCGCACGAGACGCTGGCCGGCCGAGTTCGCCGAACGAATCGGTAAAATGCCACTTGAATCGAGACGTCCTCGCAGTTGTTTGGTTCGTATTCAAACCAAAAGTTCGCGACGGCGTTGAGGCCTTGCTGGTGCATCAATCGGGTTTACGGCAATCCTCCGCTTACCGAGCGGCGCCAGCTGGAAAATTAGATTGCACGGCGGCGCCGAAGCCCGAAGGGAAGGGAGCACGGACGGACGGAGCAGCGGCGAGCGGTGCCGGTGATGTGTGTTGATGGTTCGGTAAAGGTAATCCCCCGCCCCGGCTTGCCAAGCCAGTCGTGCTCGTGCGGCCGTGTGGGCTACCTGCCTGGCTCCTGGCTATAGGATCCCAGGTTGGCCCAGGTACGATTTTGTCGAATTTAGTTCAAAATCTCTGCAGGCGCGGGGAGCGCCTGTGCGACAATGTTGAAAAAAATGCATTCGGGCCTGATCTTTCAAATTTGCGGTGGGAGTTGGGACTGGAGGAGGTGGGTTAGGGTTAGGGATAGCGGATAGGGTTGCGGTTGTGGGGTGGTTGGGGCTGTTGCTGTTGGGGTTAGCGACGGGTTTAGAGGGTTTTAGGCATAGGCGATAGGGGTTAGGGCGTTTTGGGTTTGGGTACGTGGTGCGTGGTGTATTTCATGTGTGTGTCATATTAGTGTATGCCAGCGTTGCAGAGCCCAACGAGTCGCCCGAGGGGTGGACCAGGGTTGGGAAGGGCGGCATGCCGGACAGGTTCACCATGAGGAACCATGGCCGCAAGCCGCCGGGCAAGGCGGTCAAGCGCAAGCCTGACCGCCAGCCCGCACCCAAGGGAGGTGGACCCCCACCCCCCTCTCCCAAGGTGAACAAGAACAGGCTGAGCGCGCTGGGCGCTGGCCCTTCTGGCACCAGCGGGAGCCACGAGCGCGCACCGCCGCGCTCCCCCTCCCCCTCCTCGCCGCCTGCCAAATCACCGCGGCCATCTGCGCCTGCTTCCGAGTATGACTCCGAGCTCGACCAATACTTTTCCGACGCCGAGGCGCGGGATAGGGTGGCAGGGGTTGTACACGACGCAGTGCAGCAGGCTGTGATGCAATACGGCTATGACGACGAGCTCTTCCAGGATTGGAGGGACGGCAAGATAGGCGAAAAGGACTTGCCGGAGGAGGTGATGGCTATGACTTTGGACCTTTGCGAGAGGTGGCGAGCGGAGCAAGAGCGGTGTAGGCGCGTCCACGCGGCGCAGCGGCTCTCCCGCGACCCCGGCCCCTCTCGTAGCCGCAGCCGTAGCCGCAGCCCCAACTCTTGCCGCTCTTCCAGGTGTCGGGTTGTGACGAGGGGTGAGGGGACACGGATTGAAGATCCCTCACACCAAGATCGTGCAGGGCGGGGACACACGTCCCTAAATCCCATCTCGTCTCAGAGTTTGACCGTTTTCTTTATTTATTTAGAGCGCGTTCTGCGCGGCCGCGCTGGGGATCTGCATCTGGGGCCCGGCCGACTGCACGCTAATGGCTACACGCTCGCACACCACTTGCAGAGTGGCTCTCCCGGGCGCTCAGCCCACGGCGGAGGCACGCCAGGCCCCGGGGAGTCGGCCGTCACTCGCCTAAGCGCCTAAGCGGCCTAAGCGGGGGGGTGCTTAGGGTGCTTAGGCGCTTAGGCGGCCCTTGCGAGCGTGGCGGCGTGGTGATATCGTAATACAGGTGACTCCGAGGACACTCATGATGCTCCTGCTAGTGTCATTGCTCAGAGAGCAGCCTCACCACGTCCACTGTCTACCACTGGCCCTGCCCTTGGTCGGCGCACACTGCCGCTGAGCAGCGCTGGTGCGGCTACTCAGCATCAGCCTCGTCACACGCCTCCGCCAGCGCCGTGAATTCCTTATCCAGTTCTAATACTCTTGTATCGCTGCCTTGACCGTGTCCGCACCTGCATGGTCCAGCAAGTCGCCGTGAAAAAACCAATCGACAGAATGGAAGCCACGGTCGTCGGGACCTGCCGAACCAGAGACGAGGTACTCCAAGCGGTCGTCGTCTTCATCGACAGGGTTCCTCAGCGCCACCGCAGTCATCTGGCTCGGATCGCAGTAACGCACGCCGAGCACCTCTTCAATTTCCAGCAAGTCTGCGTCCATGGACCCGGCAACCTTGTCGCTGGCGAGTGGTGGCAGATGACTGACATCCCACAGCACCAGCAGCAAAGGCGGGCGGGCCGACCCCGCGGCCATCGCCGCCGCTGCCGCCTCCCCCTCCGCCGCCGACCCCTCCGCCGTCGCCGTCACCTTGGGCTGCATCACCCGCGCCGCGTCGCGCACCGGCTCGTGCTCATTCAAAGGCGCCTCGAGTTGCAGGCCAGCGGCACTGGCGGTATCGTGGTCGGGCTGCCCAACGTCGGCGCAGGAGGGAGGGGGCAAAGCCGTTATGAAGAGCGCGAGTGCGAGCGCCAAGAGGGCCCAGATTCTGAGCAGCAGCCGGCCTGGTCATGCGACCACTTGCCGACGTGCGTCCAGCATTCCGTGTAGGACGAACGCTGATCGCTGAAGTTTGCTCTCCGACGTCGTGCCGAGCGAAACCTTTTCCTTCGAAGCTCAGCGACGTAGCCGGGCGAGCGGAGTAGGGCAGTCCTAGAGAGCACCTTGAGGCCATTCAATAGAGCCCGTACTATAGTCGAGAGTCGATCGCCGGCCGGCGCAGTGCTGCTCTGACCGCTCCGCCGGGCCGCCTCCGGGCCGCCGCCGCGGAGACGTGCACATAGGCAAGTTGGTATTTTCATATATGAACTTCAAAATAGTATTGGCTAGTCTAATTCTACTCATCACAACTCGCCAGGAACACCCCCACACTATAGGGTCATTGTGTAGCCCTGCTTAGAAGGAAAAGGTTTTGTGCAAGGTCCGTATGGCTCACCGTGTAGTCGGCCGCCCGAGCGATGCCCGAGGCCGAGCGAAATTTGCTGATCAAAATCGTTTGCGGTGGCCCAGATCGTCGAAGAGCCACATACCGCCAGTGATACAGACAGAGTACTCTCTCGCAACCCCACCGGCTCGGCATGCGCAGCACCACACGCGAGACGGTGCCACAGCCAGCATGTACCCGAACGGCGATGCGAGGCCGGCGGAACGATCAACCGTGGTTGGTACTTCAATCCTCCTCGGCTGAGCCGACCACGCTGCCCTCCGCGTCTACCTCGGCGGTGAGCGCCTCGCTCTTCACGTTCGCGCCTGCCTCGACGCTCACATTGCTCCCCACCTGCACGTCTTTGAGCGTCGCGCCCTCGTGCACCTGTCCCCAGAGGGCGCCCGTCCGCCCTCGCCTCCGCCTCGCGCGGCTGCGCACGCTACAGCGGCAGGCAGGGTGGGTGCCGGCAGGGAGGGAGGGCGGGTGCGGGCTCGCCTCGGCGCCGCGGCAGAGGATACAGTTCGACATGTGCACCTGCGGGCGAGTCGAGAGACAGCCGGAGGTGCAGCCGAGGTCCAGCCGAGGTGCAGCCGAGATGAGGCACAGCCGAAGGCTCGGCAGGCTCGCGGGGCGAGAGAGGGGCGGCACCCACCGCCGGCGGCCGGCTCGCAATCTCGGCCCGATCTCGGCCCGATCTCGGCCCGATCCGGGCACCCCTCTCGCCCCCGTCCGCACCTTGTCGTGTACCACCACCCCCTCCATCAGCACGCAGTTGGTCAGCCGCACGCCCGCGCCGAGCCGGCAGTGCGGCCCCACCGCCGACTTCTTCACCTGCGAGCGCGGCCCGAGCTCGACAGAGCCGCCTGCACGCGCACGCCGCAGAGGGCGTCAGTGCGGGAGAGGGTGCGGGAGAGGGTGCGGAAGAGGGTGCGGGAGAGGGTGCGGGGGAGGGTGCGGAGAGGGTGCGGGGGAGGGTGCGAGGCTCGCCTCGCGCGCTCTGCTGGTCGATGTTGCTCGCCGCGAAGTTCCCCTCGCGGAGGGGCTCGGTCGGCTCGGCGGCCTTGTCGAAGGTCGCTGCGCCGCCCTTGCAGATGTCGAGGTTGGCCTGCCCCGAGGGGTGCGAGCGGGCGGGGGGGGTTGGCGGGGGGAGGGCGTGCTGCAGGCCCTCTGCGTGAGCAGGTGCCGCAGCCTGTAGGCGGGAGAGGTGGGGAGACACGGGGAGATGTGGGGAGACACGGGGAGATGTGGGGAGACATGGGGAGATGTGGGGAGGGCGCAGCCTGCATGTAGGCGGCGATGGAGCAAGCTCGCATGCAGTAGTGGCCTTCGTGCGGGACGACGTAGCAGCAGCAGCGGACGGCGCCGGCGAGGCGTGCGGCGGTGGCGGCGGCGGAGGACATGGCGGTGGCCTGCTGCGCAGAGGATCTCATCGAATCTAATCTAAGGTGATTTGGCGGCGGAGGACGTGGCGGCTGCCTGCTGCGGCTGCGCCTCGGCCTGCGGGAGCGGGAGGTTGGCCTGGTCGAGGAACTGCTTCCGGACGAGGTAGGGGAGGAGCTCGAACTTTGCAGACGAGAAGTGCGGCTTGTGGTCGAGCACCTGCGCGGAAGCAGGGCGGGCGCGGTGGGCGGGCGCGGTGGGAAAGGGCGAAGGGCGAGGGGGAGGGAGGCGAAGGTCGGGGCTGCGTCGCTGCGCTGCTGCGCCGGGCTGGCTGCCTCGCCTCGAGCACCCAATGCGCAAAGAGGTAGACGTGCGGGTCGGCGAGGTCGCTGTGCACCTGCAGGACGGCTCCGAGAAGGGTCAGAGAAGGTTCAGAGAAGGTTCGGGGAGAGGCTCCCTGCAGGTGCGATGCTCGGCGAGGGCGCTGTGCGCCTCGAGGTGGGGATGGGCGCGCAGCATGGACTCGGAGACCGTGATGACGCCCCCGTCGCAGTCGGCCGCCGACTCGAGGTACAGCAGCCGCTGCCGCGACTCGTCGATGCCAACAAAGTCCGTCCCGTCCAGGTCGCGCGCCTTCTTCTTGTCGGCGGCAGGCCGCGGCGGCTGCTGCTTGAGGAGCACGGTGACGGAGGCGCCGTGCAGCTGGTGCATCGCCGCGATCTTCTGGAACGGCACGTCCGAGATTGTGTCGCCAGAGATGAGCGCGAAATCGCCCGCCAGCCGGCCGCGGCCCCTCAGCGTGCGCAGCGCGTCGGCGCTGCCCGCGCCCTCCTCGACGACCACCAGCTCGATGCGGAGAGGCCCGCGGTACTCGCTCACCACAGCCTCGAGCCGGGAGAGGTGCCGGTCGTTGGTCACCACCAGCACCTCTCCGAAGCTGCCCGCGCGCTGCAGCATCTCGAGCTGGTAAGAGAGGAGCGGCCGGTTGCCGACGGGGAGCGCGGCGAGCGGCATGTCCTCCGTGAGAGGGTACAAGTTGTCGCCATCGTTGCCGTTGGCGAGGACCACGGCGGTGAGCATACCGACGGCGGTCGCGGTGCGAGGCGGGGCGGTGGCGGGAGAGGCCTCTGCCGGGCGCTGCCACCACCAACAAGCCAAAAGAAAGAGGAGGGGAACACCGCGCACTCTCTCACATTACAAGTGGACCTGAGCAACAACATGACCTGTAGGCAAATGATCGGAGTGGGAGTCAGAAATGTGGTCCTTGCGCGAGGGGAGCTCGATAGACTCGAGGGGCCAGGATACGCCGCGAGGAGGACGGAGTTGCGCCGAAAGGCGAAAGAAGCCGCGAGAACAAGGGACCGGCAGGCGGCGGCGTCGCAGGACGAGGCAGAAGAGAACGACGCGACAGAGGAGGAAGTGACAAGGGAGAGAACGACGAGGGTGGGACGACCGCGAGGTGGCATGAAGGTTGCAGCGAGAATCGGCGAGAGACTGCGAAGAGAGATAGGAAGAGGCAGACTCCCTAGGGTGGGCGACGGATAGCGCACCACACACCTCTCCTTAAAATCCCTGTGTGGTGGCGGCGTGCCGTCCTCCCATCCCTCCCTTTGGGTTGTCTGTTTTCTTTCTTTTCTTTCTTTCACATTACAAGTGTTCGAAGAGAGAGTGGACCTGAGCAACAACATGACCTGTAGGCAAATGATCGGAGTGGGAGTCAGAAATGTGGTCCTTGCGCGAGGGGAGCTCGATAGACTCGAGGGGCCAGGATACGCCGCGAGGAGGACGGAGTTGCGCCGAAAGGCGAAAGAAGCCGCGAGAACAAGGGACCGGCAGAGTCAAAGGACGGATGTCTTGTCTTGAAAAGCATGCGCGACGCTGCCTCTTTGCGCCGCTCGCTCGCGGCGGCAGGAGACATGGCCGCCGATGCGGCTCGCACTCGCTCGGCGGGCCTCCGTCCCACAGCCGCCCGGGCGTGCCAGGGGTCGGCCTGGCGCTGCGCTGCTCGCACGCTGCACTGCACAAAGCTGCGACAACAAGGGGAGGCTCCTGAGCTTCAGTGTTGAGCAGTGCAGCTGCGGGCGCTCGTGGGCGGCTGTGCAGTGGTGAGAGTGCCTGTTTGGAGGCGAGCTGGCGCTGCGCCAGGGTGCGCAGCATGCTCCCGTGCTCTGTCCTGAGGCATGCTGGTTGGCGCCCAGCACAATGCCCTGGATGCATTGCTCCACGCCGTGCTGGCTGGTGCAGTACTGCCAATGCGCCGACTGGCGCGCAGGGTGCGCGTCGCCGCGCGTGGCACGGGAGGCGCGAGAGGCGCGGCTGTCGGTCAACCCCGCGGCGCATGGGCGCCGCGGAAGCTGCTCGACAGGCTGCGGGCATCGCTGCGGCAAAAAGCGCCCGCCCTCTGCTTTGCTTTCGCCCGCGTTTTACGACAACTTTCGGTTTATCATGGCCGCCAAACTTTACCTCGCTGTTTCTTTATAGGTACCTCACAGCTGCGTATTCTTGTATTATCGTCGAGTAGTACAGGTACTGCGTGGGGGCAGTACGTATTCTCGTATCACTAGCTCCGAGTAGAGGGGCGGCGTTCTGCAGTTAAGGGGAAACCTGGTACACGGAGCCAACCCTCGGAGAGTATTCTTTAGCTCCGAGTAGAGGGGGCGTTCCGCAGCTAGGGGAAACCCAAAGCGCAGAACCAACCCTCGGAGACCCGTGTTATGGCCCTGCGAACGCGCACCCCCTGGGCTAGGGCTCTCTTGCCCGCAACCCGATGCCGAGCGTCCGGCCAACTGGGTGCGCTTCTTAGCTCCCCGGTCCTGGGCGTGAGGTTGATGACCGCACTCCAAGTGCTCCAAGGGCAGGCGGCGGCGTCGCAGGACGAGGCAGAAGAGAACGACGCGACAGAGGAGGAAGTGACAAGGGAGAGAACGACGAGGGTGGGACGACCGCGAGGTGGCATGAAGGTTGCAGCGAGAATCGGCGAGAGACTGCGAAGAGAGATAGGAAGAGGCAGACTCCCTAGGGTGGGCGACGGATAGCGCACCACACACCTCTCCTTAAAATCCCTGTGTGGTGGCGGCGTGCCGTCCTCCCATCCCTCCCTTGGGTTGTCTGTTTTCTTTCTTTCTTTTTCACATTACAAGGCATGAAGGTTGCAGCGAGAAGCGGCGAGAGACTGCGAAAAGAGATACGAAGAGGCAGACTCCCCAGGGTGGGCGACGGCTAGCGCACCACACTCCTCTCCTTAAAATCCCTGTGTGGTGGCGGCGTGCCGTTCTCCCATCCCTCCCTTGGGTTGTGTGTTTTCTTTCTTTCTTTCTTTCACATTACAAGGGACATTCTGCAACAGTGCAGTGAGGAGTTCAGGCCGGGGCCCGAGCCCCTAGGGCGACAAGACATGCGCAGAGGGCGGTGAAGCGCGGTGGGGGGCCGAAGTCGAAGACGAAGAGAAAGAGTTTGAGAGTATCTCCGCAGAGCTCGAAGTCTCGCAGCGATCACGGATCGAGGGTTGGCACGAGCGTAACCAGCAAGTGGTTAACACGATGGCCTGCTGAGCCAAGTTATGGCGATGGCCCGCCATGTGGTCAGGAAGTGAGGGTTGGGGTGATCCGGTGTGACAGTGCTGCACCGACCCGTAGGGGTCGGTATGCAGAGGATGCTCACGGCAGGCCGCCATTGCCGGTGCCTCCTCCTTCTTCTCCTCCTCCTCCGGCCCCCCACCAGCCCCGCCGCCCAAGGCCCCTGCCTTGCCAACCGAGGGGGGGTGCCACTGAGGTGTGGCCGAGGGTGCCGCCGCGTGCCCGCCGGTGCCCATGGATGGATGGGGTGCATCGGCCTTGGGAGCCCGCGGGGCCAGCCGCCGCCAGCGCTGCCGCCACGCCGCCGGCCACGCCCGCGGGTGCGCCGCCTGCGCCACCTTCTTGTCCACCTCTGGTTCTGCCCTTGCAAGGGCAGCTGTGCTCTGCCGCGCGGGCCGTGGGTTGGCCCTCGAAAGAAAGAAATTAGGCGTCGAGCTCCTGCAACACGTGGCAGCAATGAGCGATAGCCGACGAGAACTCCTGCTCAGCGCCGCGCTCGCTGCCTCCGTCGCGCTCCTGCTCGACCGCTGGCTCCGTCGCCGCGGGAGAGGCACCGGCAAGGATGCGCTCGCCCGAGAACTGGCCCGCCTCGAGGCGCGTGCCGAGGCCGTCAGGGAGGCGCTCGCTGGCCTGGACGAGCCTCCGCAGCGAGAGGTGCGGATCTGGATGGACGGCGCGTTCGACATGATGCACTACGGCCACGCCAACGCGTTCCGCAAGGGCCGTGCCCTCGGCACGCACCTCATCGTCGGCGTCAACGACGACGAGTCCATCCTACGCTGCAAGGGCGCACCACCGGCGAGCTTCCGCCGCACACAGAGACACACACACTCGCCCCAGCTCCGATCCGCCGCGAATCGCCTCGCTCCGCGCGGATCACCGCACGCCGCTCGTCCATGCGCGCTGATACGCCGCTCCCTCACCGCGCCGCTCGCAGCTAATGAACGACGAGGAGCGGCTCGCGATGGTGCAGGCGTGCAAGAGCAAAGGCCAGCACTGCAAAAGTGCACGGCGGGCGGGGGAGTACACGCACGCGGCACACGCGCCGCACCACACGGGCTGCGCACGCGGGCTGCGCACCCGGGCGTGGGACTCCAATCACACTCCACGCCCAGCACACACACACACACACACACACACACACGCACGCGCGCACGCACGCACGCACGCAATCACAATCACGAGCCCTTGCTGCCGATCCGCATCCTGCACCGGCCGCGAAAGAGCTCCGGAGGAGGGAGGTGTCTAGGGACGGTCCGACGCACGGTGCTGGGGCGCGTGTCTAGGCGTGCAAGTTTGTGGACGAGGTGGTGCCCAAGGTGCTGACCCTAACCCTAACCCTAACCGTAACTCTAGGCGTGCAAGTTTGTGGACGAGGTGGTGCCCAAGGTGCCCTACATCATGTCGCCAGAGTACCTGCGCTGGGCGAGCCGGGCCCGCACCAGCGGCGGCAGCAGCCCCCCCCCCTTGTGAGGGAGAGGCTGCCCTCCTGCAGGCGATCGAGACCTACCGCATCGACTACGTCGTCCACGGAGACGACCCGTGCATCGTCGACGGCAGAGACGTCTACGAGTCGGCGAGCGCAGCGGGAACCCGCAACTCTCACCCGCAATCCTCACCCTCACCCTCACCCTCACCCTCACCCTCACCGCAGCCTCTCCAGCCCTCTCCAGCCCTCTCCAGCCCTCTCCAGCCCTCACCCTCCCTTTCGAGCCCTCTCCAGGCCGCGCAGCGCAGGCGTCGACGCCCCGTGCTCGCCCCGGACAGGCGCGCGCGCTGGGCAAGTACCGCACCATCCCGCGCACCGAGGGCGTCTCGACGACCGAGATCGTGGGGCGAGGCCTAGCCGAGACTGTCGAGAGGCGGTCTCGACGACGAGGGCCGCGGTGGCGGCTCGCAGCCAAGGCAGCGCGTTGACAGCAGCTCCTCCTCTCTCCAGCGCACGCGCGTCCGCGACGCGTCCGCGACACGCCCGTGACGCACCCCTTGCGCGGATGCTATAACCCCAGCCCCTAACCCCAGCCCCTAACCCCAGCCCCTAACCCCAGCCCCTAACCCCAGCCCTCAGGCGGATGCTGCTCCTCACTCGGGACCACCACCGCGCCGCCGCACCTTCGCCGGTCGGGCCGGCGGCGGGCGGGCGGGCGAGGGAGGCTAGGACGGCGGGCGAGGGCGGCGAGGGTGGCGAGGGGGTGGAGCGGCCGCTGCGAGAGAGCAAGTTCCTGCCGACGAGTACTATGTATCGCTTGTTTGCGGACGGGTGCGGCGCCCCTCCTGCGGGCGCGAGGGTGGTGTACGTGGACGGCGGCTGGGACATGTTCCACGCGGGGCGAGATGTAGCCGAGATATGGCCGAGATATGGCCGAGATACACCATCACTGTGGAGCAGCCGAGATGTAGCCGAGACGCTACTCTCCCCTCCTCCCTCCCTCCGCTCCTCCCTCCCCCTCCCTCCCTTCCCTGCGCCTGCCGCCGAGGCGTGTCAAGGGCGGCCGGGCTGCCTTCTGAGCCCTTGCGGCTGCACACAGGCACGTCGCTTTCCTGCGCGAGGCGGCGGCGCTGGGCGAGCTCCCCCCCCCCCTCCCCCTCCCCCTCCTTCCCTCCCCCCCCTCGCCGGCGCCCTCGCGCGGGCCAGTCCGACACCCTCCGCCGCGGCACGCCTCTCGCCCTCCCTCAGGCGACTTTCTGCTCGTTGGCGTCCACTCGGATGCGGTGCGTCGAGACCGAGCACGTCGCCCGAGAGAGAAGAGGGGGCGCAGACGGCTCGAGGCCCGTGCGCAGGTGGTCAACCGGCACCGCGGCTGCAACTTCCCGCTGCTCAACCAGCAGGAGCGCGTGCTGTCGGTGCTGGCGTGCCGCCACACGGGCGACGTGGTCATCGACTCCTCCCGTGGTGCGCCCCCTGACCAGAAT